CCCCTCTTGACACCAACCCCCAGCTCAGGTGAAAACCCTTCACTGTCCAGCACCTTGGGACATCCTCATGGCGAGAAAGGTGCTGAATGAATGCAATTTGTTGTTGTAACAACCCACAGTGCGCACTGGAATACCAAGTACTTTCCCTTTTAATTAAGCACTCTGAGATGCTGCCCTGCGTGAGGGGTTGCTATATAATGCAAGTTGTTGTTGTTGATTATTCTTTCTCTTCATCTCTTCATTACTTCCTCTCTCATAGTATATGAAGCCCTGTAGCTTAATTGTTACAGTACTTCGCATGCAAATCCCGGGCAGGGCGAAACGTTGGGCAAGTTTCCTTACTCAACATGCCTCTGTTTACCTAGCAGTTAGTGGATTGACAGATCACTTTTCTGGGGGTAATAAGCCCTTCAAAAAAAATAATTCAATAATAATGATTTGGTCACCCAATGCATGACTGTTTGTGGGACACTGCTGTGCACAATTGGCTGCCGCGTTTTTCCCACAAAATATACAATCAATTCACTTTACAAAATATTCTGTGAAGCTCTTTGAGACGTCTGGAAGACGTGAAAAGCGCTATATCAAATGTAAGGATTATTATTATTATATCTTTCATTTTAGTTTTCATTCCACTTTGACCCTCTCCTCTTGCCTTTCACTATCTAATTTATTCTCCTCACTCTATTCTTTCATGATTCATATTGTCTGCCGTTTCCTTTACCTTGTTTCACTTTTCTTGTCAGTTATTCAATGTCCATTCTTTTGTCTCTTTTTCTCTTGATTTCTTTCCTCTCTCCTCTCTCTCTCTCTTTTACTATCTTTCTTATCTTTCCCTTTTCTCTCCATAATAATTCAAGTGTGTCACCCTGGTTCAGTTGGTAGCATTCTCACTTCTGATTGTGGGTTCAAACCCTACACCGGGACTTTGAGCTCACACCCCAATGCAGCGTTAAGGATACATTGCATTATTAGAAGTGCAAAAATGCACTATTTTGGAGTGGCCAACCTTCGGATGAGACATTAAACTGAGAACCAGTTCAGGTTGATGTTAAAGATCCTAAGGCAATAACTATTCAAAAAGATAAGCAAATTTTCCACTGGACGAACAATTGGCTGCCAATCCCCCAGATTAAAGTGGTCAGTCACTTAATTCATGGCTGTTGTATGGAAAATTGCTATCTGCAAAATTGGCTGCTGCATTCACCTGCAAATACAGAGTCACAACACTTTACAGCAAATTCTGTGAAACTCATAGAAAATGTCCCTGATTTTTTCCTGAGTGGAGTTTGCTGTATAGCACTTTACTGATGATTTACTTTCACTGCCAAAAGAGCAGTTGGAGATATATATTCCCAGCTGTAAAGGTTTCTTTCACTAAGTCAGCAGTGTGCCAGTGTCATGATTGAGAAGATCGTAGATCTTAGGAGATGACAACTATATAGCTAGGTTTTAAAAAGCACAAGCAAACAAATCAAAGGAGTAACATTAAAAACAGAATGAATGGGGTGTGCATTCCACCTTGCTGATGTCTTAATAGATCAATTGATCCAAAACTATGACCCCCAACCCTGTCTCTGTCACAGTGCTTGTCCAAATTGTCTTATATGGAATTACATAGTGGACCAACTAGTCCACCTTAGTGTGTATATTCCACCCAAGCCTCCCGCCAGCTCTCCTAATCCCCTCTCCTATACCGCTCTATTCCTTTTTCCGTTATGTATACATCGAGTTTCCTCTTAAAATACGTTGCTGGTTTTTGCTTCAGCCATAGCTTCCTGCATTCACATCACCCTCTGCATAAAGAAATTCCTCCTAAACTCCCTTTTAGATCTGTTTCCAGTTATCTTATATTTATGCCCCTTGTTTTGGACTACCAAGTTGAAACAGCTTATTAATGTCCATCTTAACAGAAAAATCAGTTAAGCAGATATCCTGCTAACTTTTTTCTAATGCCAAAATCCAAGGCTAACAAGGCTAATTAATTAGAATTTAGGAAGTGAAGGCATGTAAATTTATTGTGTTGAAATTGTGTTGCAATGTTCCTACTTCATTCAAAACTAGTACTCACAAGATTGGTTTGAATGAAGAGGCCTTTTTGATCTCCAAATTGATCACATCGATCCAGAATAGCCACCCTCCCATCCTGCTATCCTCCCATCACAACACAAAACAACAAATTGTATTTATATAGCGTCTTTCTAATCGGAAGGCTATCTTGAGGTGCAGGACAGTCAAGAGTATGCAGCCGAGATGGATTGGATTCGGAAGGAGTATGGGTGAAGATAACGGAAGGTATGGTCAAAGAGGAAGGTCTTCAAATGGACCTTGAAAGAGGTGAGGGAAAGGGTGAGATGAATGAACTTCAAGATGGAGTTCCAGAGACTAGGGGCAGAAAGACTGAAAACCCGAATCAAAAAGAAATTGCAACATCAAACTGCTTCTTAAATGAAAGGTCTTTAAATGATGAAAGGTCATCGACCTCAAAATGTTAGCTTGTTTTTCTCTCTCCGTAGATGCTGCCTGACCTGCTGCGTGTTCCCAGCGACTTCTGTTTTTATTGCTTTTTAAATGAGCCCAGTGTCCAGTGACTACAACCACAATTCCTTGACATCTGTTCAAATCATTAATTACCCTCTGAGTAAAGAAAACCTTCCTGGTATCTGTCCTGAAATTGCTCTTTGCAACTCTAAACTGATTCTTTCTTTGTCTTGGTGCATCCTAAAGTATTGTTCTGTTTTTACTTTCTCAATTCCGTATAAAATTTTATACACCTCCATGTGGTTGAATTTCAGTTGTCTATTCTCAAGAGTGTCAGGGTTACCAGAAATGTATGCAGTACTCTCAGTACGGTCTGACCAGGATATGATGTCCACAGCAAAAGCATAAAATTATTTGAGGAGTGAAATTCTTGTTTTATTTAATAAAGTAGACGTGTCATTATAATGGGTAAAGCTGGATCTAATATTAAGCAATACAGCCTAACCACTACCATAGAAAAAGATAAAATGAAACCACCTGAAATCAGATTCACTGTTGGGTCACGCAGTTACTACCAACTTTGCTTTATACATCACATAAAATTATTTGAGAAGTGAAATTCTTGTTTTATTTAATAAAGTAGACGTGTCATTATAATGGGTAAAGCTGGATCTAATATTAAGCAATACAGTCTAACCACTACCGTAGAAAAAGATAAAATGAAACCACCTGAAATCAGATTCACTGTTGGGTCACGCAGTTACTACCAACTTTGCTTTATACATCACACATCTTTGTCCATTTTGTACAACTTAAAGATGGCATTGCCATTTTAACTTACAATATGAAACAGTGTTCAGACATCGTGTCTAAGGTAAGAAGTATAATCTATTTGTTCTTAGCAGACTGCAAGTGCCCCCTACAGTTCACTCCTGTTTCAGTAAATGTATAACACATGCCTGTGTGCTGGAAGGCAGCTAGCGCAGGCCGATACTAGAAATGCCCCAAAATTCCGTCTAGGTTTGGTCTAAACGATCATCTTGTCAAAAAAGTTAAGATCTTGCAGCATTGTGCAAAAATTCTTAAATTCATATTTAATTTGGAAACCGATTAGATTTAACATAAGAATTTTCCACATTTCTGTACAGCCTTAAATATTAAGACAGCTATTTTGCACACAGTAATACCCCACAGACAGCCATTAAGTGAATGACCAGTATTATCTGGGGGAATGACACCCCTAGATCATGTGAAGAAACTCCCTTCTCTTTTCGAATAGTGCCAGAGGATCTTTAATGTCCTTCTATAGAGGCAGACCACATCCTGGTTAACATTTCATCCAAAAGACGACACCTCCAACAAAGCTGCGCTTACTCAAATTGCACTGGAGTTCAAAGTCCTAACATGAGATTGAACCCATAACCTGCTGACTCCGAGGTGAGAATGCTACCAACTGCACCAGAATCTTAACAATAATACTACATTAATTGTCTCTTGGAATTTGTTGGTTTATGCTGTCAACAACCCAAGATATCAATGTAAAAAGTATGATATGAACATAATGTGAGCTGATGGAGCCTTATATACAGTTGAATGTTCAAAGATGTAGGTCCTTGTTGGCTTTGGATCTTGAATATTTTAATTTTGTTTCTAATTAGATGTCTCAATTTGATACAAGAATCGTATGGTGTCTCAGCCATACAGCCCAAGAATCAATAAGGTCCTAAGTTCTATGCTGACTTTTATTGAGTCATCTGATTTCACTCAAGGTGGCGCGGGAGTGTTGCAATGGCATCAGTTTAGGGAAGAGAGAATTTGACCAGGGTTCCCTCATTCAATCTTTGTTAAGTGATCCTGTTGGAAATGTATATCTGTGAATTATGGGTGAGGATAGGATTTGTGCCATTGAGGTGGTGTAGATAGATACTTGATCAAGTTCTTGAGGTGTTGCAGTTGGAATTCAACAAAATTCCAAGATGCAATCTGAGAGCGGTGAAATGCCAATATCAATAGACAAGTGGTATTTGCACACACATAACACATAGAGGGAGATGAGATTCTTGCACTTGCTACTGCATTGCCAAATTGAGGGGAAGCAGCAACACAGCCCTCAAGAGATATTGCACCTGATGTGAGAGTCAGAGCCAGCAAGCTGTGGACGTGACCAGTAATGAACTGTCCCACCTGTCTCAGGTCGATGAGACCACTACACACTCTTGACTACCGAGCAAAAGAAAAATAAATATTTATGTCTCCAAATAAGCCTTACTCTTCAGAAAGCAAACATCTTAATTTTGTACAAAACATACATTTGTGTTAGCTGCATGGATTTTTATTAGGTGATTCTAAGATTTCTGGAGATTTGTGAAATATTAAGTCACATGAAATATAACATGCTCTAAAATAATAATAATCCTTGAATTTTGATATGGTGCCTTATCACGCCAATGAGACATCTCAAAAAATTTCACAGAATATATTTAAAGTGGATTGGCTGTGTATTGTGTGGGCGAAATGGCAGCCCATTGCACACAGAAAAATAAAACTATTGTGTTTAGCTACAATGTAAAATGCTAAAATAAATCCAGCATTTATCAGGTATTCTTATCCAGTCTTATCCTGAACACTTTTTATGAGTCAAGTTCAAAATGTTCACATCAGTTCCCGGAGGTTCTGCTCTAACGATGGATTGTGTTTATCTTGTGGCTTAATGCTCTACCCTGGTCAGTCGTGTGCCAGATGCACAGGCAGCTGCATACGTTGTTTATCTAACCCCTCTGATCTCCATGAGGTGTTAGAGGATGACAGAATGCTGTGTCAGGTCTTCCTTCAGTTCTTTGAGAAGTCTGGAAAATTTTGAACTAAGGCAACCTGTAAATGAATGCAGATGGGAAGAGGATAAAATTACCACTGTCTTCTTAAAGGGATCTTTTTATGTTACTTACATTATCCATCATCTTTTCAACTCCTAATAAAAAATACTAATCAGACAGTTGTAACAATATTCATTTGATGGCAAACGATCCAAAATGATTGATCTGGTTACAAATAGTGTACCGAATCATACTCAGTTTTCTTCAAAATATTATTGCCATTTATAATTGTTTCAGGAAAATTTTTTGGTTAAAAGTTAAAGGCAAGGGAAACACAGTAGAGCAGTATTGTGGAGCTCTGCTGGAAAATAAATTTGTGCTAACAGTTGCCTACACAATCATTGTGGAGTCCTGTAGCTCAATGGTTAACGTTGCAAGCGAGAGACCAGGGTTCGATTCCCAGCGGTGAAACGTTGGGCAATGCCTCTGTTTACCAAGCAGTAAGTAGGAACCTGGTTGTTAGTCAATTGGCGGATTGCTTTTCCGGAGGTAACAATTATTTTAAAAAATAATAATAAATTGGTCACTCAATCCACAACTGTTTGTGGGACACTGCTGTGCGCAATTGACTGCCGCATTTCGCCCCCAAAATATACAGTCAATTCACTTTATATTATATTCTGTGAAGCGCTTTGAGACAGCTTGAAGATGTGATAATGCTTTATATCAAATGCAAGGATTATTATTATTATGGATCTCATCTGTTGTCTTAGAGAAGTATAATACAAAGTTCAAGTTCTTGAACTACAAAATTAATCATTCATTTCACTTCATGGCTCTTTTGGGTCATTATTGTGTGCAAATTGGCTGAATACACAGTCACTACACTATCTCGGGGGTTCTACACTAACAAAAAGCTATATGAGATGGTTTGAGATGGTTCAACAATGTGATAAATTGTTATATCAAATGCAATGATTATTTATTTACAATATATAAATTATACACTAAATTGTAAAAATAAAATGATCAAGGAGGCCTAGGGGCTAACATACACAAGTCTTTAAAAGTGGGAAGGTAAGTTGACAAAGTTGAAAAAAGAAAACTAAATGGATCCTATGTTTTACAAATAGGGGCATAGAATACAAAAGCAAAGAGACAATGCTAAACATGTAATAATCACTGGTTAAACTCAGTATGATGTCCAGTTTGTGCCATCTGTTTTTAGCAAGGATGTCAAGGTAATAGTACAGAGAATATTCACTGGGATGATACCAGAGACAGAGATGTGCATAATTATGATGGTTTTGATAAGGTAAATTATTTCTACGTGTGAGTCAGTTAGAAACTAAACAGCATCAATTATAAAATCATTGCCAAAAGATAATTGGAGTTAGGAGACATTTTTTAACAAAGGAGCAAAACAATGATTGAAGTTGAATCCATAATAACTTTCTTAAGGGAATTAGACAAATATTTGAAAAATAAAGCATAAAAGGATATGAGGAAAAGGCAGGGGAGTGGGACTAAGTAAATAGATGGAACAAGCAGATAGGACTGAATTGCCTTCTGCACTTTAAAAATATATTATTCTGTAAATTATCAGTTTGTGAGGTTCTACTGATAAATTCTAGTCATTTAGTTTCTGCCCTAATTATTTATGTGTTGTAGATAATGGTTCATCATCTAACTATTTTTCCCCCAGCTCAGATTTCCTCTGTGAAGATTAGATGAAATTCTTATATCTCCTCCAATGCAAACTGAACTCCAAGAGACTCTTGTGACAAATATTAATTTTCTCTTCAGCAACTCTTACCTTTAAAAAGCCTGACCTGTGTGTGACTTAAATACTGCTCCCACATCAGGAGATAATGGAATAGCATTTCTCTTGACTCCTGGATAGAAAATAACAAAAGGCTTGTCATCTGGTAATTATTCTCTTACCGCTGTGCTCTAACATCTGTCCCACTTGCTTCTCCATAACCATTTCTACCCATTCTCTATTTTATCAACACTATTAAGGTTATTACTCCTCTTGCCTCACTTGCCTGTTACATATTCCACTATCCTTCTTGATCTTCCTTTGCCCTGCATTCCTCCATGTTAATTTCAAGAATTATCACACTGTATTCTACTCTTACTTATTATCTCCAGAACTCCTAGCTTCTCTTTAAGTCGGTTTTCTCTTCTTGCAACAATTTGTAAGGTTTTAAGCCCCGTTTGTCTCACTTTTCTTGGCTACTATGGGCCTGATTGCTGTCCTCTGTCTCGCAATACAAATATGAGCTAAGTAGATAGAAGAAAAATATACTGGGATTATTTGGGAAATGATTTCCAATCCTCATTCAGTGGAAACACCGCAGGTCTGAAATGTATCTTTGTCTCATCTTTAGACCACTGTTTTAACTTTTAAGATTCTATTGAAATTTGGAGACATTTTCAATGCAGTCGTTTGGAAGATAGTTTTCTGGAATTCTTAAAAAGAATTGTAGTTTGTTACATTCTCTCTCTTACAGATGTTTGCAGTTTAACATCTGGGAATAACCATGTATTGAAACCAAGTGATGATAAATAATAATAACAGCATCATGCTATTTAATGTATTTTCTAAAGTAGCTGCTGAAATTCCATTTCAAGGAAGAATCATTAGCCTTGAGATGTGTTGCTGGGTTATAGCACTGTAATTCTCGAAGGGAAGTATTGCCAGCTGCAAGTGGCAGGGATCCATCAACCCAATGAACTGCAACAAATTTTTTAGAAAAAAATAATAACAATGTCATTAGGAAAGCTTCCAAAACATTCCCAATTTCCTGCTTTGGAATGCAATCTATCAGGATCAGGTTCAACTTTGTTTTGACAACCTGTTAAAACATTTTGAGGATCCTTTGACTGTTTTAAGACAGCAAGGAGGATCCTGTAACAATAACATAACAAAAGGATAATAATTTACAAATCCTCTGGTGTACTTCGTTCTCAAGCCAGACTGAAAATTCGCACAGACCATTATTTAGCTCAAAGTGAAACTACTGCAAAATATATTTAATGGAAATAGAGATGTCAATTGTTGCTGTCCGAGTACAGTACATTAGGGAAATACTATTAGAAGGGTGAAATGAAGTGTTCTCTAGCATTAGCCAACATTAGACCCTATTATGATATAACTAATCCTTGCATTTGATACAGCACTTTTCACATCAACAGGAAATCTCAGAGCTTTACAGGATTTTTTATAAAGTGTAGTAACTGTGTATTTTGTTAGTGAATGCAGCAGCCAATTTGTACAGCAATATCCCACAAAGAGCCATGAAGTGAATGAGCAATTTTATTTGGAGGATTGTTGGCCAGCACACGTGGAAAACCTAATTTCTCTTTTAAATACTGCCATGGGATCTTTAACATATCCATGAACAGGCAAACAGAACTTTGGTTTAATATCTCAACCAAAGGACAGATCGCCCAACAATGCATCGCTCACGTAGCACTGTATTGGAGTGTCACCCTAGACTGAGTTCAGAGTCCTGACGGGTCTTGTACCCACAAACTTTTAACTCAGAGGCAAAAGTGCTACCGACTGAGGAAGATGAGTATAAGAAACTGGAGATTTCAATAAATTCCATTGAACTTCTCTCCCCTTTGGTAAACTTGCAACTCATCAGCAGAGTTTATTATAAAAATACAATATTTGTTATAATGGTTCGTCAGGTATGAAATATAGAACTGCTTATGTATGATCAAAAGGCCATACATAGCCCTTTCCTGTTCCTGAAAATTCTTAGGTTCTAAAATCTGATAATCTGATTCATTAAAATACAGGTTTCAAATAGGAGACAAAGTAATCACCAGAAAACCATTTTTCTACAAAGGGAAGAAAAGTACAAGGTTCTGTTCAATCTTTTACCAAAAAAAGGTTTCCTGCTTTGTCTTGATTACTTATTTTAAAAATGCTACAGTGCATCTTGCAGTCATCAGCCTAAAACTTCAATATTCATTTTGAAAGGACAGTGATAACTTGTATTGCCCTTCACGCAAGTTGCATCTCAGAGTGCTTAACAGTAGCGTGGCTTGTCTCCATGCCGGAAAGGGTGGGGGGATAAGTATTTGAAGGCAAAGGTCGAAGAGGCAAGTCTTCAGGTATGATTTGAAGATGGGCAGAGAGAGGGCAAATAAAGGGATTGAGGCAACAAGTTCCAGAGGGCATAGTGGCTCAAAGCACGATTGTCAAATGTGGAGCAGAGGGACGAGGGATGTGCAGCAGAAATCATCTGACAAAACCTTGTATTATTATTATTATTATTAGGTGTTAATTATAGCCCTATCCATTTTGAATTGGCTTTTCCATGGCTTACAGGAATCCCTATTAGTTCTGAGAATGCTTAATTTTGGTACCATTCTGTGAATAGTATTGAATTCAATACATATCTATAGCTTGACCTCTTTCAGTCAAACAGGACAAACCCAGAACAAAACATGTGGAGTCCTGTAGCTCAGTGGTTGGAGCACTCGCCTTGCAAGTGAAACACCTGGGTTCAATTCCAGGCAGGATGAAACCTTGGGCCAGTTTCCTTACTCCACACACCTAATAATAATCCCTCCAAAAAACAAAACAATAAATAAATTGGTCATTTTCAATGCATGCCAGTTTGTGGGACACTGCTGTGCGCAATTGGCTGCCACGTTTTGCCCACAAATATACAGTTAATTCACTTTACAGCATATTCTGTGAAGCGCTTTGATATGTCTAGAAGACGTGAAAAGCACTATATCAAATGCCAGGATTATTATTATATTATTATTATTATATGTAGCAATCCCTCGAACTGCAACCCTAATATGTAACTATTATTTAATGTGACAGGCCCTACTACATGTAGTCATAACAACACATACTTAAGAACCCATAAAAAAGCACTGGTGAATTTGGATTTCATTGCACTACACTCCAGCTGCATTCCTATCACCTTTAAGCGGGTACCAAGGCTCTTTTGAACTAGACAGCTTCAATCAATCACTCTAAAAGCAGTCAATCTTCTCAACAGGTAAAGTAAAATAAATGGATGCTACAGTACAATAATATCTGTTATTTATTCGAAAAATAGCAAGGTCATCTCTTACTCTGTTGTACCTCTGTGACTTTTGCATTTTTTTGATGTTCAAAGTAATGCTGGGAAAGGACTTGTTTTTTTCTCTTTTGGCACCCATATCTCAGCAACAAGCATTTAAGATTAGGTATACCTGGGCCAGATGAGAAACTCCATCCACTTTGCTTCAACCAAGTGCTTTAACAAAATTTTGGAAAAGTAGCCGTTAGTGTTCCATTATCAGACAGAATCCTTCCTAAGGATCTTAGAATGGGGAAAGAGCTCTATCTTAAATTAAATGACCAGTTTAGTTCTGTACTAATAGAGTGAAACTCTGATAACTCGTCGCCCCAAGGGACAAAACTCAAATGTCTACTTATCAGAGTTGACTGGTTATCCAAAGTACAGCATCTAGAAAGTGCAAAGTACTCACATAGCCAGGATATTGAGTGAGTGATTCAAAATCATCCAAATGCAGCCGAAACCCTCGTGCATGCGTTTGTCACCTCCTGCCTGGATTACTCAAACGCACTCCTCTCCGGTCTCCCCAGCTTCACTATTCAAAATGTCCAGCTCATTCAAAACTCTGCCGCCCGCATAACTGACCCGGACCAAACTCCGTACGCACATCTCACCAGCTCTGGCCAGGCTCCACTGGCTCCCTATCACCGAATGGATCAACTTCAAGATCCTTACACTCGTGTTCAAATCCCTTCACTCCCTGGCACCTCTCTACCTCTCCGACCTCCTCACTCTCCATTCCACCATTCGGCGCCTTCGCTCAACTGACATCGGCCTCCTGGTCGTCCCTCGCACCCTCTGGCCCCACTATTGGAGGTTGCGCTTTCAGCCATTACAACAACAACAACAACAAGATTACATTTGTATAGCGCCTTTCACGTCGGGAGGACATCCCAAGGCGCTGGACAGAGTACAGCATTTCAGACGCGAGCTGGGGTTGGGGGGGAATGGAGGGGAGGGGAAGAGGGGGTGGCCGATGGCATGGTCGAAGAGGAGAGTCTTGAGGCAGGACTTGAAGGAGGCTAAGGAGGGAGCGAGATGGAGTGACTGGGGGATGGAATTCCAGAGGTTGGGGGCAGAGTGGCTGAAGGCTCTCCCGTCAATGGTGGGGCGGTTGGGGCGGGGGACGTGGAGCAGGCCAGAGCCGGCTGAGCGGAGGGAACGGGCGGGTTGGTAGGGGGTTAGGAAGTCGCAGAGGTAGGGTGGGGCGAGGCCATGGAGGGCTTTGTATGTGAGGACCAGGATCTTGAACTGGATCCTCTGAAGGATAGGGAGCCAGTGGAGTCGGGCGAGAGTGGGGTAGATGGGGTCACAGAGTTTGGTGTGGGAGAGGACACGGGCTGCAGAGTTCTGGATTATCTGTGGAGGGAGGAGTTGGGAAGGCCGACAAGCAGGACATTTGGATAGTCGAGCCTGGAGGTGATGAAGCCTTGAACAAGAGTTTCATCGGCCTGAGGGGTGAGGTAGTGGCGGAGACGGGCGATGTTACGGAGGTGAGGGAAGGCAGAGCAGATCATGGCTTGAATGTGGATGAGAAAAGACAGTTGAGGGTCGAACACGACATCTAGGTTCCTGACTGGCTTGGTGAGTTGTAGTGTGCAACCATGGAGGTTGATGTTGCCAGAAACTGAGGTGCAGAGGTGCTGGCACGAGCCAATCAGGAGGGCCTCGGTCTTGTTCACATTCAACTGTAGGAAATTTGCCCTCATCCAGGGCAAAGGTTATGCCCTGAAACTGGAACATTCTCCTTCAATCCCTCCGCCTTGCCCCCTCTCTTCCCCTTTTCAAGTCCCGCCTGAAAATTTTCCTCTTCGACTGTGCTTACGGCCACCTCCCCACACCCCACCCCTCCCGGCTCCATCAAGCTCTACTACTGTTAAGCGCTCCGAAATGCTACCCTGCATGGAGGGCACTATATTAGCGCAAGTTGTTGTTGTTGACTAGTTATGTGCTTATGACTACTTATACCAGGAACTAGTTATCACTGTATGTAATATCATGCAGTTATGTGTTGTAGTGTGTGCACATTAAGAACTGGTTGATGATGTTGACTTTTGTCACCTTCTGGAGATGTGTCTGATTTTACTGAACTTCTCTCTTTACCAGCAAAAGCCATAAAAAGACACAAATGAAATCAAGGATCATGACACAGAAATAGGGGGAAATCCTAAAACTTTTGGCGATTAGCGACTTGCCTCTAATGCTCAGACATAACTTTTAGCGAATGCCAATGTCAGACCACTCCAGCTTTTGTTAATAAGAAAATCCCATGTTTGCCCTATTGACATCATTCACAACATGAACACTTGGGTAATTTCATCCAAACTAAATGCAAATGGTTCAAACGTTAAATGGGGTGACTGCACTTCATGTTAATATTGTTTCGACAGCAATTGACATGAAACAAGATAACACCAATTCTGTCAGACTTTTAGGGGCATCCTATCCGTACCCAACACCTATTGTTGGAAGTAAAACTTACTGATACTGGCAAGTAACCACTTGTGGCCCCTGGCTCTCTGTTCTCTGTATCTGCTTAAGTGCATTAGTGATGTTGAATATTGGCTGTCTGGCTTGCAGTTCGGACTAATAGCTATTTCATCAACTCACGTTTCTCCCAGGTCACATCAGTGTGACCTCTGGTATCTTGATGGGTAGATATGTGAGTGAAAGGGCCTGTTTGACCCAGATATTAACTCTGATGCCTACCAGGTTCATGTGCAGTATTTTGTATCAAGAGACCATCCATTTAAAAGGGCTGCCATTACCCACTGAGCCCTTAGAGAAAAACTATGACCAAGTATTCCTAAAGAGCTGCAGGTTCACAATCTTCACAATGACAGACTCAAAGCAACCGGCTATTTTCATAAGCCATTAAGAATAATCATAGCATTCGATATAATGTCATAATCAAAACCTCTCAAAATGCTTCACAGGATTTTTTCCCTGAAGTATAGCGACTGTCAGTTTTGTAGGTGAACAGATACTCATTCCATGCCTGTGTATGCTCTCTTGTTACCAAGGGCACTCAGTGATCATTATAATCTCTATCTTGGTTATTTGTACACTCACATCACAAACTCTGTCTTTGCTTCTCTGCTCACACTCAATTTCTTTCTTTTTACTCATTCATTCACTATTCATCTACTCATCCACTCTTCTGATTTTCTAATTTTTGGGGGGTTAGATTTTCAATGGGCCAAATGTTTTCCTTCTATGCTGTAAAGATTGACAGAATAGAAGAAAGCCCTTTGTGTTTGTTCTGGCCTCTTTGAAAGATTTATTAATTGAGACCCATTCTCCTGTTTTTTCCATCATCAGCAGGTGGGTTATCAGCCATTCAGCCCATTTTCTCAAACTCCATCCCTGAGTCCCTCCAACTCGTTCCATCCTTCGCCTCGTTCAAGATCTATCTCAAGAGGTACCACTTTGATTGTGCTTTCAGTCATCTTTCCCACCTCCTTCTGCTTCCACCCCCACTCAGGTGCCCAGTCAGCTGTGTGAAGCGGTTTGAGTCATCCTACATATAAAGCGCTATATAAATTTAAATTGTATTTTGGTTCCCATATCCTTTTACATTCAACCTTTTTCTGCCTCACTCACATCTGCAGTTTCACTTCCAACAGATTTGGTTGACCATAATAGAAAATAATGTACAGAAATGCACATACTTGAGCATGTAAATGTATGGAGCATTTTATACAGACGTTTGTAGTTAGGCAACAACTCTGGAAGGCAATGTTGAAATTGTTGATATTCCATTGGTATTAAATTTAATTTCAGCAACATTTAACATTTTGAAATGCTGCACATTACCCAAAGAGATGTCAGAATTTTAATGAAACATTGATGACCCAGTGGAGATCAAGAAAGAATTAGAATCAGTGATTCCATGGTGACCTCAGCGCAATACAGAAACCTAGAAAATGAAGATATTTTGGAAAAAAAACTCAACTTAAAGGTCACCATTTCTATTTTGATGTAATATTTCTGTTGAATTACTGAGCTCTAATGACACAAAACACTTTCTGTAATAGTATATGGTTAATGAAGCATGACTCGAAAAAAATTCAGTCAGATCAGAGCATTTGTACTGTATTGAATTACTCCAAACAATCAACACTGAAGAGAAAAGTTGGGGGATGGAAGTTACTAAAGAATCGCCTCAACACCCTGTGAGTATTCGACTCAAGGTGAAAGGTTCCTTCTATCATCCTTTATTTCAATAATGGCTAGAACAATCACAATCCAAAGAGAATAAATACTAAACTTTTATTCATTTAACACTTTAGTTTTATGGAATTAAGAGTCTCACCATCTCTCAAACAAAATATACAGTCAATTCACTTTACAATATATTCTGTGAAACACTTTAAGATGTCTCAATGACGTGATAAACTGCTATATCAATTAAAAATTTATCTGTTATAAAGAATTATCTTTAACATAATTTCATCAGTCGTGAGGAAAGTGGTCATATTTGTAGTACTGCCAGCCCAACGTAGATATCATCCTAGTTATACAGCCAGATTGTAGCATCAAGCCATTTAAAAGTAGTTTCATCTCTGTGGGCACTTACCAATTATTTTCCATTTTACATGACACAGTAGGATCAGAACCACTCTTATAATTTTTAATTGACGTGTACTAAAACTGGCATTGTTGTTTTAAGAATGAAGCTTATTATCTGATAATGGCAAAGATATATGAAATATATGTTAAGTTAATCTCTTAAATTATTTCCTTATGAGAAAACAGTTTGTCTCAAATCACAGCTGCCTGTATTATCCTTGCTTTATTAATTACACAATGCATTCAGTGTAATTCCTTGCATAGGTAGGTAACAAAATAAATACACAGATAAAAAGCAGTTGATTATAGAAAACTAATGAAATGTAATCCTTGCTGGATCTATTAGCTGCATGCAATGGAACGCAGAAATAATATAGCATTACTACTTTGATTTGGCAGGGGGAGCTCCAATACCACAATAAACTAACATTTGCAGCCAAACTACAACTACATTATTTGCAACACTTATCAGGATTTACCATCACATGTAAGACTGAACAGCCAAGAGGTTTTAGAATGCTTTCATTTAATCAATTCCACTTCACAATATCCAAGCTACATCAAGCAGATAATAAGGATAGAGTTTTGTACTGCAGGGCCATTTGCTTTATAATATGTACGTCCCAAACTCCCTTGACTGACTGAATCTGACTTACAAATCCATTAATTGGGAAAACATTTCAAGCTCAGTGGAAAGTGATCGGAAAATTACTCTACTTCACAAAGTGGATCTTATAATACTGAACATAGATACAAAAGCTCACTCACCTTTGTTTATGAGATGAATAAATCCAGTGAACACCTGAAGATTGTGCCATCCAGGTGGCTGTAAATATTCCAACTGAACGCCAGCAAGACCGAGGCTCTCCTGATTGGCTCGCGCCAGCGCCTCCGCACCTTGGGCGCTGGCAGCATCAGCCTCTACGGCTGCACACACAATTTCACTAAGCCAGTCAGGAACCTGGGTGTCTTGTTTGACGCTGAACTGTCCTTTAACTTCCACATGCATGCCATGACCGGCACTGCCTACCACCACCACCCCAACATGGCCAGACTCCACTACAGCCTTACCCCTTAGACTGCCGAAACCCTCACCCACGCATTCGTCACATCAAGGCTCGTGTACTCTCGCGCACCAGGCTCCGTGACTCCATCATTCCCCCCCTCGCCCGACTCCTCTGGCTCCCCATCCCTCAGAGGATTGAATTCAAGATCTTTGTCCTCACTTTCAAGGCCATCCATGGCCTTGCCCCCTCCTACCTCTCTGACCTGCTGACTCCTTTCCAACCTCCCCTCTACCTCCGTTGAGCGGGCTCCGGCCTGCTCCATGTCTTCCGCCCAACTCGCCCTACCATCGGTGGCCGGGCTTTCAGCCTCTCTGCCCCCACACTCTGGAACTCCATCCCAGTCCCTTCGCCTCGCTTCCTCCCTTGCCTCCTTCAAGACCGGTCTCAAGACCCTCCTCTTCAATCGTGTTTTTGGCCTCCCTCCCACCTCTCTGCCTTCCCTCACCCCTACCCCACCCCTTCCCCATGCTCGGGTCCTGACTCCTGACTGTCCAGCGCCTTGGGACATCCTCCCGACGTGAAAGGCGCTCTATAAATGTCATTTTGTTGTTGTTGTTACTGTTGTGCCATTTGAATGCACGTTCTCTGGCAGATGCAACCAGTTACATGATCCTCATTTAAGGTCCTGCACTAATTAGAATTTGCAGTGTTTGGCAACCGATTGTGGTCTGGGTGACTGATTTTAAGTCTCGAACAAGCTGAATTAGGTAGTCATTGTTTTAGTGAGTCAAATGTGGGTGCCCACTGTTGTTACTTTATTATTACATTTCAACAGTATCCATGTACACTGGCAAGTATTCTGGCCTTATCTTTATCTGGTTAAAACTAAATTGTGAGAAATAGGTTGTAGCATTTTCTGGATTCAGACCTCTTTATAGAACCATAGAACCAAAGAGGTGCTGTCTGTTTTACCGTGTTTTGCAAATTTTTGTCTACGCATAGCCAGAGTGATCATGATCCATGAAACTCACAGGACAATTAAAGTATTAGCCATTGAATTCAGTTGGACTTAACACCGAATAAATATTTTAGGAAATCATTTAAGAATGTGGAAACAGGAAGAGACCATTCAACAACAAAAACAACAACAACTTGCACTTATATAGCACCCTCCATGCAGGGTAGCTTTGCTGTCACTCGCTGTCGAAATGATATTAACACAGAATGAAGTGCAGTCATCCCATTTAACTTTAGAACCATTTGCAATTAGTTTGGATGAAATTACCCAAGTGTTCATGTTGTGGATGACATCAATAGGGCAAGCATGGGATTTTCTTATTAACAAAGGCTGGAGTGGTCTGACATTGGAGTTTGCCAAAAGTTATGCCTGAGCATTAGAGGCAAGTCCCTAATAGCCAAAAGATGTAGGATTTCCCCCTATTTCTGTGTCATGATCCTTAATTTGAGAGGTTTAGCAGTTCAGATCCGCAGGAGTGAAGACGTTGACAGGGACCAAGGAGTATGGCTTCCGTCTTGTCCACATTCAGCTGCAGGAAGTTTGCACTCATCCAGGCCTTGATATCTGCCAGACAAGCTGATCAGCAGTCCGGGAGTTGGTACTGGAGGAGGCAAAGTAGATTTGTGTGTCATTAGCATACATGTGGAAATTTACCGTGTTTGCGAATGACATCGCCCAGAGGGAGCATATAAATAAGGAAAAGAACAGGGACAAGGATGGAGTCCTGGGGTACCAGGGGTGGGAGGAGAAACCATTTGCCAAGGTGAAATGGAGGCGGTTGGTTAAGTAGGACTTGAACCATGCGAGTGCAGTCCCACTAAGGTGGATGAGGGAGGAGAGGCGGTGGAGGAAGATGGTGTGGTCAATTGTGTCGAACGCGGTAGAAAGATCGAGGAGGACGAAGAGGAAGAGGGAGCCCTGGTCACAGAGAGAGGTGTGACTTTGACAAGCGCTGTCTCTGCGCTGAGGGCTGACACACACACCACACACACACCCACACACACACACACAGGCTGACACACACACCACACACACACAGGCTGACACACCACACACACCACACACACAGAGGCTGACACACACACACACACCACACACACACACACACACACACACACACACAGGCTGACACACACACCACACACACACACACAAGCTGACACACACACCACACACATACACACACAGAGGCTGACACACCACACACACACACCACACACAGGGTGACACACACACACACCACACACACACAGAGGCTGACACACCACACACACACACACACACAGGCTGACACACCACACACACACACACACACACACAGAGGCTGACACACACACCACACACACAGGGTGACACACACACACACCACACACACACAGGCTGACACACCACACACACACACACACACAGAGGCTGACACACACACACACATCTCCTGGTGATGATGGCGGGCGGTGCCGGTGGCGGTGTCGGTGTCCTGGCGGTGTTATGGCTGATGTTGTCCTCGCTGTTTGCTGTGGCTCTGCTCCTGCACCGCTGGGTGTCCCGGGGCCGGGGCCGGGGCCTCGCTGCCGTCTTGTTTCAGGATATGATGTTCTATGGGAAAAGCAGAGGATCCCTGGAGCGGCCGCCGTGGCTCCAGCGCCTGGACCTTCCCAAAAGGTAAACAGCGAAAGCCTCCGGTAAAGGGGAGCGCCCGAGAGGCCGCCCTGAACCCCGGCATCTCCCCCCCACAGGGCTCCGGCCTCCCCCCCCCACAGGGCTCCGGCCTCCCCCCCCCACAGGGCTCCGGCCTCCCCCCCCACAGGGCTCCGGCCTCCCCCCCCACAGGGCTCCGGCCTCCCCCCCCACAGGGCTCCGGCCTCCCCCCCCACAGGGCTCCGGCCTCCCCCCCCCACAGGGCTCCGGCCTCCCCCCCCCACAGGGCTCCGGCCTCCCCCCCCACAGGGCTCCGGCCTCCCCCCCCACAGGGCTCCCCCCCCCCCACAGGGCTCCGGCCTCCCCCCCCCCACAGGGCTCCGGCCCCCCCCCCCCACAGGGCTCCGGCCTCCCCCCCCCCCTCTGGAACTCCATCCCGCAGCCCCTCCGCCTCCCCACTCCCCCCTCACCATCTTCTAGACCCATTTCTAGACCCTCCTCTTCGACTGTGCTTTCCATCTCCCCCCCACCCTGACCCCTACCCTGACCCCCCCCACCCTGACCCCTACCCTGACCCCTACCCTGACCCACCACCCTGACCCCCCCCCCACCCTGACCCCTACCCTGACCCACCACCCTGACCCCCCCCCCCACCCTGACCCCTACCCTGACCCACCACCCTGACCACCCCCCCACCCTGACCCCCAGCTCGGGCCCGAAACACTGACTGTCCAGTGCCTTGGGGACGTGCTCCCGACCCCAAAGGCGCTTGACAAATTGTCATGTTGTTGTTGTTCATCTGCTCCCAACGCCCTGTCCAGGGCCCCAGGCACCGCTTCCCGGAGAGACAGCGATTCCCCTGTAGTTCCACTCTCCTGGCGCACTGTACTCACTGCTCGCAATGTGGTCTTCTTTACATCGGGGAGACCAACACACAGAGAAGGTGATCGCTTTGTTCAACACCTCCGTTCCATCCGCAAGTGCAACCCTGAGCTTCCGGTGGCTTTAATTCTCCTTCCCAATCCCACTCCGAACTCTCAGTCCATGGCCTCCTACGCCGTTCCAACGAAGCACAACGCAAGCTCGAGGAACTGCACTTCAACCAGCACTTTATCTACGTACCTTACATCCCACTGGCCTCAACATTAATTTTAATCTCTTCAGACCTTAAACGTAGCTCCCATCTTCTCTCAGCCCTGACTCCCCCCCCCCCCCGCCCCCCTCCCGCTCTTCTATATCCATTCACACATCCTCTGGGTCTCAGACACGTTTTCTTTTTATAATTTCCCACTATTGGTGACATCATCCGCAGACATGGGGTCAACTTCCACATGTACGGGGGTGACACCCAACTCTATCTTTCTGCCTCCACCATCAACTCCAGGACCACTGCTGTCCTGACAGACTGCCTGCTTTTCTGTCTTTCTTTCGTTCTCCAGGAAATCCTAACAATAATAACCCTTGCATTTGACATAGCGCCTTATCACATCATCGATACATCTCAAAGCGCTTCACATGATATACAGTAAAGTGGAGTAACTGTGTTTTGTGGGTGAATCTGTGATTGAAGTTCGGGAATGAAGAGAAATGCCACTTTCCACTCCTATCAGAGCAAACTGGTCTATTTCTAGCTCTATTTCTAACAATCCTTAATAACAATAATATATCATAATCCTTGTAAAGATTACATAATAATCCTGACCAAAAAAAATAACAATTTGGTCACTCAATCCGTGACTGTGGGATACTGCTGTGCGAAATTGGTTGCCACATTTTGCCCACAAAATATGCAATCAATTCACTTTACAGTATATTGTGTGAAGCATTTTGAGGCATCTCAAAAACGTGATAAGGCGCTATATCAAATGCAAGGATTATTATATATTTGTGGGACACTATTATGGCAATCGTTAACATTACATAGCACAACAACAACGTGCACTTATATAGAGCTCTCTATGCAGGGTAATGTCTCAGAGTGCTACGTTAATGATATTAACATCTACCTGAGGTCAGCAGACAGGTAGACCCAGGTTAGCTTCTTATCAGAAGGAATAGTAGCTCTGACAATAGGCCACATCCTAATGCTGCACTGGAGTGTCAGCTTAGACTATGAGCTCTGTCATGACATGAGATTTGAACCTTCAAACTTGGAATTCAGAGACAAGAGTCCTACCAACTAAAGCAAGCTATAATAATAATACTCCTTGCATTTGATATAGTGCCTTATCACGTCTTCAAGACATCTCAAAGCTGACGCCTTGTGACTCTTATAGAGCATATTATCTACTACTCAGTGGAAGTGAGCCCTATTGTACAGCTTACACTGACCCAATATGTCCAAAAGAATCCTGGAGAAAGTGCACCAGCTTCTGGCCCTTGACACGCTGAACCAATGGATCTATTTACAATAATAATAAATAATACTTGCATTTGATATAGTTCCTTATCATGATGTCAAGACACCTCAAAGCACTTCACAGGATATACTGTAAAGTAGATTGACTGTATATTTTGTTATTAACCATTGTGTGTTGTATCAGTTGCAGTTATCTAGCAGGGAAAGGTTAAGCAAGAGATCCTGATTTACCTCAGGACCATTATCTCACTTCTCCATTGACTATGATATTTACAGTTTTAATCGCCCTTTCTCTTATTTTAAGTTAAACGAACAAGACCTCTAGTTTTATTGCATACATTCACCCCTCTGATTTTCATTTTCACTGTGTTGAAATCAGACACATCAACACATTTGACAAAAATTAGGGCACATTGATAAGATCATAGTATAATAAACTTTACTCCCGATCTTGCTTCTGGTGGACTTGATCTGGAACAACAACAACAAACTTACATTTGTATAGATGTATACAAATAAATCTGGACAATCAGTGTTTCAGACCCGAGCTGGAGGTCAGGATCGGCAAGTATAAAAGTATTCTCTTAAACGTGATTACAGTAAATGACTAGCTTTGACTCTTGCTTTTCTCTGTGCAGATGGTTCATTCATTTCTATGTGGTTTCGGTGACCTGGAACGGTCTCCTTCTTGCAATTCTTTGCCAGAACCTATTTTGGGGTCAACCTTTCCCGATGTGGCTCCAAAGGCTGCTCAGTTTTGTTTCTGGAAGTCAATTACACATGACGCCTGGCAAGTATTAAAATCCTTTGTTTTTAATTTAAAAAATGGTATTTAATTGTGAGTCTGTTTTTAAATAGGTCAGTGTATGGAATGCGCTGACTAGAATGGTAATCTCACAGAGCTGCTTGCTCCCTTTGGAAATAAGAGCCCCTGTTCTTTCATATGTAAAGTAAAAACAATTCAATCCCAAGGAAGCTGAATGTAGCAAGTGCATGAAGTGACATTGGTGAAAACCGGATGACTTGGAAGCTGGCTACCATGTCTTCCCATTCTCAGTTGTGGAGTCCTGTAGCTCAGTGGTTAGAGCACTCACCTTGCAAGCGAGAGACCTTGGTTCGATTCCCAGCAGGGCGAAATGTTGGGCAATTTTCTTTACTCCACACGCCTCTGTTTACCTAGCAGTAAGTAGGAACCTAGTTGTTAGTCAATTGGCGGATTGCTTTTCCGGGGGTAATAATTCCTTCAAAATTTCTTAAGAAAATAATAATATATTGGTCACTCAATCCACGACTGTTTGTGGGACACTGATGTGCGCAATTGGCTGCCGCGTTTCACTGACAAATATAGTCAATCCACTTTACAGCATATTCTGTGAAGCGCTTTGAGACGTCTCGAAGACGTGACGAGGCGCTACATCAAATGCAAGGATTATTATATTATTATTATTATTCACCAGCTATGTTTTGAAGTACGAATAGAGACCTGAGTTCAATTCCAGGCAGGGCGAAACCTTGGACAAGTTTCCTTACTCCACACGCCTAATAATAATCCCTCCAAAAAACCAAAAACAATAATAAAATTGGTCATTTTCAATCTACGACTGTTTGTGGGACATTGCTGTGCGCAATTGACTGCTGCGTTCGCCCACAAATATATAGTCAATTCACTTTACAGTGTGTTCTGTGAAGCGCTTTGGGACGTCCTCCCGACGTGAAAAGCGCTATATCAAATGCAAGGATTATTATTATTATTATTTATGTGAATGCAGAAGTGGTGAGCGCCTGTCGTGCTCAATTCAAGCATTGGTTGGAATTTTGTAACTCCAACTACTACATTAGAACAGAGTTGCACTGTATTACGAATTATGCGTAGTGATCATAGATCTTGGTGCAGTTTAACACAAATGCTTTTGTAATATTTTCTTTTACACTTTTCAGGAGATGAGCTGTCTGTTCTACTGGTTCACATGTTGCTTTGGATACATTCTATTCGACGTCTCACAGAATGCCTTTTCATCTCTGTGTTTTCCAATGTAGTCATTCATCCTGTACAATTCATTTGGGGTTTAACTTATTATGTGCTTGTTGGTTTAACGTTGCATTGTGAGGGACCCCCTCTAGGAACCAAGGGTAAGCATTTGTTTAATTTGCTTGTTCAGCAATTTTCTAGGTGCGAGGAATTTATTATATTAAAATATTGCTATTTTCCCCCAATAATGTAAACCACAACATAAAATGCTATTGATCTTTTTTGCTTGACGTTCCATTAAAATGAACATGGTTTGGTAGGTGAGCTGAGCGAATGTTTGCATTATCAACAAAAGGTACACAACATTTGATTGATGTTGTATTGCTGGCTTTAGTTCTTTTTCCTGTTGCACAAAGAATCATACTCCATTGGGGACACTGACATGCAAAGCTCTTTTTTCTACAGCTTGTATGTTTTAAAACTCCCACATTTGGGAGAACCTGCCCGGTACCCATGACATTGAGATGTAAAAATATTACAAGATATGATGGGCCTTATTCTGTGCCATAAATTTCTGAGGTGATTTGGTTCTATTTCCGTAAATAATAATCCTCGCAAATGATATAGCACCTTTCACATCATGAGAACGTAAGAAATGCTACACGGAAAAAAAGACCGAGGTCCATCTAGTTCGCCTTCCACCTTCCTGGCGGTTGCATGCACATATGTCCCAAACTACCTATGTACTGTATCCCATAATGTTATTTCCTAAAAGAAAACTATCTGATCTGTGTTTGAAGAAATCAACATTTCCTGCTTCAACTGTCTCTCTAAGGAGCCTGTTCCACAGGTTTACTATTTGTACTATTTACGTCAGAAGGATTGTATATTTTGTATATACGAATAGAAGTAGAATTGTAAAGGCAGTTTGCCAGCTAGGAATGCCCATTTTTGACTGAACCTGAGCTTTGGCTGTAATGTTACCATTTCATAAATCCATCCACCTACATCTTGAACTCATTTAAATTTGTATTAGTGAAAATTGTAAACTGATTTTACAAAACGTATGCTCTTTCGTCCACAAAATACACAGTCAATTCACTTTATAATATATTCTATGAAGCGCTTTGAGACGTCCCAATGACTTGATAAGGCACTAAATTAAATGCAAGGATTATTATTATTTGAGCAAAAGGTTCAAGCCCAGCTGAATAATTTATTGTCCTCTTGCCCCTGTATATGGTTGTATTATTTAGTGAATCAGTTTGTACATTTTTCTAATTTATATGGTTAAATAATGCTTTTGTCTTGATGAATGTATCAAATTGGCTAATTTGTAATGGTCACTTAGTTGGACTACATGTATATAACAATATTCTTTAAGACATCATTGCCCCCATCTCTTTACTGAGCCACACTAGCCCAGAGGGCCAACCATGGGTCCCTGAACACTCCTGTCCGCTCCAAGTCTCAGTGTGTGCACATTGGCTGCCACAAGTGACCCGAGCTGCTTCCCCAAGATGTTCCTAACCCCGTCCCCTTCCCTCCACTAATCCCGCTCAACCCTCCTCTCCCTCCGCCTGCCCTGACTTTTATCCCTCTTTGACTCCTTTGTGTCCCGCCTCAAAACCCTCCTCTTCGACCATACCGTTGGTCACCCACCTTCTCCTCCCCTTCCTTCTCCCTCACTGACCCCAGCTCGGGTCTGAAATGCTGTACACTGTCCAGCGCCATGGGACTTCCTCCCAACGTGAAAGGCGCTATACAAATATAATCTTGTTGTTGTTATATGGTTAATGTTTGTTATTGTCTTGAATTAGGTCAGTTTAAATTCATTCTGTACATCATTTTTAATCGTCATGCAGTAATTAGCTGTTTTAGTTACAAAACAAAATATGAAAAAACAACTGGATGTTCAGCTAAGGTTGAATCTATAAAACATTAGTTTTGTGTTTCTGTTTTAAGTTTTACGTATTTGTCCTCTTTTGTACAGTTTACAAAATTCAAGATTTACTGGTGCAGTACCGGTGGTATCATGTAGCTGGATTAACACTGTTTTTTTGGGCAACGGTTCATCATCACAAGAGTCACATTATACTGGCCAGTCTCCGAAAGAACAAATTAGGTAAAATCTTTGGGTATTTTTCATGTGTTTTTGTAAGTTAGTATTTTGTGACTTCAGGATTGCATTGAATATTTGCAAACTTAAAAATGTTGCTTACCTTTGCTCTTAATTAATGATTGTGGAACTCGTGCATTTGTAACTTAAATTAGTTTTATCATCATACAATGGCTGTTGTTTAACTTGAAAAATGTTAGATACAATTACACTAAGGCACGTTTCCTGTTTTTGTTGGCTATAGGTGAAGTTGTTAACCTGAGTCACAGAGTTCCTCACGGCGACTGGTTTGAACAGGTCTCCTGCCCACACTACCTGGCAGAGCTGCTGATCTACCTTGCTCTGGCCATGGTGTTTGGAGGACGACATCTTACTTGGTGGTCTGTAGTGCTGTATGTGTTGTCCAGCCATGCAATGATGGCAGTCCAAAGTCATGAATTTTATGTCAACAAATTTGAGAATTACCCCAAAAATCGCAAAGCGTTCATACCTCTTATATTTTAGTTTTGTTTTTCTACATCTACATCTTTTTTATCTGCACATTTTTATCTAAAAAATAAATTGACAAACATTTTTGTTTTCTTTGTACGATCTTTTCCTGAGGTCATATTGCCATCTACAGTAATTGGTTGAAGAGATTTTTAATGCCTTCATATGCGAAGCAGCAAACCTTAAGGAACTTGTACAATGGCTAAAATTGGTGAGCTAACCTTTAACTTGCTGGTAACAGATTCCACGTTATTGTTTGTGGTTTCCAATGCTGTGATGATAATGTGGAAGTTAAATGAAAGGCAGTTTTCAGATAGACACCAAGATGATTATACAGATGGTAATCAACCGCTGGAACAGATTACCAGGAAGGTGGTTAGAAAGATTTTGATGCTATAATTGGAAGATGGAATAGTTAGTATTCCAGAAAGATGAGATCCAAATCTTTCTTGTGAAAAATGAAATTAGAAGAGGTCATTCAGACCAACAAGCCTGATACCTCATGTGGCGATGTATGATTTGTCTTATCATGAATTCCATTTGATCTTCTCAATCTTCCAAGGGAAGAAAACCACAATTAAACATCCAGAAAAGATGAACCTTTTTTAATGTTTGTTTAGCTTCCAGGAGCAATCTAGCAAAACTATTATTTTGTGACAGTTCACTACTGTGATTCGCATCACTCTCTGAACTGAAAGTAAATGTTCAATATTCTAGACTTTGTTTTAGTTAAGATAAGTTGTCCTAATTCACATAGACTGACCCAATTATAAGGGTGTGGCTTGGGTCCATGAACTCATAACTGATAATGGATATGCTATAAAAATGGTCCCCAATCAGCAGTTCGAGATAATTACGGCTTAAATAAAATTTCAAATAAAAGTGGTCATTCATTTTATGGCTGTCTGTGGGACATTGCTGAACAAAATTGGCTGCTGTGTTTTCCTACAAATATGGTCACAGTAAATCCTTGAAGTGCTTTGAGACATCTCAACAAGGTGATAAGGCACTATATAAAACACAACTTTTATTATGCAGTAGCTTACAAAATATACAATCAATACACTTTACAGTAGCAACAACAACTTGAATTTATATAGTGCCCTTCACGCAGGGTAGTATTTTGGAGCGCTTAAATCCTGTGAAGCGCTTGAAAATGTCCTCTAATTCTATATTAAAAGGATTATTATTACAATATTAGTACAAGTTTCAATGATTTTCTTGAGATGCAATTCCTTTTTACAATTTAAAAATTGCAAATATTTGTAGTCACAATGGCACACTTTGATATCACCCATTTATAGCAATCCACCAACCAGTATAATTAGAGGGAAGTAGTGCTGATGTAACTGTTTCCTTACAGATATGTGACCTCAGTCCTGACAGGACTATTGGATTACTGCTATCGGGATATACTGGATATGTTAGGCCTTTTTCACTGGAGAGGTGATGTTTCAAGGGGAAAATAATAGAGGTGTTCATGATTATAAAATGGTTCAATAAGGCTAGCATAACTAGGCTGTTTCTACTTGTTGGGAGTCCATAACCAGGGGATATAAGTATAAGATAGTGGTTAGGGGATCAAAAAGATAATTTAGGAAGAACTAATTCACACAGAGGTGAGAATATGGAACTTGTTGCCTGAAGTAGTAGCTGAATCAGATAGTATAGATGCATTTAAGAGGAAGGTAGATATATACACGAGAGAGAATGAAATAGAAGGGCATGGGAGGGAGTAAGTAGTGGGTGTAGAGTCTAAATACTGGCACAGATGAGTTGGAGCAAATGGCCTGTTTCCTTGCTGTACAATCTATGTAAATCAATGTAAACATCTTAAAATAATTGGTCAATTAGTTTCTATCCATGCAAAGAAGTTTCTATTTTTCAAAACCATACTGCAATAATTTAAGCAATATAATTTTAAAATATCTAGCAGTTTTAAGAACACAAAATGTGGAATAACAAAAGTGCTAGTATTCTACACCACTGGGTGACAGGCCATACTATATATGTTTAATAAATAATAATACTACTTGCATTTGATATAGCACCTAATCACGTCTACGACATCTCAAGGTGTTTTACAGAATATACTGTGAAGTGAATTCACTGTATATTTTGTCAGCAAAACACAGCAGCCAATTGCGCACAGCAGTGTCCCACAAACAGTTGTGGATTTAGTGACCCAAATTTTTTTTAAAAGGGATTATAACCCCCGGAAAGCAATTTGCCAATTGACTAACAACCGGGTTCCTATTTACTACTAGGTAAACAAAGGCATGTGGAGTAAGGAAACTTGTCTAAGGTTTCGCCCTGCCTGGGAATCGAGCCTGCTTACATTAATACGGTACAATACACCAGACTGTATCTTTAGACTATAGAGTCTAAAGAAAGTCTTTAGACTATATATAGTTTAGACTAGAACAGTTTTATTTTAGACTTATATACTAGAATAATTTAGACTACATCTTTACAACTGGGTCCCAGGCCATTCATAGCTTCAAACTCATTCAAATCCATGGCTTCAATCACACGCAATGGAAACTGTCCGTTCCAGGAAATAACATATCTAATGTTACAATCTATTATCTTTTACTTTGGCAATCCTGATTGAACTTTCTTATCCACATTATTGGCTGTTAAACTGCAGATCTCATTGTCATAACCATTGATTATAGTTTTATTCAGACAATATTAAGGAAAAAATGTCACCTCAGAAGTGAAAAATAAGTTTGTATAATTGTTATAATAATAATAATAATCCTTGCATTTGATATAGCGCTTTTCACATCTTCTCGATGTCTCAAAGCGCTTCACAGAATAGACTGTAAAGTGAATTGACCGTATATTTGTGGGCAAAATTTTTGTACGTTTTGCATTAATTTCCATATTCTAACAAGATGACAATGTCTGGTCTGCTCCTCCAAGCCCTGCTGACAAACCAGTCTGTCGTCATCATTGATTGCAACAACAACAAAATTACATTTGTATAGCGCCTTTCACGTTGGGAGGACATCCCAAGGCACCGGATAGACAGAGTTACGTACCCGAGCTGGGGGTCAGAGTGGGGGAGGGTGGAGGGTAAGCAGGGAAATCGAAAGCACGGTCGAAGAGGAGCAGATTGCAAAAAAAATGTTTCTATTTTTCAAAACCATACTGCAATACTTAATTTTTTTAAGCAATTTTTTTAAGATTGCCATATTGTACAGCCATCTATCTGAGGAACTGGGCTATGGAGACCCCCACAGAGGGTCTAAAATAAATTCCAATATCACTTAAAGCCAACTTAGCAGCAAGGAAATCAGCTTATGTCTCTTCCCCCACCCCCCAACCCAAGAAGGATAGTCATTCGATAAATGAGTGCTGATTTGAGCCTCACTAGGTGCATAGCAGGTACCAAGAACTCTTTGTGAGACTCTTGAATGAGCAGCACAGATCAGTATAAAATGCATGAGAACATTGCCACCATCTTTATACCCCCAGCTTGACACACATCCCTCACAATCCTTGCATTTGATATAGCGCCTTATATCGTCGAGAAGTCTCAAAGGATATACTGTAACATGGATTGACTGTGTGTTTTGAGGAGCAGTATTGCCTGCAACAATGTCTCACAGTGAATTACCATTTTATTTGGGCAATTTGTTGGCCGGGACACCGGAGAATACTCCTTTCTCTTTTCAACCCATGGGATCTTTAATATCCATTTAAACAGGCAGACTGAACCTCAGTGTCTCAACCAAAGAAAGGCACCTCCAACAATGCAGCACTCCCCCAGCACTTTGTTGGAGTGTCAGCTTTGACGGATTCCAAGTTGTGACATGGGGCTTGATCTCACAAACTTTTGACTCAGAGGTGAAAGTCCTACCACTGAGTCATGCTGACACACATCCTACCCATTTGATCAATGGTTATGACAATAATAATCCTTACCTTTGATATATTGCCATATCACGTCATTGAGACATCTCGCAGCACTTCACAAAATGCAACAATTTACATTTATATGTGCCTTTCATAGGATAATATCTCAGAGTGCTTTAAAGTATAGTGACTGTATTTTATTGGTAAACATGGCAGTCCATTTGTATACAATAATAATCCTTGTTTTTGATATAGCGCCTTATCTAATCTTCGAGACATCTCAAAGCGCTTCACAGATTATACTGTAAAGTGAATTGATTGTATATTTTGTGGGCGAAACAAGGCAGACAATTGCACACAGCAGTGTCCCACGAACAGTCGTGGATTTAGTGACCAATTTATTCTTTTCTTTAAGGAATTATTGCCCCCAGAAAGCGATCCACCAATCGACTAACAACCAGGTTCCTACTTAACTGCTAAGTAAACAGGCGTGTGGAGTAAGTAAACTTGCCTAACGTTTCGAACCCAGGTCTCCCACTTGTGAGCTGAGTGCTATAATCACTGAGTTTTAGGACTCCACATAATGTCCTTCCTATTGACGCGAAATTAATGACCAATTTTATTTGATGGATTGTTGGCTAGGATTCTGGGAGAAATTCCCTTCTCTTTTTATGCGGTTGGAAGTACAGAGTTTTGCCAAGAAAAATATAGTCAATTCATCGTACAGTGTATTCCGTGAAGCACTTTGAGACGTTTTGAAGACGTGATAAGGTGCTATATCAAATGCAAGGATAATTATTAGCGTCTCTCTGCAATACGGATCAAGGTGGATTCCAAACCCTGGATGTATGAACATGTGTGCAGAAACAAGGGCTGCTCCCAGGTATCATCTTGTAGCTGCTGTGGGCAGGACCTGCAGTGCAGGTGTGCTGAGCCCAGGGCATTGACCAGCTGGGAGGAGGACAACCTCCGCACATGCGCACAGAACGCGCCGCTCTGGCGCAGGCGCATGGAAGGCTTCTGCTCGTAAAATTCGGACGTCACAAGAACAGCCACAACCTAACCTGGAGTGTTGACCGTCACCTGACTGGCAGGTACCGGCGCCAATCAAGCGCCAGCTCTGGTGCAGGAAGGCATTCCTGCCTCCAATCGGCAGCAGGGAAGTGGGCGGAACCGTGAAGTCGCGTTCGGTTGACGTGTAGGGGCGGTTGGCTATGGCGGTGGGCAAAGCTGAGTGAGCGGCGTCTTCTTCCTTCCCTCAGTCCCGGTGCCCGTCCGACTCTTCTCACTGTCTCTCTCTCTCTCTCTCTCTGTCTGACCGCTTCTTCGCCATCATGTCCGGGCGGCGGTGCCCTCCCCCGGAGAGAGCGGCGGCTGCTCTGGCCGCGGCTTTCCTGCTGTGTTGCGCGGTGGCCAGTGTGGCCGGTATCCCGGAAGAGGAGAGGAGGCCGGTCAAAGCCGAGGCCGGGCTGCAGGTACAGCAGGTGCGGGGAGGGCGCCATGGCCTCCGGGAGCCGGGGTCTGCGGCAGGGGTCAGTCCACCAGAGTCTGGGGTCAGTCCACCAGAGTCTGGGGTCAGTCCACCAGAGTCTGGGCTCAGTCCACCAGAGTCTGGGCTCAGTCCACCAGAGTCTGGGCTCAGTCCACCAGAGTCTGGGGTCAGTCCACCAGAGTCTGGGGTCAGTCCACCAGAGTCTGGGCTCAGTCCACCAGAGTCTGGGGTCAGTCCACCAGAGTCTGGGGTCAAATGAGCAGAGTCTGGGGTCGAATGAGCAGAGTCGGGTCGAATGAGGGGTCGAATGACCAGAGTCTGGGGTCAGTCCACCAGAGTCTGGGCTCAGTCCACCAGAGTCTGGGCTCAGTCCACCAGAGTCTGGGCTCAGTCCACCAGAGTCTGGGCTCAGTCCACCAGAGTCTGGGCTCAGTCCACCAGAGTCTGGGGTCAGTCCACCAGAGTCTGGGGTCAAATGAGCAGAGTCTGGGGTCGACCAGAGTCTGGGGTCAGTCTGGGGTCGAATGACCAGTGGTCTGGGGTCGAATGACCAGGGTCTGGGGTCGAATGACCAGTGGTCTGGGGTCGAATGACCAGTGGTCTGGGGTCGAATGACCAGTGGTCTGGGGTCGAATGACCAGTGGTCTGGGGTCGAATGACCAGTGGTCTGGGGTCGAATGACCAGTGGTCTGGGGTCGAATGACCAGTGGTCTGGGGTCGAATGACCAGTGGTCTGGGGTCGAATGACCAGTGGTCTGGGGTCGAATGACCAGTGGTCTGGGGTCGAATGACCAGTGGTCTGGATGAGAACTAACTTTGCAGCTGAACATGGATAAAATGAAAGCCGTGCTCCTTGGATCCATCAGGATCTTCTCACCTGTAGTTCTCAACTCCTTAACGTTTTTTGCCCATCCCTCAGTTGGAAGGGGAGGAGGTTGAGACAGCAGGTGGTGGGTTTCATTGTGGTGATGGTGGAGAGAGGGAGGAAGGAGAGATGGGGGCAAATGATTGTAAGATGGGGGCCACGGTAGGAGCTGAGGGCAGGGTGCGTGAGGGAGACGGAATGGGGGTGGTGGTAGGCAACACGGGGCAGAAGGATGAAGCTGCCAGGGGGATGTTGTAAATTTTAGCAGTAAGGAAGTCTATGACCTCTTCGCACTTGGCGTTAGATGTGATGATTGAGAGTGCTTGAGGGGTCACACGGAGGAGGTGGTGGGTGGTGGAGAATAGAATTTTGAAGTTATTGTGGGCCTCCAGTATGATGTTTGAGTAGTGCGCAGTTTTTGCTTGTGACAGGGAGCAGCAGTAGGTGTGAAGATGCTTGAGCCACAGTGAGTCACTAGTATTGGAGAGGAGCTTTGCCATACTTCGTGCAAAAAAAGCGGACCAGCTTGCTTCCCTGCTAAATCTTTAGTACATGCCAGCATTTTATGTATTACAACTCCGACTTAATTTAAGGCTTTGGGTGTCGTCAAAATATATGCTTGTTTCCATTAAATATTGGAAAGTTATGTTGAGAAGTGCGTATTTTAAATTTGTTAATATAAACAGAATACAAGTTTTGTTCTCCTAACTCGAGAAGCCCAGACTCTAATCACTGAACCATTGGGTATAAAATACCAAGCTCAGTGACAGATACTAATGTAGAGGCAGCGGATTTGGTAAGAGTTGTAGAAACCTGGAAGTAAGAGTAGACTCATTTTCAGTTTGACATATCCTCCAAGGTGACATGTTTGGCAACGCAATGTCAGAATGGAGCTCACTCTCTGTGGAGGTCTCGGCAATCCAGTCCCTGAGCCAGGGCACTGCTGCTGACAACACGGCCAGCCAGCCTGGCTCATCGACACAACTTCGAAGGACAGACCAGTCACTAGGGACAGGGACTCTTCCCACTCAGCTCTTGTTAACCCTGCAAGCCAGGGCCCTAATGGATAGAGTGGTCCTTGTTGGACAAGCAGTGAGAAAGCTCGCCAGACAATGTTTTAATGGCATACTGTGCAGTTTTAGCTGGTTATACTCCAGCAGTACCACAGTGTACACTCTGAGGTCCCAAGCCTTGGATCTTGCAAATCTGTGCCTAATACTCTCCAGAATTAGGTAAGCAGGATATGTCCCTCCAGGGAAAGAGTGTGCATTCCCTTCCATTAATATCTCTGGATGACGAAGTAGGATTCATGGAACTCTGTTTGGTTTGCATATTCTTAAGCACAGTGAAGGTTTTAGGTATGCATCACATCCAGCTGACCAGAAAAAAGTATGGCAAAGCTCCTCTCCAATATCAAGTTAACTTTATTCCTCTTTGTATTGTCTCTGTGACCTGGATGGCTTGCTGTTTGTCACAATGATCAAAAATGTACACAGTGTGCCTGGTTCAACCTGACCAGAATGACAGTACAGTTTCAGCCTGCCATCTATGACTTCTGATCTGTCAGTGTAGCGTGGCATGCGCACACTTTGGTTTTTTGCTTCCTCACAGCATGACTCGTGTTTCCTATTATGAAAGCCTCCCCCATACTTGGTTAATTTCCAGCCGCCCTTCTCGTGAGAAACCTTCTGTTTACTTTTGCCTTATTTATACTACAATATTTGGATCAATGCTCTTGTAACGTATTTTGGATTATGTGTATGTTTGAATCTTATTTCCTAGTTTGTAGAGTAGAATCGTTCTTAAACCTTAATCAGTTTGAATAAGTTGTCTGTATCAATTTTGCACACTTCTTAGTTCACCTTGAAATCCCTTTTCCAACAAGATCGACTTAAACCTTTCTACCTTTAGTCGCTAGGATCTGATATCTTTATTGCCCTGTCATACACTCACAAGGGCAATAGTTTTCCTTCTCAAGTAAGATGATCAAACTTGTACACAAATCGATATCTAACCTTATAGAACCTGTGCAGAAAGCTCTGCATTTTGTTTGACCCTCAACTCTCCTTTAAGCCATTCATCCATATTTTGTCTGTCCGCTTTCCTCTATCGCCACAATATCGCCCGTCTCTTCAGTCCATCACCCCCAAAATAGCTGAAACCCTCATTTATGCCTATAACACCTTCCAGATTTGACTTGTCCAACTTCCTGTTCACTGTCCTCCTCAGCTGCACCCTCCACATGCTCCAGAGCATACAGAACTCTGCAACTCACTTTCTCTTACGAATTAGACTGCAAACTCATTACCCCCATCCTTGCTTGGAACCAATGGCTCATTTCCCATTTTAAGATCCTTATCCACACCTTCACATGCCTCTACAAACTTGCTCTATCCTAACTATGCCATCTTCTGTGGACCCTTGTCCCCTGGTCACTACTGTACTGCCTATGCTACTCCCTCCATTATGCTAACTCTGGCCTGCTTCATGTAGTCTACTCCATGGTCATTAGGCAAGATTACACCCATTTTGCTCCCACCTTCCAGAACTACTGAAATCCCTACTTTCTTTCAAAACCTTTCAAAGCCATATCAACCTGTCCGCTCGCTCCGGTCAGCAGGTTCCGACCTGCTCCAAGTCCCCGGCCCGGCCTGCTCCAAGGCCCCGGCCCGGCCTGCTCCAAGGCCCCGGCCCGGCCTGCTCCAAGTCCCCGGCCCGGCCTGCTCCAAGTCCCCGGCCCGGCCTGCTCCAAGTCCCCGGCCCGGCCTGCTCCAAGTCCCCGGCCCGGCCTGCTCCAAGTCCCCGGCCCGGCCTGCTCCAAGTCCCCGGCCCGGCCTGCTCCAAGTCCCCGGCCCGGCCTGCTCCAAGTCCCCGGCCCGGCCTGCTCCAAGTCCCCGGCCCGGCCTGCTCCAAGTCCCCCGGCCCGGCCTGCTCCAAGTCCCCCGGCCCGGCCTGCTCCAAGTCCCCCGGCCCGGCCTGCTCCAAGTCCCCCGGCCCGGCCTGCTCCAAGTCCCCCGGCCCGGCCTGCTCCAAGTCCCCCGGCCCGGCCTGCTCCAAGTCCCCCGGCCCGGCCTGCTCCAAGTCCCCCGGCCCGGCCTGCTCCAAGTCCCCGGCCTGGCTTCTCCAAGTCCTCCGCCTGGCCCGCCCCACCATCATCGGTCGAGGCTTCACCCTCTCTACCCTCACACTTTGGAACTCCATCCCACATTCCCTTTGCCTCATTCCTTTGCCTCCTTCAAGGCACATCTCAAGACCCTCCCCTTTGACTGTGTCTTTGGCCACCACCCTCCGTGTCCTCCGCCCTCCCAATGCCTCCCCCCACCCCGTTTGGGTCCAACCAAATCCCTGACCTTCCAACGGCTTGGAACATCCTTCCAACATCAAAGGCGCTATACAAATGTAATTTTGTATTGTAAAAACATCTAAAGACCTATCTCTTTGATTCTAACTTTAACCACCTCTTCTACACCCCATTTCGCCCTCCCAGCTTAGGCTACCAACTCCATATTTGTAAAGTATTTTGAGACATTCCTATGTTAAAAGCACTATATGTGTGCAAATTGTAGCCAAGGCGGCACTCAGTAACTTACTTTATAATTATAGTGCATGTTATTAGTACACTTTCAGGGTTGTTAGTGGTGTTTTGGAGGAGATCTTATGAAGGGTCTACTTTTTTTTAAAAAATCAACAAACTGTAAACTGTGTACTTGAGATGTGCACTTGCATTTATAATGGATTTGCAACAGTGATTGGTTTTATTTATATCAGAATAATCCATACATTTAATGTAGCGCCTTTTATGTTGGGAGGACGTCTCAAAGGGCTTCCCAAGAAATACTGGAAAGTGTATACTGACTGTGTATTTTTGTAGGTGAATGCAGCTGCTAGTTTGGGCACAGCAGTGTCCCACAAACTGCCATGAATTGAATGACCAATTTTATTTGGAAGATTGTTGGCTGGGACACCAAGATAAACACTTTTAACTCAAACTTGGTGATCTACTCACTTCACCTTTAAATCAATTTTTAATGCTTTTAGTATTTCTCTCCATGGTTATCTGATTTGCTTCCTCAAGCTGGTTTGTATATAACATGCTTTTTCTCTTTTTACCTTTGTACTTGTCGATTAGGTTTTAAGTCACAGATGCAGCATCTTAGTGCAGTATATTCAGTTTTGCTAATAGCACCTCACGGAGGCTCAAACTGAAATTGCCTTGTAGACAAAACTGGATTCACCCTGATCACGTTACAAGCAAAGCAATCCCTAGTTTCAAAACTTTTTCTCCACTCTCTTTTGGTGCTTGTCTTTAAAGATCCCCGAGTTAGCACCAGAACAGTATGACATTGCACCTGGAGCACTGAGCACAGTGTCTGCAGTAATAATTGGCCAAGTTACATAAAAGAGAAACAGATAGTTGGTAATAGAGGTATTAAAGTGTGAGGCAAAAGGGTATTGGGATAAAACAAGCTGCCAGAATTTAATAAGCTGGTGGAATAGGTTCAATGGTCTGAGTCTCCTTCTGTCAGTTTTCTATGTTCCTCAGTTTCTATCACAAGATTAATTCAGATGAAGCCGAGGGTCCTTTAGCCTTTCTTATCTCATCCTTCCGGAACACCTGCTTATCATTCTCCCTACCAAAAAAAAATGAGTTCAGTGTCCTGGACTCAACTACCCTTTATGGTTTGAAAAAAGTTCCTGATGTCTGCCCTGGAATTGCCTTTTGCAACTCTAAACTTGTGTCATCTAGTTCTATGATTGGAGAGAAACTTCTATTGAAAAATGTTTTGGCTGCTGAAGGTTGGCTTTACTGAAAAACATTGCATTGGTTCAGTGGAGAATTTACTAATAGATTTAATACTTGAATATTTCACATCTGAAATGGAAAGCAAGCTGAAAACATTAAGCTGATCACTGCAAGACATATACTAATGATCTGGAAAACCAATGCAAAGAATGTACTACATTCTCAAGTTATGAACAGCTTATAAGTTTCAGACTCACAAAATAGCAGGACTTTAGATTCGGATGCAGGAATGCTTTAAAATTCAGTAAATGTGCACCCTAGTTTTCATGATCCCGGTAGACCCGTTCAGTGATAATTCAATAAATTGCCCACTGTACCTGACCTAATGCTAATGAGATTAGCAACAAGATTCGCACAAACATGTTTAATCTGCCAATGCTCCTAAATTGTGGCATTTTCTTTGGTTTCTGTTTTCTTTGAGTGAAATGTTTTAAGTGCCAATGTTTGTGCAAGTCTGTTGGGTCACTAAGACAATGAGAGAATAGTCAGAATATTTAATGGATTTTAAGAAAAGAGCAGGAAAGGACACCACTGATTATACAAAAACACTTCAAATGTGTAGTTGATGGAAATGTCTTTTTTTAAACTGGTTATGTTGTCTTCACTAACATTTTTACTGATCATGTGTTTCTTACAATGCAGAAAGTGCCCTCACCACATTCTGTGGTAAATGCTGTAAGTGATGAATCCGTTACCAAGACGAACTTAGGATTCATACATGCCTTTGTTGCTGCCATATCGGTGATCATCGTTTCTGAGCTGGGTGACAAGACATTCTTCATCGCGGCTATTATGGCCATGCGCTACAATCGCTTGACTGTCCTTGCTGGAGCTATGCTGGCATTGGGACTAATGACCTGTTTATCTGGTTGGTGATTTCCTCTTTATAAAGCAATGATGTTAAGAGCTTGTGTTTTCTTCCAAAAAGATGCATTATTGTTGAAAGGATTGGACCGATTGCACAAAGTGGTTTACTGTAGATTTTGTTCTTTGATGGTTAGCTATGTAGTATAGTTAACTGTGGAACTTGATGCCTGACTGGTTTATAACTTAAATGTTTAACTAATTTGTAAATGAATTCTATAAACTAGTGAGTGGAACACGCTCAATTTTGATTGCAGTGCAACGGCTGTTTGAATTTCAGAACCACTGCATGTTATTTGCCTTCTAAATGTTGTGGACAATTCAGGTACTGCTGGACAATAATTATAGGAAAGTGACTAACATCAGTTATATAGATCTATTCAGTTTTTCAGCTATGCCAAGCATTGTTGTCATTTGAGATGCAAGATAGTAGTATTGGCTATTGTGTTTGTGTTTTTTTATGTAATAGTGTTCTTTTCCAGTGGAATGTAATTATTCGCCAGGGATTTCACTTCATTTGTTCTAAATAGCACTTTAACCTGTAGAAATATTCCAAACAATAGTGATCAAAGTATGTTTCTTTGTTTATATTGTGTTTTTATTGGTTACAGTTCTTTTTGGCTATGCTACCACAATAATTCCCCGAAAGTATACGTACTATGTATCAACTGCATTGTTTGCAATATTTGGCTTCCGGATGCTATGGGAGGGTTTAAAGATGAGCCCAGATGAAGGACAGGAAGAGCTGGAAGAAGTACAAGCTGAAATTAAAAAGAAAGATGAAGATGTACGTTCAAATACCATTGTATACTGTACCTTATACTATTTTAAATGAGAATGTTTCAATTATCTGTTTCAATTCGATATAGCACCTTACCGTGTTATTGAGACGTATCAAAGTGCTTTTCAAGATTGTATTGCAAAGTTCAGTGACTGAGTATTTGTAGGCAAATGCAGCAGCCAATTTGACACAGCAATACCCACAAACAGCTACGAAGGGAATCACCAATCGTATCTGGGGATTGTTGGTGAACATAAAACTAATCTTTAGTTTAAATCTTGAAATTAAAGTGTTATCCAAATTTAATAAACATTATAATTACAGTGCCAGATTTCATTAAAGTAAACTCTCTTGGAATTTGTTTTTGTGTTTCTACTAATCCATTTTCTTTCTCCTTGTGTTAAAGCTTCAGAGATCAAAGTTGGGAAATGGCCCACAAGATCTTGAGACTGGAGCATCAACACATCTGCCACAGAAAAGAAGAATGCCTTGTATTTCCCCAGTGTTCATTCAGGCATTTACCCTCACCTTTTTGGCAGAATGGGGGATCGATCACAGCTGACAACGATTGTGTTAGCAGCGAGAGAGGTGGGTTTGTCAGTCTCATTTTAACTTATTAAAATTAACTCAAATAATGGGCAAGTTGACTTTGTGGATGAATTTTTCCCTTGAGGAGAGCAAAAGCACGAAAAAAAACTCACACTCAATGTCACCATTAACTTTTCCGGGTCTGATCTTGTGGAGCCTCATGTGGATCTAAACTACTCAACCTCCATGGGCTCTCACTCAGACGCACCGTGCGCAACCTAAGCATCCGGTTCGACCCGCAATTGTCCTTCCTTCCCCACATCCGGTCCCTGACCAGGACCACCTTCTTCCACGTCCGCCACATTGCCCACCTCCGACTGTACCTTACCCCAAATGCAGCTGAAATGCCCGTGCATGCATTTGTCACATTCCGTTTGGATTACTCCAACGCACTTCTCGCCGGTCTCCCCAGCTCCACTATTCACAAGATCCAGCTCATTCAGAACTCTGCTGCCTACATACTGACCTTAACCAAACTCCGTACCCACATCTCACCAGTTCTGGCCAGGCTCCACTGGCTCCTTGAACGGATCGATTTCTAGATCCTCACTCGTGTTCAAATCCCTTCACTTTCTGGCACCTCCCTACCTCTCCGACCTCCTCACTCCCCAATCCACTACCCGGCACCTCCACTTGACTGGCACCAGCCGCCTGCTCGACCTTCACACCCTCTGCCCCATCATCGGAGGTTGCACTTTCAGCCACTACCCCCTGAAACTGGAACACTCTTCCCCCAATCCCTCTGCCTTGTTCCCTGGCTCCCAATTTTCAAGTCCCACCTGAAAACTTTCCTCTTCGACCGTGCTTAAGGCCGCCTCCCACCTCCCCCCAGCTTGGAGTCAGGCTCCACCACTGTTAAGCGCTCCGAGATGCTACCCTGCATTGAGGATACTATATAAGTGCAAGTTGTTGTTGTAGCTTAGACATGAAATAAAATTTTGGCAGGTTTAGCATAATGGGTTCTGGAAATAGGCATGCATTGTAACGTTTCCGTGTATGAGCATAATGGTTTCTAGGAGTGATCGTGCAGCATATTGTGTGTACAGCATAGCTGGTTCAGGAGATTAACACACATTTTTAAATCATTTTCTGGTGTTCTATCACTGTTTGCAAAATGTGCAGAAAACGCAAGGTTTTTTACAATGTTCCATAAGGGATTTGAGTGAAGGTACTTAAGTCATTGAAAGTGGCGCCACAAGTAGCAAAGGCTGTAAAGAAAGCTGGGTTTTATATACAGTGGCATTAATGCAAGAGTACGAAAGAAAAGTAATAATGTTTAGTTTGTATTAATCGTTGGTAAGGCTGCAATTGGAGTACTGCGTTCAGTTTTGGGCATTTCACTTCAGCAAAGATGTTAAGGCCTCAGGAGTTTTATAAGAATGATTCCAGGGATGAAGGAATTTTTTCACCCAGAGAGTTGTTGGGATGTGGAATGTTCTGTCAAGTTGGGAGGTGGAGGCAGAGTCCATTGTAGCTTTCAAGAGGGAAGTAGACAGGCATATGAAAGAGAGAGACTTGAAGGGGTATTGGGATAAGTGATCTTCTTGCTTTACGAACTGGTGCAGACTCGATGGGCCAAATGGCTGCCAAATGCACTGTAGATTTCTATGTTTCATAATAAATCCTGATGTGAAAAATACATGTTTTTTATTTCATGGATAAATAACTTTAATGGTCCTTAGCTTAGTTATTCTGAAATCACTAGTCAATCCTGCCTTTAGGATTCCACGTGCAATATCACCCCACCCCATGTTTGATTACAATGAACAAGGCACACAGGATGCTGGGCTACAGTGCTAAATCAGATCCGATCCCGGAAATACTTGTGCAGTATTTGCTCTGGTCAGACCACACCTAGAGTACTGTTTACATTTCTGCACACCTCGATATAAAGGGTTGGCACGTTCCTAGAGTCAGTGCAGAGGAGAGCAAAAACAACAAAATTACATTTGTATAGCGCCTTTCACGTTGGGCAGATGTCCCAAGGCACTGGACAGACAGAGTTACGGACCCGAGCTGAGGGTCGGGTTGGGGGAGGCAAAGGGGAGGAGCAGGGAGATCAAAAGCACAGTCGAAGAGGAGGGTCTTCAAGGTGTCGAGGGAGGAGGTGAGATTGTGGGAGAGGGATTGTGGGATGGAGTTCCAGTGGGTGGGTGCAGAGTGGTGGAAGGCCTGCCTGCCGATAGTCAGGCAAGTAAGGCAGGGGCCGTGAAGCAGGCTGGAGCCCGCTAAGCGGAGGGAGTGAACGGGGTGAGAGGGGATTAGGAGGTCGGAGAGCAAGACCGTGGAGGATGATCTCCAGTGTTAGAGGAATGAGCAACAATTAGACAGATAGGGCTCTTCAGTCTTGAGAGAAGATGACTTAGAGGGGACTTCATAGAAGTGTGTAAAACTTTAAATGGGATTTAAAAAGTAAACCCAGAACAATACTTTAGGATGCACCAAGAGCCTTTTTTAATCCAAACTAATCTTTTGAAAAGATTCAGATTTTAATTTAGCTAAGGTTTCCTCCTGTCCAGTTCCAAGAATACCTATTGAGTCATGACAAAGGAGAAAATGGGGTAGAGGACAGGGGATGATGGGTCACCTCAAGGCTTGATGTCACCTCAAGGCTTGAATTTGGGAACTCCCTCCTCATCGGCATTCCCAACTCTTCCCTTCACAAGCTGCAGATCATCCAAAACTCAGCAGCTCGTGTACTCTCACCCACCAAGCTTCGTGACCCCACCCTTGCCCGACTCCACTGGCTCCCCATCCCCCATAGGATCAAGTTCAAGATCCTTGTCCTCACCTTTAAGGCCATCCATGGCCTTACCCCCTCCTACCTCTCTGACCTGCTGACTCCCTACCAACCTGCCCCCTCCCTCCGTTCATCAGGCTCCGGCCTTCTCCATGTCTCCCGCCCGACCCACCCTACCATCGGTGGCCAGGCTTTCAGCCTCTCTGCCCCCACACTCTGGAACTCCATCCCACAGTCCCTTCGCCTCACTTCCTCCTTTGCCTCCTTCAAGGTAGGTCTCAAGTCCTTTCTCTTCGATCGTGCCTTTGGTCTCCCTCCCACCTCTCTGCCTTCCCTCACCCCTACACCACCCCTCCCACATGCTCAGGCCCCGACACCTGACTGTTCAGCGCTTTGGGACGTCCTCCCGACGTGAAAGGCGCTCTATAAAGTAATTTTGTTGTGGTTGTTGTAAAGAGGTGTTAATGATGCATTTTCTCCTTTGTCTTCTTTGCCCTGCCTCCCCCCTCTCTGTTAGCCCTTAAAAGCCTCTCCCTACCAACATGCTCCAGTTCTGACGAAGGGTCGTGGATCCGAAACGTTGACTCACTTTCCTTTCTCCATAGATGCTGCCTGACCTGCTGAGTGTTTCCAGCGACTTCTGTTTTTGTTTTCAGATTTCCAGCATCTGCAGTATTTTGGGTTTTGTGATCTATTCTGTGCTTCTTGCAGGATCCCTTTGGTGTAGCTGTAGGAGGAACACTCGGCCATTGCCTGTGCACTGGGTTGGCAGTTGTCGGAGGAAGGATGATTGCACAAAAAATCTCAGTTAGAACTGGTAAGAACTAACAGATTTACAAATTAATGGAAGGATAATGCTGAAGTCCATAAACTGAGGACCTCTTCCATTATACCCTGGGAGATGGAATTAGGAGCAACTGGTCAACAGGGAGGTAATTCTCACATGTAGCTTAAACCTGATGTAGATTTAGTATATGTTTGGCAAATGCAGCCTGCGAGTTGGACAACACCTGAACAAACTGGTGCTCAATGGGTGCAATCAAATCCATTTTTGACTCTTGCTATTAAAATTTTACAGATCCCGAACAATAATTGGGAGACTGACAATTTTTTTATTGCTACCCGAATCTTTAAGAAAAGGTTTTGTTGCCTGAACTTCTGTACTCGGGAATGAATGGAACTGGTAGCTTTCTGGGAGCAGAAAGTACGTCCAAAATATTGTTCATAAATCTTTTCCTGAAGTGGCCAATGTAGGGCACAGTATTTGTTCTATCCATCTATTGCCATACTATCTGTTTTGGTCAAAATAATCCAGGGAGTTAAACTACAATAGTTTTACATTGGATTTGACAAATTTGTAGATGTTATAATTCAGAAGAAGAATGGTCTTATTAACTATAGAAAATTTACATTAATTTTGCTCTATTTTGTTTTTAGTTACCATCATTGGTGGAATTGTTTTCCTGGCATTTGCACTGTCAGCGTTGTTCATCAGTCCAGACAGTGGTTTTTAAGAAGAATACTTGATGTGCTGTCCAAGAAGAAGACTAGCATTGTTACCAGCTGTACCTCCTATATATGTGTGTGTGTGTGTATATATATATATGTACAGAATAACCACATAGATACAGAGGATGTAGTGTATATCTGACCATTGTGTAAAATGCACATGTAGATTCTGAAGTTTCTTGTGAGTTTTCAAACCAAACAACAGTGCTGCGCATCATATTTTACTATATAAATATTTCAGGAAATGGGTGGCCAGGCACCTGTTATCTACTGTAAAAAATGGAAAGCAAATCAAGGGGGAGGCAGCTATGATGCACCATGTAAGATAGAACTCCAGCATCAAGTTATCCTTTTGGGATTGGGAAATCAAACTTAATAGTGAAATAATTATTTATTGCAATGCTCACTTCACAATACATTTTTCTTAAAAAGTCTTTTGCACAGAACATTTTTCCTACATGGTCAGCAATTCACAATGTGTCATGCAAAGGATTGCTTGTCAATCTTATCACCGCTTTTTCCCTCTCGAATGTCTTGGGTTTCTTTATTTAAAATGGTTTGTCATAGTTTAAAGAAGGGGAAAAGGCACTTCTCAAAAACAATAATGCTAAGTATAACAATAATGCTTTTATTTCTTATAGTGCTTTATTACATCAAAGTGTCACAACACACTTCACAGGGAATTGTTGTCAATGTAGTAACTATTGGTAGGTGAATGTGACAGCCAATGTGAACACAGAGTTCTACCTACAGCTGTGACATGAATGACCAATTTTATCTGGACATCCGAGGACATCAGAAGAAACACCAGTCTCTTCAAATAGTGTATCTTTAAGGTTCACATGAACAGATAGAACGGTTTGTCTCAGCCAAAGAACAGCACCTCCAAGAATGTGGCGTTCCACTCCCCTCCCCACAACGCTGCACTGGATTCTCAGCCTGGACATGAGCTCAAAGTCCTTGACACAATACTTGAGCCCACAACAATTGATCAGCATTACAAAAAAAGCTTTTAACTATAGGAATAATGCCTCTTTAGAAGGGAAGGTAACATGCAATAGGTCTGTTAGAATAACTAACTGCTTATCAGAGGACAGTGTCTTCGTAAGCTCAGTTTGAAGTGCTCTGTTGTGTCCCTGATAATACTTGGAGAGACAAGTGAATAATGTAATGAAAGAAGTTACTTCAGTAATTTTTTTAATATTATCTTGTTAACTGAGTTTGCTAGTACAACCTCTAAATTATGAGCATTTCAATTACAATGTTTGTGTTAATTGTTCAAATTGTTTAACAATTGTGTGGCCGTTTGCTGGTTACCAGTGTGCTTTTGACTGGACAGATCTTCATTTAGAAATATGGCATCAGCTGGCTTACTGATGTTTTGAAATGCCTGCTGGAGAATTGATCAGGAGTAGGAAGCAGCGGTTGTTTTTGCAATATTTTTAGGATTAAAATAATAATACTTGCATTTGAAATAGCACTCTCACGTAATTGAATCATCTCCAAGCGCTTTACAGGATATACTGTGAAGTTGATTGACTGTAATTGTTATTGTGAAGAACTGCAAAAAAAGTAAGTGTTGTTGAACCTGTTATTACCCTGTCAGAATATTGCTCTAAAATCAAGTACTGTACATATAAATCTGTCCAAGATCATTGTAAAGTTTAGTATTCGTTTAGTTTTTAAGATGAATGTTTGCAGGAGACCCAGCAGCATTTTTTTTGTTCTTGTCTAAAATTGTGGAAATAAATCTGTCACTATTTTCAGGTTATATTTTTTCTTTTACCACAAATTTTGGTTGAACTGTAAAAACTCACCATCTGAAAATGCCAGTAATAACCTTCAAACTGAATATTTCAACCAGTTGAATGGAGTTTGAAATATTGCATTTCATATAATTACCAAACAATAACTTGAAAAATATATCTTCAATGAATAGTGGCAATCACGTCAACCACTTTAATTTGGAGCGATTTAGAACATTTCAAAATGCTGAGATAATGTCTTTTCAATGTTCAAAAAAAAATTCTTATCTAAAGCTAAATAATTGCTGCCATGTTGAATAGCACAGCTTTGGCCTGACTTTATCTTGCAAGATTTATTGCCACTGTTGTATCTGTTCATAATTAAGTTTGATAAAGAGGTATTCATAAACTTCAGTTTATACGTGGACATTAACAAATATCCAAAATAAATTTGCACAACTTAAGATCCAATTCGTGACTATTTCACTACATTCAAGTTTATCTTATCACACTCTGAAGAGGTTAAACTGTTCAGCATTTTACACAAATATAAATATGTTAGCAGTATAAGATGCTCTTTACTAAGGGAATTTTGGAATATTTTGTGATTGAAGATGAAAAGAATTTTGAACAACTAGGATTGTTTTCTTAGAAGCTAGAAAACCTCAAATAATTTGAATTAGCAGGTAACAATCATCTACACAATATATAGATTTCTGGGTATAAATATCTCCAATTTTAATGTCACACTTTAATTTCTCTATATAGCATTTACTGATATGGTGTTGGTATATGTGGCAATACAGGATAAGGATTTTAGAGTAACGTTTGAGCTGATACTTTTAAGAGCATTTGTAAAATGTTACCTTTGCATATTTTCAATGTGGTCCAAATGATTGATAATTAGATGGCAGCTTAGTGTTTTGGTACGGTTAAAAACTGTGATTCACTGAAGTGAAAAGGACGGGAAATAATTACCCAGGTGCATTAATTGGAACTTCTGCAACCTGAGGCAGATATGCTGTCACTAAACTAATTAGTACCAGTAAAGTTGGTTTAAAAATGAAATTTTGTTGTAAATGCAATTTTGTTGTAAATATATTCTCCTGATGCCAACAGCCTGCATTAAATCGAAACACTTTGGGGAAATCTTGAATTTCCACTTGCTTTGTTGCTGTTTCAGTACAAATAAGATTGTGTAAATAAAAACAGTGCTTTAAGAAACCTTGGGTCATTTGAGATGGGAAGCAGAGTTACGTGGTTGATCTGGGCATAGACTTGGCCAGTTTGTAGTCTTTGCTGGGAGTTGGGAAAGATACACTCTTGAAGCCAGGTGAATCTGCACATTTTTTACCTTTCAGACTTGCAATTTTCAAAAAAGTGCAACAGGAGGTTAAGTATTCAATAAACTTTTGCAAGTTATTTATCAGGTACTCAGCTGTTGGATTCATAAATGAAAATGATGCACCTCCTTGGCAATAGTACTGTGATTCCTATACTATAATTGCTTTTGCTTATGTTCAGTGTTTTTCTTCCATGTAATAACAGGTATAGTAGTCTTGCTTTGCATTTCTAAATGTCTTAATTTTCTAACATTCAATTAAATTAGTCAGTAAAATTACATAGAGGTGGAGTACATCTTGCATACAGATTACCAGAATAATTCTTTTTTTTTTTAGTTGTGAAGACTAATTTGTAGGACCATGAAAATATATCAATCTACATTGAAAAAAATATAGTACAGTACAAATGCTGGACATAAGTCAAAACATTACATAAAGGCTGTGCTTTTAAGTGTGAATGCTAATATTTTTGTCTCGCAGGATTGGACACTTATTTTGAAATGGAATTTAGTTCTGCTATATTCAAAACATCAGCATGACTACACAGAATTTTCCACTATGAGTCCCCAGTACAGGTTTTCAAACTTCCTTTATCCAATATTTTGAGTTTATCTCGAAGGTTATCGACTGTTTGTAATTTATTATAATGTTGCAGGTTTCGATCTACTTGACTTTGTCTAGTACAAGGTGCTTTGATCTAGAAAGCTACAATTAAGTCATTTGAATTCACAAGATATATTTTTTGGCTAGTGACATTGCAAAATTTGAAAGGTTTATTGTATGCATTAACTTGATTTTTACTAAACCTTAAATCATAGTTTTTGGGTTTTGTTTTTAGTTTGTGGTATTTTTATGTATGTAGGAAAAGTTGTGCTGCTGATACACCCACCGTTTTGTATTGTTAACTCGCAATATAAATGTTTGGTCAATATTTGACGCATTGCAGCAACATTTTCGTTTCAATAAACTTTTTTGACCCTGTACCGATTGTGTAGTGCGGATTAATCTCATGAAAGTTCAAAAATAAGTTTCAACTTAAAAAAGGACAATGTGAATTAATGTGAATTGTTTCTACCTAAGATGAGCAACCTCCCTTTTCACCCCTCGCCTTGTATTTGATTGAACTTTTTTTGCTTTCATGCAATGGTCAATCAAAAGTACAATACAAATTACAGTTGTATTAATGCCTTTCATGTCTGGAGGATGTCCTAACAATATTAGCTTGGCACTCGAGCTAGGGATGGAAATGATGACTCAAAGTGGAGTCATAGAGTTTGGTCTTGAGATGGACCTTGAACAGGTTGAAGGAGGGAGTGAGTCATAACAACAACAAGATTCCATTTATAGAGCACCTTTCACGTCGGGAAGACGTCCCAAGGCGTCATAGGGATAGATTTCCAGAGAGATAAACTAAAAGCCTGCCCACCAATGGTGAAGTGGGTAAGTGCGGGAGACATGAAGCAGGCCGATGACTGCTGAGCAAAAGGAGCGGCTTAGTCGGTAGGGTTTGAGGAGGTTGCAGAGGTAGGGTGGGTGGGTAAGACCATGTAGTGGATATGAAGGTGAGAATGAGGATCTTAAACTCGACCTGCTATAGGATGGGGAGCCTATGAAGCTGGGTGAGGACTGATCAGATAGACTCGCAGAGCCTTGTGTGGGAAAGGACATGGGCACCAGAGTCCTGAATAGTCTGCAGTATGTGTAGGGAAGAGCTTGGTAGTCCAGTGAGCAGAACATTGGTAGTCAAGTCTGGATGTGATAACTATGGATAAGGGTCTCAGTGGCTTGAGTGGAGAAATAGCAGCAGAGGTGGGTAATATTTTGGAGGTGGCGGATCAGTGTCTTTCCTTGAAATGCAGTACATCTTCATTCCTTGTGCACTAAATTCAATTTGAACAAGATTGTCTTTAGATATGAGGCAGAAGGAAATGAATTTGAGTGCTTTAGTAGTAGTTGTCAGTCTGCCAATTATGAATAGATGCCAAAAAAGGCCATTTGGCCCAATGTTTGCACCAGCTTTATTAATCCTTTTCGTAACAAAACAAATCATGGTCACAAGTCCTCTTTGCCATAAAAAATAAGGTCAACCTATTTTTTCCATAAGATTGCCAGATCTTGTTATGTTATCCCATGTTTCCATGAACGAAAGGATGAGTAATATCTTTCATTTACTGACCAGAGCTCCATATAGTATTCAAGGTGAAGTTAGTAAAATCAACTGCTGTATCATGAATGTTCATTGGGAGCTGTATTAAGTTTCACAACATGCAGTTCCAGGATATTAGAATTCATGCATTTTATGATCATTTGAAATAATAATATTTCGGGAAATTAATTGATTTGGTTTTTAGTGATTTGTGGATATGGACCCAAATCTCTTTGCTCTTCCACAGTACTTAATTTCTCCCCATTAAAAAAAAATTCTGCTTTATCTTTTTTCGGTCTGTAGTGGATAACCTCACGCTTCCCTACATTGAACGCCATCTGCCACAGCTTTGCCCACTCACTTAATCTGTCTAAGTCCCATTGTAACTTCCTACTCCCATCTACACAATTTACTGAGCCTTTTACCTTTGTGTCGTCTGCAAACTTTGATTTAAAAAAAACTTTCTATTCCTTCATCCAAGTCATTTATACATAATATATATATGTAATATATATACATACACACAAAATAGTCCTGTTGGACAGAACTAGTGCCTCCTCCTCTGCCTCTACTAAGTAAATGCTACCCTGCTGGCTATCAATCTCACACTCCTCTTTCTGTACCTAGCCTGGAATATTTAGCTCCCAGTCCTGCCCAGCGTGTAACCAGGTTTCTGTAATGGCTACTACATCACACCCTTTAAACTGAATTTGTGCTTCTAACTCACTTGTTTTATTTCTTATGCTACGTGCATTTGTATACATAACTCTTATTTGGGTAACTGACCCCAACATGCCTATATGCCCTGATGATGTTCTTCTCACACTTTTTGACTTGTTACATCTTTTGTAATAACTTCCTATTACCCTTTTCTTTCCTGTTCATGCCTTCATCACCTTCAGGGTCGACTATGAAAACGCCCTGCTGTCGGCCTTCCCAACTCCTCCCTCCACAGGCTGCAGATAATCCAGAACTCTGCAGCCCATGTCCTCTCCTGCACCAAACTCCGTGACCCGATCTCCCCTATTCTCGCCCGACTCCATTGGCTCCCTATCCTTCAGAGGATCCAGTTCAAGATCCTGGTTCTCACCTACAATGGCCTCGCCCCACTCTACCTCTGCGACCTCCTAACCCACTACCAACCCACCCGTTCCCTCCACTCAGCCGGCTCTGGTCTGCTCCACGTCCCCCGACCCACCCACCCCACCATTGGCGGGAGAGCCTTCAGCCAATCTGCCCCAACCTCCGGAATTCCATCCCCCAATCACTCTGCCTCGCCCTCTCCTTAGCCTCCTTCAAGTACCGCCTCAAAACCCTGCTCTTCGACCATGCCACTGGTCACCCCCCTTCCCCTCCCTGACCCCAGCTCGGGTCTGAAATGCTGTACGTTGTCCAGCGCCTTGGAATGTCCTCCCGACATGAAAGGCGCTATACAAATCTAATCTTGTTGTTGTAGTATTTGTTATCTTTATCACTATTTGTAATATGACTGTTGCTCTCATCCTCTCCTTGCCTTACCCACCTGAACCCCCCGCCCCCCACCACCTTACTGGTTTAAAGCTTTTTCTACAGCCATACTTATCCTTTGCGCTAGAACCTTGGTCAAAGCCCCATTCAGGTGCAGCCCATCCCAGAAGTACAGCTCATTCCTGTCTCAGTACTGGTACCAGTGTCCCATGAAATGGAAACCCTCCTTTTCACACCACTCTTTCAGCCACATTTTCCTGATCTGTTTATCTCTATACCTATTTGCACGTGGCTGGGGTAGCAATCCAGGGATTACCACCTTCAAGGTCTTTTTTTTAAATTTAGGCCCGAGCTCTTGATACTCCCTTAGCAGACCTCCTTCTTGCTCTTTTCTATGTCATTGGTTCCCACATGGAAAACGACAACTGTTCTTTCCCCTCCCTTTCCAAGTCCCCTTCCAGCTGCTTTGAGATATCCCTTACCCTGTCACCAGGAAGACAACACATCCTCCTAGATGCTCAATCTCGACTGCAGAAAATACCTTTGATCCCCTTAATTATGTCATCCCCTATAACTACAATGTTTCTATTCTGCTCCCCCCCACCGCTTGCACTGCCTTCTGCTCTATGGTGCTTTGATTTGCATTCAGGCCTCCTTCCCCACAGACTTTTCCCTCATCCAATGTAGCAAGTACATTATACCTCCTTCTCTGCCTCTACTAAGTAAATGCTACCCTGCTGGCTATCAATCTCATACTCCTCTTCCTGTACCTCTCTACATGGCGTGGCTATGTTCTGAAGTAAATTGTCCAAATATTCCTCCGCCTCCCTTATGAGTCAAAGTGTCTCTAACGTGCACTCCAAGTCGAAAACCCTGAGTGACTCAAGACACATGCACTTTTCACAGATGTGACCATCAGGGACAGTCTTACTATTCACAAATTCCCATATACTGCAGCTTTGACACACTACATGTGTTGCCATTACCCCTTTCTAGCTTCTACTCCACTTAACGTTTAGGATTATTTATATATTACTATATTATCTATAATGTTTAAATTTACAAGGTTTTACCTTCGCCTTTTATTTGTTTTTAGTTATTTTCCCCTTAATCTATTTTACCATTGACAATTTCAGGGTAAATAGATAAAACAAGTAATTTCGACCCTTTTGTTCCTTGCTCACACTGCTTAATACTTAACACCTACTTACTCAGAGATAAATATGTCTAGCCCAACCCTAATTCTACACCTGACTTCACTCTCTGATCTCTCACAGGCCCCTACAGTGTAGAACATCAGCGTCCTGTTCCACCCTCAACTGTCCTTCATGCCCCACATCCGTGCCATGACCCGCTCTGCCTTTCACCACCTCTGCAAATTCACCTGTCTTGAAATTACTGTGGTTTTCAGATATTAAAGACTTTGAAAACCTTTTATTTAGTCCCATGAACTGTATAGCAGAAAACAATGCATACAATGGAGCACATAGAACACTGAATACCATTCACAGCTATTAACTGATATACTACTGAGGAACTATTAGTTGATGTTAAACATTTAAAAAGTACAAGAATCAAATTATTTGTTTCATTTTCAATCAATTTGGCTTCAAAAGGAATTATTTTTCCTCCTTTGCAAACATGTAACACTGAATTTTTCCAGATACTTTGAAATACTGTAACAGTAATTAAAATTAGTTGCCTGTGTGATAAAATTTTTCCATTCTTTGGGGGAAATAGAAAAATGGCTAATATATGATGTGATTTCATCACCATGCATACATAAAGATCACAACAGATTGTCTACTTTTCTAGGGTTGGTTCTTCATAAATAACAACCTTTGGATTCTGTATACAAATGCAGCCTAATAAGCATATTCCAGTAATGTCAGTTTGTTTAGTATATTATTGGTAAGAAATTGGCCTTTACCAGTAAGCATCACTTCAAAACATTATGTTGAACAAATATTGGCTAGTAGTGGATTATTATTATTGAAAGCATCCAAAGTGTGTAAATTGTGAGAACATGGAGTACACAATGCTTCAACATGTAGGGAATAATAACAATAATCTTTGCATTTGATATTGAGCCTTGAAATGTCTCAAAGCGTTTCACAGTATATAGTGTAAAGTGAATTCACTGTATATTTTGTGGGTGAAACTCAGCAGCCAATTGCACACAGCAGCGTCCCATAAACAGTCAAATAGAGACCAGATTTTACTTAGTCACTATAGTATTTAAATATTTTACTCAAGAAGTCACAGGATACAAATTTCACATTAAATGGAAACAAAGAAAAAATCAGGTGACTTTGGTGTGAAAATTAACTTTACTACTTTACTACTACAGAATTTGTACCAACATATTCTGCAAACAAATTTTAATGTTGGCCACTTCAATTACATCACAATGGAACCCAAAAGAAAAATCAGGTTCAAGTGTAAAACAGGAATCCAGATTTTCCAATTCAAGTGGAAACAAGTAGTCCTTAGTATCTGATTTATTTTGCATAACTTGTTTTTTCAGTCAGTATGACAATTTTAATCCCATTTTATCCCATGAAGCAGCACAGTAAACAAACTGACCTCAGCAGTTGGAACATACCAATGACGACATATGGTTTGTATATGTTGAGTGAATGGTACATTAAAAATTAAAATAACTTTTGCATCTTTCAGAAATGTAGTTAGCAATATTCAAACATATGAACAGATTATTTTCATGCATCATATAAAATATTTCTCTCCTTTTCCATTATTTACACATTATTTTACAGAATCTATACAATAGCACATTCTTTCATAAAATATTTTCTGACCCATAATCATTTGACACCAAATGTCCTTTAAATTCTCTTCATAATATTTCAAATAAATCACAGAGGCAGCAGCACACAGGAGTGACTACACTCTGCAAACATCAAAAGCAGTCATTTATGTCACCATTAAAATAAAAACTAGTTATATTAGTGCTCATTTCTGGATTTCTGAATTTGTTAAGTTTTCTAAATTGGACAATAGTTGGCAGTGCATTTTTGCAGAATCAAGGAAATAGAAAACTGTCAATCAAGGAAATAGAAAGTCCTCCAAACCTCTCCCTCTTTCTCAAGAATCATCTTGTGTTGGTCTAAAAGCACCTCGTAGTGAGTGGATGCATTTCCAGAATTGGAACATACCAGTTTCACCAGTTATTAGCAGCAGAGTTCAGAACACTGCATTTATTTTAATAATGAACTAAGATTAAAAAGCCCAATTTTAGAGATAGAGATTACTTGATATAATTAGTCCTTTTTTTAAAATCGTCACAGTTTACTCTTGCTGTGCTTTTGAAGGATCCGATAAACTGTCTGTCCTTGGCCGTGAGAGCTGCTGCTGTTGAGTAAAAGTATTTTGTTGTAGAGGGAAAGCAGCTGACAAGATAAACTGGGTGGATTGGCTACCATGGAGCAATCGAGGTGCCTAAATTTAAAAAGACAAAAGTACAACATTTACAATCTAAAGAAAAAAATTAAAATAATTTTTCAGCATCCAAAAACCATACAACACAGGAGGTCCTAACCTCAAACAGAATCCAAACACTCTGCAAATACTTAATTTTATCTGTTGCTTTCTTCAATGCTACCAGGGACATTCATGCCCTGGCAGTGTTGAAGAGAGCAATCAGGTGATCACCAATGTTTAAGGGATAAGCTAATAGAAATCACCAATAATTTAAGATTCTTCGTCTTAAAAACAAAGTATTTCCGAGATAATCTGATAAAAGTTGTACAATGGGAAGGTGGACATAAGCCTCAAAACAATACTTTCAGATATACCAAGGCACCAGAAGAGGTACAAGTTCAGTCCTGAACTTTACAGCAGACACCAGAAATATTTCTTTATATAAAGTCTAAACAACAACTCTCATAGGTTTTCTGGAATGGTGATGAAGCCAGATCTACTGAACTCATTTAAAGAGCAGATTGATTTTCAAAGACTAAGAAGTCATGTAATGGGAAGATGTTGTAGTTGGTATTATAGAAAGATGAGATCAAATGAATCGAAGTCTTCTTCTTCTGAATCTTATTTAAAAAATCTTAGTTCCTGATCAGCACCATATATGAGTGTTACAGGAATTTCTGAAATATTTTTAATTTCCTGATTTTGTGCTACTTATTTGACATTGAACTGAATGTCCCACTACTACAGCATGTTCATACTGGAAAAGAGAAGATTGAGAGGTGATATGATTGCTGTCTTTAATATTCTAAAGTGGCTAGACGATATAGATCATGACAGGCTGTTTCAATTTGTCCAGAATCGTAAAACCAGAGGAAACGGCCTGCGATTGAAGGGGGTAAATTCAGAACGAATCTATGCAAACACTGTTTCGGTGAATTAATAGTGAACCTGTGGAACAGGCTCCCTAGGGAGATGGTTGAAGCAGGAAGCGTTGATTCTTTCAAACACAGATGAGATAGTTTTCTTCTAGGAAATAACAATATGAGATGTAGTACAAAGGTAGTTTGGGATATATGTGCATGTGACCGCCAGGAATGTGGAAGGTGAACTAGATGGACCTTAGTCGTTTTTCGTCTAGCATTTCTTATGTTCTTACTAATGTCAATTGCCTAAAAGATTAAAATCTCTGAAACTAGCTGTTCTAGTACTTTGAAGCTATCAGAAAACAAATTAACAATATTTTTTAAGCCAATGCTTTAAATGAGTAAATAGTAAAATATGAACATACAATGAACAGTTGAAAATGAATTAATAAATCAATTTATTCATCCAACAATGAGAAATGATATTCTTTTAAAACATTTATGTATAAGTAATCATACCTGTAGGAATTGTTGGGGCTGGGAGAGTTGGGCTTGTGTTTGGGACTGCTGTGGAGATGTGACGGTTTGCTGTTGCTCTTGCTGGCTTTGAATCAGTGACAGTGTCTGAGGTTGTTGCTGAGTGGCAAAGGTGGGGTAGGCTGTCACTACTTGCCCCATGAACATAGTTGTTGGAACCATGACTGCACTGCATCCCATAGGAGTTGTCACCAGTTTTGTCACAAGTTGCTGTCCTTGAGTGAATCTAGTCAGAGAAAAATAAATGTGATGATTATTTATATTTTGTTTAGTATTTTCTGTTTGTTAATAAACAGGCCTTTTAAAAATGTCAATTCATTCCCAAATGAATTTTCACATTTTAAATATCAAATTTTAAAAAACAATTTCTCACTGGAAGGACTCAAATATGTTGTACCAGCAGTGCATACTTTATCATTGTTGGTCGTAAGAAGTGTCAGTAAGTACTTTGTAATATATTAAATCAAAAATGTTATTGGCCAAAAAAAAGTTTAATTTATCCATGTATTTCTACAGGAATTATTTCTCCCAGCAGAAATGGAACAGTTTCCTCACTAAATATTTTGTATGTGTGCATATCATACAATTAACATGAAGAACTACAAATATTTTACAACGATTAGCATTTTTATAGTGCCTTTCATATAAGATAACATGTTGGAGCACTTCACAACGATGGGTTTAGACGCCAAGCAAGGAATGAGATGATCATAGGTTTAGTCAAAGTTCAATTTTAATGTGAATGTGGTGACATTTGGATTTTCTACTGATAAAAAAATTATGTCAATTATCAATGCACAATTAAAGTTTGCATTACGAATATTTGAGCCTCCACATACACATCTGAAGCTGAGCACTTTGACTTTCATATCTGAAAAAATACACATGGCACAAAAATACAATCACACTTCATTTACTTCACTAAGCTTACCTTAGTGGTCTATCCTGAGTAAAAGTGGTAACTGCACTGCTTTGGTTAGAATTTGGGGATAAAGTGGAAGGAAGTTGCACAACATTTGCTGCAGTAGGCTGTGAAATCATCATTGTTTTATAGAGGGAAGCTGTGAGGGCGTTCTGTGTTTGGCTGGAAAATGAGGTTTGCTGGTTGTGGCTAGTTCGTAAAGTTTGTTGACCCTATATTAAAGAAAGATATTTTCCAAATTTTCGTTCAATAATCATGCACAATACAAGTCATATACAGTACAAATATTAAAGCTACATACACCTAATATCAGATTGATAAATTCATTCAAGCACTACATTTAAATAAAAGCACATTTCAGTATTCAGGATTAAAGTTCTTTAAGAATACTTTTTTTAGATTTCAGAGAACAAGGGATAAGATTTCAAGCTCTCTTCAGAAAAATGAATATTATCATATAGACCAGATATTTTTGAACTACAATAAACAGCTTGATAAGAAAATATAAAAATCAATAATATGATCAGCATTCATTTTAAATATTTGTCTGTATATATTTAAAGAAAAATGCTTTAAATATTTATATTATAAAATAAAATGTATCCATTTGTAACTCTGCTTTTAAAATAGATGCAGACCATATTGATAAATAATTTTATACAAAAAAAACAAAGTGTTTTTTTTTCTCCTCAAAGTATTTTGTTCTCAAATAGAATGGAATTTACTTAAGGAGATCCTAGATTCTCCTATTTAAAACTTGTGCACAACAGATCTACAACTTGCATTTAGATAACAGGCTTTTCAAGTATTCCTTGAACAGCATTTTAACTGTTCTTTTGAAGCTTAATGTTAATGAAAACAAATGTCATAAATTCATTCACAAATCACAACTGAAGGAAGACTTGCACTTTCTCACATTACCTGCAATGAAGTGGCGATTTGCTCCCTGAGAAGAGGCTGCCGTTGCATTACACACGGTGTGCTAATGTGTCCAGTTTTTATTCCCCCATGAACCTGATTGGGTTGAACAGATTGTCCCTGCAGTGTTATGGTTGTAGGCTGTTGGATGTTCGAGGTGTTTCCTGTTGTGAGTCGGACTGAACTGAAGTTTGCTCCTGTTGATGGCTTTTGGAGAAGCATCTTCAAAGGTAAAAGTTTCATATCAGTTCAAAATAAAATGTTAACAGTATGTAAATAATACCTATTAGAATAAAGTCACTACAAATAATAGGACATAATGTCAAGGAGAGTTGAATTAAAAACATTTGAAGGGTTATAAACCTTTCAATTTTCAGCTAGATACATATTCTACCCACAAAATAGTACATGATTAACAATTGCAGCAAGATTTTAGATTCTGTTTTTCTTGCACAGTTGTGAATATGTGAAATTGATGGTTAGATAAAGTTGTTAATGTTGCATTCACTAAAACCTTCAAAATGCATTAGGAGAATATCTGCTTTAGAATGCAATAGGGGTATGCTGATGGAAACAGTAAAACGCTATGTATAATATGCTGGCTCCTGAACCTCTGGGATCTTGAAATTACTATTTCAACAAAGGCAACGACTGAGTATGAACATTGTAGGTTGTAACGTTAGACAGGTACTATGACATTTTGGGTGACTTGCCTTTCCTCAGGAAATTAGTTAGGTACAATCCGTTAGATTAGAACATAAGAAATAGGAGCAGGAGTAGGCCATTTGACCCTTTGAGCCTGTCCCGCCATTTAATAAGATCATGACTGATCTTCTAACCTAATTCCATTTACCCGCCCTATCCCATATCCCTTAATCCCTTTAGTTTTTAAAAATCTATCGATCTCAGTCTTGAATATCAATGAATTGTTGAAGTTGCTCTGTGGCATTTCCCCATTTTATTCTTCCTTAAGTCCTTAAGATAATTTCTAATTCTTTTGTTTTTGAAAGTCACACAACTGATCATGAAGCACTAGATTGTATGTTTCTTTAGTCCCCAAAACACTAACACTATTTTCTTATTTAGACAAAATTCTAAGATAATCTACCATGTTTTTCAACTATGATGAGAGCCAAACAAGATTCTGTTCCATTTGGATGCATAATACGATGAGCTGGTTTATTTTGAGTAAAAAAAAAGGACGATAACATGGAATGTTGTCAGAGGATGTTGGTGTTCCAACACATACATTAACTCTATTTAGTTCCCATGCAAATGAGTTCGCACTAAAACGTGGCGAGTGAAGACTACGTCATTCACCACAGGATGAGAAATTTGTGGAGTTCTGCAGTGTAGTGGCTAGGGCACTCGTCTCGCAAGTAAGAGAGCCTAGATTTGTTTCCCGGGCAAGGCAAAACATGGACAAGTTTCCTTACTCCACACTCCTCTGTTTACCATCAGAAGTAGCCGATTGGCAGATTGCATTTCCAGGGGTAATAATCCCTCCAAAAAAATAATAATTTGATCACTCAATTCATGACTGTTTGTGGGACACTGCTGTGCCATTTAGCTGCCAAGCTTTGCCCACAAAACATCGTCATTTTACAGTATAGTTTGTGAAGTGCTTTGAAATGTCTTACCAATGTGATAAGGTGCTATATCAAATGCAAGGATTATTATCATTAGAAAACAGAATCAACGAATTCATTCTGGATCATTGTTGTGCACTCATAACAACAACAACTTGCATTTATATAGCACCCTTCACACGGTGTGCATCCTGGAGAACTACCCCCAGGGTCCAGGACTCATAAAATATAACTTTTGAGTGCACAAATGTTACAAATCTAGAGGCCAGGGAGCAAATCCCCTATCCACTTGCCTGAATTCTGAGGGGTCATGGGAAGAAAAAATAGGGAAGCAGAGAAAATAAAAAGGTGCTCATCTGACCAGGTGAATTGATCTTTTCCCTAACCCACCAATGATAAGGGTAGGAATTAATCTGTTGTAATCAACATAAACAAAGGCCTTGGTTAAAATTCCCAAAATACTCAACTGCAGCTACCATTCATTATTCTGACATACCTGAACTCCTTGACCCTGAACAAAGTGAAGTTGCTCTTGGATTTTGCGTAGTTCTTCCTGCTGACGCTGTATGTTTGCTTCCAGCATCCGTGTTCTTTGTTCCAGCTGCTCCTTCAGGTGCTGCATAGCTCCTAACTGTGCTGAGAACTGCAAAGTAGGCTGAACAGAAAATGTAACAATGTCAATCAACTGAAGGTTGAAATTCATCAACATATAAAAAATACCAGCTAAAGATAAATCAAAATCTTGTACATTAATCCATCTTCTTTGTAGTGAGACAAATAATAGTTATCAATTTATTCTTCATGTTTCTAAAAAAAACATGCAATATGTGTGGTTAGAGTTTTAAACCATCTGTTTAACTGATGAATATTTCCTGAGTAAATGACAGAGCACACTGAAGTTATTGATCACTGGGAAGAATTGTCAATATTCAACTGTCATATTTTTGTTAAAACGGGGAACAGCCATTAACTTGAATTGGAGGATGATTTTACTTTGAACAAACCCACCTTAGCAGGCGGATGGTAACAAATAACAAACATCGAATGAGAAAAATTAGGGTGCTAACATTAACAATACGTAAAATCTTGCTGAATTTTCCAAAACAAAGAAAACCTAAGTTTAGAAATTGGTACCTGTGTGAGGCTTGGCTGAATTTGTATAGAAGCACCAGGTTCACCAAGGATGGGTTGTGAAAGTGTTACTGTTTGAGCATTCACTGTCTGTTAATGCAAGAATGGGGAAAAAAAACTTACACCAATAATTCTTTGACCAGCACCATAACCCAATTGAAAGAAGGCAAAGCTAGTTTTACAATGACAGTACATTACAAAACAATGAATATATTGTGTGCACCAATATAATGATTCTCAACTATAACAGCAATTTAAACAGCACCCTCCACTTAGGATAATATCTCAGACCGCTTTACAATGATGTGGTTGGATGCAAAGCAGGGGAAGTGGGGAGGTGCGTTTGAAAAGGTAGGTTTTAAGGTGTGATTTGAAGACAAGAGAGCGAACAGAGGAGTAGAGGGAGGAAGTACCAGAGGTTAGGGGCATAGAATCTGAAAATTCAGCCACCGATGGAGTAATGCTAAAGCAAACTGCAGTTGTTTACGGTTCTTGCAGTAAACTTGAGTTAGCCAAGCAGATGTGGGTTTAGGAGGCGATCAGAGAAATAGGGAGGTTCTAGGGTCTGAAGGGATTTATAGGTAAGGATGTTGAAATCGATCTGCTGGGAGCCAGGGAGACTTGCAAGGACTGTTTCTATCCCCTTCTATTTTGGAAGGTGCCTATTGGGGTATACAGAATACCAGATATTGACTGAACGACACAAATACAGTGGAATCCACTTTGGCCAGACGCATTGGGGCAGGGAGTTTTATCCGATTTACTCAGCGTCCGGTAACCAATATTCTTACCTCTCTCTTCTCGCCATCTCCACTGGTGAGTACCTCTTTCCTCCCATTACCGTTCCCATTGGACGGGAAGGTGTCAATCACTCGGAGCTGCTACTAATTCATCCCCTCCCTATGCACCGGATGCAATCACTGCCCCCCACCCCTCCGCCAGCCGCTTGTGACTGAATGGAATCCACTGTCAATCGCATCCTGGCACTGCTTGTGGCTAAATGGAGCCATTCGAGACACAGAAAACACGAGCGAGTACATTCAGCAGTGACCAGCATGGCATTTTGACCAGATTATCAGGATTTTCATCCAAATTAACAGGCATATTTAAAAAACGGTCAGAATACATCTGAATCAGGGCTGAGCATTTCATCCAATTTACCCGGTGTCTGGGGTTAACTGACGTCCTGACCCAACTGTACAGCGCCTTGGGACGTCCTCCCGACGTGAAAGGCGCTCAATAAATGGAATCTTGTTGTTGTTGTTGTCCAGCTAAAGCAGATTTCAATGCATTAAAATAGCAGTTTGACACCATTAGCCCACAGCTGCAATAAAACAAATCTACAGCTCGGTTTAAAATCTCTCAAATCTTACCTGGCTGTTTAATGATGACCTTCTTTGTGGGGTCATTTCACGACCTGATGCAATCGTCTGCTGAGTAGGGATACTGGTTTCAGTCTGCAGTTTAGAGGATGTTGCTGTTATAATAAAAATAGAAAAACAATTAATAAAAAAACTAATTTGATTGAAGAATTCCAAGAAAAATGTAAAGTAATTCACTAATGACCTTGAGCTGAAATGTATGAAAACATACATATAACTATCATTTTTTTCAACTGCTGACATTCCAATGGATACAAAACTTTTCTGCCTAGTGCTGGGTATATATGGGACGTTGTCCCAACGTGAAAGGCGCTATACACATGTAATTTTGTTGTATATACAACTTCCTGCAGTCTTTCATAATCCTTGAAAAAATTGCTACCGCCTCTCTTTTCCCCCCCACCCCATCGGCAAATTTCAATGTAAAATAAATAAGAGGACTGTACTTACACACTGGATCAGAGATGGCAGTGTATGATGAAGACTTCCTTGAACTCGTAGAGGAAGCAGATGTTGCCCTACTGTGATCAAATCTTTCTAATGCCTCCTTCAGACTCACTGTGTTCAGCTTTGTGTCAGAACTAAAATCCTGAATGAAAGAGTGAAGACATTTCTTTCTCATCTCCTCTCTGGTTCTTTTGCCAATTAATGGTTACTTAGTGGCAAAAAATACCACAACTGACATTTATTTAGTAATTTTCTCATTGGAGGATGTCTCAAAGTGCTGGCTTGGCACCCAAGCCTGGGGTGGGAGCCAAAGGGAGTGGGAAGAAGGAAGATGGCCAAAAGCATAGTCAAAGAGGCCTTGAATGGAGGAAGGGACCGAATGAGTTGGAGAGGCTCTGGAATGGAGTTGAAGAGGGTGGAGCAGAATGGCAGAAAGCTTACCTGTTATTGGTAAGGCATATCAAAGGCTGAGTGTTCAGGCTGAGTTGGTAGGGTTCATAATCATAGAATTATACAGCACAGAAGGAGGCCATTTGACCCATCTAGTCTGTGCTGGCTCTTTTGAAAGAGCTATCCAAATCAATCCCACTCCTCCACTCTCTCCCCATAGCCCTGTAAATGTGTGCTCCCCAAGGAGGTTGAAGGAGGTTGCAAGGCATTTAAAGGTGAGAATGAGGATCTTCAAATTTGATCGGTTGGGGGATAGGGAGCCAATGCAACAGAGCAAGGATGGGGCATGATAGGCTCACAGAGCCTAGTGTGGGAGAGGACACAGGCTTCACAATTCTGCATAGCTTACAGATTGTGTGGGGAAAAGGAAAAAGCAAGTAAGCTCTCAGCACCTAGTGAGAAACCACATAACGACCAGATTTTCCTGCTAATCAGTCTCAACACTGGATATTTTCTGGAGAAGATGCAACAATTGTTTCATAGTTTCTTCGAACATCTGTAACCAATTATTCCATATGATATAATAGACTTCTAGAATAAAGTATATAAAATAAAGTAATTTTAGAAGTACTTCCATCAATCTCATGTAATTTTACTGTTCCAGTGTTCTTCTCTATATCAGAGACTGAGTGCAGAGACTAAGTGAACATTTATTTTCTGTTTGTAAATATCCTTGTGCTTCATTAATTTACTAACCTTCATCCCATTTTGATCTTCCTCTCCCTGGTTTCCTATAATACTCCAGATACATTTAAGGCAAACTTCATGAGTTTTCTTCTTGGCACTCTTTACATTGACGAGACCGAATTGGCTTAATATGTATTTTTTCATTTTTGGATTCTATTGCATTCCATCCCCCGATATGTTGTTTTTAACAAAGTTGTACTGGACTATCATGCTTTTCTCTAATACCGTATTTTACATGTTTATTGGTGTCTTAATGTTTTAATTTCCTTGGTTCGATTTGCTTTTGTCAATTGTTTTCATTGTTTGTTTTTTTGATCAGCCAGGTATATGCACAAAGCCATCATTATGCTTAACAGTATCCAAATCAATCAGGGTTCCATGCATCCCACCCTAGACGTGGAAATTCATGTGTATTGGAATGGAATGCGCACATTCCATCTCTCGATTGATAAAGGCAAATCAATTGTAGGGATATGCCCAGCCCAAGTGTTCCAATTCTGATAAAAGTTCAGTTTTGCAATGTTAACTTCAGGTGCTGATTTGATCTGCTGCTTATTTACAACATTTTCTGTTTTTATTTCAGATTTTCAGCATTTTGTTTTCTTGTCTGTGGAGTAAAATGAATCTGTAATTCATCCTGACAACCCAGATGTTTTGGTATTTATTACAGTATCTTACCTTATCTATAGCAATCTCTGGTGGAGGATCTTTTACGCTAAGTTCTCTCCTCCTTTCTGCTCGTACTTCTGCATAGCTATAAAGCCAAAGAAAACTAGATACATAATTGAGAATAGCCCATGGAATAATATCCACATAATAGTTTCAACTTCAAGCTTATATATAAATGGAGTGGATCTAGAATTTTAGGATGACCCACACACACGACGAAACCAACACATGAAACAGAAGTTCAAACTAACTACCTGCTTAACTCACATTCTCTCTTTCCCTAACACTGTATTTACAGTTTTCTTCCTTCCCATTTAGGCATGGATTAGCACATTCCATCCCAGAGGCTCCTGAGCCAAATCTCTCACACAGTGAACATTCATCCTCAGAGCAGCTCCAACTCTTTTACCCATTTTCAAGTGCCAACCTCTGCCTACATAGAGTATCCCTGATCATACTTTTGGCATATGTGCAGGAGATCAGGTGCTCCACCTCAAAGAAAATCCTACATTTCAAACAACTGGCAACTTACCCGCTATTAATACCCTTAAGCAAAACATCTTTTAAAACTAGTCTTGCCTCCGGGTGATTACACAACTGCTATGCAGCATGAATGCAATTGTGTGGAATATAAATATAATGAGTTACATTCTTCACACCATTAGCAACATCCTGTAACTACAAAGTTGAAAATAATTAATTGTGTATTTCAGGGACCACCACCATTGTATTATTTCTTTGGGGTTTACACCTCTCAGAAGGACTGAAATAATACACATGAACAAATTAATGGTAACTTGAAAACAAATTTAAATGCTGAACTTACTTATTCCTAATGGGTCTGGGATTTCCAAAACTATTTGTGCCATTTCATTCTTTTTTTTTCTTAGTTATATCTTCCAAACTATGGGAAGAAACTCTCCCTATGTTGTTATATACAATATAACAATATCTATCCCTATATACCAGAGTCTATTACATGCCGTGTACATGAAGATAGAATAAAAAATGCCCTTGATTATATAATTACTTAATTCTTTTCACTGGTTGTTTAATTAAGGGCACGTATTATTCTCTCAGTAAATCTGATTTTCATATTAATTGTACTATACGTTTTACTTCAGGTCATCCAATTTCTGTGGCAGAAAAAAATACATTTTATATTTGAATAAAAATTATTCACAAGATTTGGGCAGGACAGATGGTAACTTGGTTACATTCTGATAATCATATACATTAATCAAAGTGATGTTTAACTGCTTTAAATTTATTGCAGAAAATCCTTTACCTTACAACAGTATGTGTACAGACTATGAATTCTGGCCTGGAGTTCCACTGATGATAAGTAATGTAATAATGAGTCTGAAGCCAGATCCATTGTTGTCCTTTTGTAAGAAACCTGTAGTAGCAAGACTTGCCCTTTCCATACTGCATTACTAAATAAAGAAACAAAAATCAAATAAATCAACATGAATTAATTAAAACTATCACAAACATTTTTACTTCACATAATATGAAAAAATCTATCAGCCATACACCAACAATTCAAATGTTGAAACTATAATGGTACAACATGAAGATACCCTAATAACCATGGGATGTCTGGGCGATGTAACACAGTATATGTAACACTTGTGTATTATGTTGTAGGAATTACTTGAGTACTTAATTATGTACTTAACTAAAAAAATGATTTATTAATTATGTAATCACTTTTTATGGCGGTTAATTACATGAAAAAAGGTACCTGTAATGTTCTTATCTACATGGCACGGCACATAATACAGATGCTTTTATAAATGGTTTACACATCTCACATAATTGACTCCCAAGTGACTCATTTTCTTCTTTGCATTCATGAACAATTTCCGTGTCATTATAAGTGAATTCAGAATTACAAATGACAAATATTCTCACTTTTACATAACAGTCCCCACTCCTCTTCCATTTTGCCACAATCCTATCATTAAGGCTCTAAATTTGAAACCTATAATAATGTTCGAGGCAGGTACTATGTACTTAGTGTATCTTTTTTACAAATAGACTCAAAACATGGATTCAATATTGTTTTTCATCATAATCCATGGCCCACTGTACGAGTTTTGTTGTCCTCACGAATCTAATAGAGTATAAGTTTCAAAATCTCAAACATCCATAGATATATCTGGTTATATTAACTGAATGAACTAAACTAGTGATCAATTAGTTCTCTTTTATGTAAGAATGGAGAGATACTGCAAAGAAAATGATCTTAGGATTGCAGTAAAATACAGCCCCAAGTCTTAGCCTATAAAGCCAGTTTTATCTTAAAATGTAACATTGCACAAAACTGTGGAAAACACAATTGGAATCTTAATTTGGAAGCTAGTTCTGAAAAAGAACCGGCTTCCAAATTAAACAGAGATTAAGAATGTTCCACACTTCTGTGCTATCTTAAATTTTCAGACAAAATGGTCTAAACAGGTTAAGACAAAGTGGAATTTCAGGCTTGTCATTCGTTGCCTGTCTTAGCCAGAAGATGCCAGTGCCAGATACAGATCTTCATCCACTATGACTAGAAATTGGGTACTACAGAAGAAACCCTTTAAGTGACATGATGAATTCTCATGGTGAATGCAATAAGTCTTCTATTCTTCTACAAATAATTTGATCATTTGTCATTTAAGTCCATTCAACTACCTTGAGAGAAATGGCAAAGGGAGACTACTTACCATAGTATTTCCTGTTATCCCAAAGAAGGGTCCTCCATAAACATACAGGACCACCCTTCCAACACCTCTCGTCAGGAAAACTGGTAGATCAAAAAAGAATTGCCAATGGTCAGTGGGGCACATTTTATCTACAAAAGTCAACACCCACCACGTGATTGCACTCACAAGACCCTTTTGAGAAATTCTGACAATTTCCATGAATGTGAGCTACATCACGCTGCGTGTGTGTTGAAGGCCCTTCTTTGAGGACAAGAATTACTCTGCCGAGTAATTTTGTTTATCACTTTAATTTCTCTCTTGATAGGATGGACTTAAACAGTGATTAATAAAATCTCTAAAAAAGAATCTTACTGCATTCACCGTGAAAATGAAGTATGCTGAATGATTCCATTTAAAGTACTCAAATTCTGGCTTATAGGCTGTTTGAGCAGATAGGGAAGATTGAACAGGGAAGATATACATTTGTGTAGAAAGAAGCATTAGGATATTTGAGAATTTAGTGTGATTCAACAAGAAAAATGTCTAGTGAAGAGTTACAATCGGAATGTTTGATTGTAACACGATCTCTCGCAAACGTCTTAGAGTACATCCCTGTTATAACACACTTTGTTGTAAAGCTAATTAGTTTAAAATGCAAATGGAGAGTGGAACCCATGCACAACGCACAATAAGTTATGTGGAAGCAATCTGATTGACTTTTGTTTAGTACAGGAGCCAGCCAGCTGCACACATTCACAGTGAAACCGACCTTGTTGTAAGGGACGTTAGGATATTATGGACCCCCAATTACTGCCTTACAAGAGTCCACAGTAATAGAAACAAGTGAATTTTCCACAGAATCAATAAAACCGAGGCAAGTCAGGTGGGGGGGATGTGGGGGGGTGGGTGGGGCGGGGGGTAGGGATCCAGTCTGGGGAGAAAGAATTTCCGGCTAAGTGTAATTACAATGCTGATACTGGCATTTACCGGCTTTTTTCGGCAATGTCTTTTTTCAGTGCAGAAATATGACGGCATTGTAATTGTTTGAATCCTGCAAATAGGCTGTACTCTGCTCATGGGATTCAAACTGAGTCAAGGTCGATATCCCTGACCACTGTGAAGGCCAGCAAGGATGCTGAGGCAGAGGCTTGCGCTCGCAGGAGTCTACACACACGTGGGCTCACAGTTGTTTTTGAATTTTTAAGTTTCAGGCACGATACGACTAGGTCCGAATTCCAGATGCACAGAGTCCAGTCAGCCACGGGTTTACTGTAATTATTTTCTGAACTGGGAATACAATGGGAGCTGCACAGAAAAGCAATTGTAAAATTCCTATTGTGAAACTTCTTAAAAAGGAAACAACAATTCTTCCAGTAATCAAAGATAAAAGGATTCCAAATGACTGAAGAGCTACAGACATGAGAAAGTTCACAAATAATATATTTGAAAATATATTTGGATAAACTGTGCAGATTAAAGGGAAACTTTAAAAGACTTTTAATGTTTACTTCAGACTATTAATTGTATGCAGAAAAACTTAAAAATTGAATACTCATTTTTGCTTCTAAGAAGGAAATCAATTTTAGTCAAGTTGTGCCATGTTTTACTACATAAGCATGTGAATTTTATATCTGAATTAATCTATTTAAATAATTAGATCATGATAAATTTAGGAACATTTGGTGGCAGCAAAGCAATACAACCATTTTGAATCATTCATGTAGATTTAAGGCTTTGTTCTGCTTTTTGAATATAAGATTACTCTATTTTTCTCCAGCAAAATCCTTCAAAAGATACTTACAATGTTCATGACACTTCGCCAAATTCTCTAGATCATCCACATGATAGTAATCATAGCCAGATGTGCCCAGTACCTCAAATGGTAGATAGCCTATAATTGGAGGCGCCCTAGATTAAATACAAGGATCAAATAAAGGTATTTAACATTTTACAAAATACAATTGGGCTGATATACATATTTTATGGACATTTCACCCTATCAAAAAAATCTAAGTGCTATGTAAACCACACCTATAACAATAGCTATACACATCCATAACAAAATTAACAGTTGGCATAATATATACTATCAGCACCTCTTTTACATTTTATAATAAACTGATAAATTCATGATAATTTTAAAATAACATTAGATTGAGAACATTTGATTGGTTATACAATGTTCCATTATTTGCTTATGCAGTTATCAGGTCACATTTGTTGTAGCCAGTACATCATGTGAGATTGACTTCTATTTTGAAAACTAAAGTACAGTACATTTAACATATTCTTATAAAGGAACATAGGAATGTACCATTAAGAATGTTCCAAAGTAAAAATCGCATCTTTGCTTACACCTTAAATTAAATTAGAGAGCATAGTGAGGCTCTCTACGTATGTCAGATATCCGTCAGTATATCTATTCAAACATCGAAAACAAGACTTAGTATGGTTTGCTAATCAAGGTGCTGCAATAGTATTGTGTTAATCTTTTTCTTCCGTTTCATTTTTCTTTTACCTGATCTTTTTTTTAAATCAAATTTCTTGCTAATTTCTCTTTCACTTCCTATTTGGCCAATTGACTTTTGGTCTCTGATTGAACTGAAGCAACTGAGAGATTGATTAACAACTGAGGTAAGAAGCAGTAAAGTCTAGTCAATAAAAACTGACTTATTAAAATACTTTTTGACAGGCTGACTATGATATTTTTATATGCACTCAATTTGCCTTCATAACTAATGGGACATCCTCCCGACATGAAAAGTGCTTAGCAAATGTAATTTTGTTGTTTTTAATAGTAAACTATAATACAGGCCATTTTTTTAAATTAATCTTGAATCAGGCAACAAACCTGTGATCCAGAAACAAGAATTTCCATTCTAAGCTATGCCTCGATGTGAATTCTTCATTTGGCTCTTCAACAGAACACATTTCCTGTATTTAAAAATAAATCATTTAGGTCATTTTGTACTGCTTTTGCACACCTGTTTCACATATGGTATTATTTACAGAAATATTCTGGAAGATAAAAAGTAAATATTGTACTTAACAAGACAAAAAAAATCATTAACTTTGCTTACAAAATACAGTCATTGCAATGTAATGCAAAAATTTTGTTTAGAGTTTTGAGATGTGAATAATAATTTATGAAGGAGAATGTGAGGTGTTACAGTTTGGTTAAAAAAATAAAAAGGAGCTGAGGAACAGATGGACTTGGGAGTTCAGATACATACATAGGTCATTGAAATTGGCATCACAAGTGACATAGGCTGTAAAGAATATAGGAACAGGAGTAGGCCATTCAGCCCCTCGAGGCTGTTACGCCATTCTATAAGATCATGCTGATCTGTACCTCAACTCCAATTATCCGCCCTTGCCCCACATCCTTTGATAACCTTACTTAACAAAAATTATCCACCTCAGTCTTAAAAATTTGAATGGATCCAGCATCCACAGCTTTTTGGGGGGGAAGAGTTCCAGATTTCCACAACCCTTTGTGTGAAGGCTGGAATTTATACACAGAGGCATTGAGTACAAAAATAATTATGCCAAGTTTGTATAACTCATTTGTTAAGCCATAACTGGAGTATTGCATCTAGTTTGGGGCATCACCCTTCAGAAAATATGTTAGGGTCTTGGAAGAGGTACAGAGGAGTTTAAATGATTCCAGGGATGAAGGGCTACAGTTATGAAGAGAGGCAGAAGAAGCTGGGTCTGTTTTCATTGGAGCAGAGAGGGTTGAGGGGGTACCTAATTGATGTGAACAAAATCATGAGGGGTTTTATTAGGGTAAATAGAAGTTATTTCCATTGATAGGGGAGTCGGTAACTAGGTTATATAATTATGATAGCCACAGAGCGAAAGAAGGAAAGAAGGAATTTTTTCATCCAGATAGTTGTTGGAATATGGAATGCCGTTCCGTGTAGGGTGGTGGAGGTGGAGTCCATTGTGGCTTTCAAGAGGGAAGTAGACCAACATTTGAAGGTGTATGGGGATAATGTGAGGTAGTGGGATTGAACTGATATCCTTGCACTGTGAGCTGGTGCAGGCTTGATGGGCCAAATGGCCTCCTTCTGTGCTGTTGATTTTTATCTTTCTAGTCTCATCATAAGATGCAACATCAAATTCAAGGATTTTTATTAATATAAGTGTCAAATATACCTTAATAAATTGTGGTGTGGCTAATCTGACAGTTGCTACAAAGCAAACTCTGTCTTCATATGGTGGCCTTAATGATCTTTGTATAACTCCTTGAAAGCCACTTCGTATAGGATTAGGCACTGCAATAAACAAAAATCCATCATGATACTTCATAAAAAGAAAGAAGGTGAAAAATTAAAAATCTACAAACCTAAAAGGTCTTATCAAGATCCATTTAAAGAACTAAACTCTTATAAGAATTACTGTTTAATTTAATCTATTATTAATTTGGAATGTTGTGTATAACTTAAGTTAATGCGATGGATAGTTTACAGAGGATTAAAGATATTAGGATTTAAGTAAATCTAAAAGGATTATTCATTGGAGAAAATGACATTTAAGCAAAAAACAGAGATGACCAAATAGCCTGCGGAACCCGATCATATCACCACAGAAATGTCACCTGTAGAAAACAACTGCCCATATTTGAATACAAGGATTATTATTATTAATAAGACTGCCCAAACACATTTCACATTGAATCCTTAAAGCAGCGCATGTATAATTTTATCTTATTAGTCAGAACTCCATTGAACCCAGATTCTTAAAGGTGAATGACAAGTGCACAAAAAACCCTTAACCCCTGCCCCACTCCTCCAACCCCCACACAATTTTGAAAAATATTTTGAAGTAAAAGTATTTTTAAGGTTTACCAAAGACTAATCAACTGGTTGGGCAGGTTGTTTGAAAGAAATTGCTGAGTTAATATAGTTAATATATTGTTTCTGAAAAAAATTATTTGGACCTCTTGATATTACAATTATGAAGTTAATTTAACTCTCTCATATTCATAAGTATATAATTCTCCCAACTTGGTTCCAGAAACTAAAAACAATAAGTATAAGACAAACAAGACGCATTACAGTTAGTCATGTTGGTTTTTAAATAGTCTCATTTTTTATTTTAAAAGCCATGTTAGTCATGTTAAATGTTTATTTAAAAATAATCCTACAAGTATGGAATGATGTGATTCTGCTTTTAAAGCATGTATTAGCAAAGAAATCTCCAAGATCACTTGCTGTAGTCAAACTTGAGGCTCAATAACAATTCATACTGCAAGATTAGGCACCACAAAGAACTCAGTTTATCAGATGAAGGTATTCATACATATAAAACAGTGCAAGTGTAAATGAAGGTAAACATGACTAAAAATCCAATCCGTTGACTAACCAATTAACTTACCATTATTCAATGATTTTAAACTTCCTATGAATCTTACATATTCATATACAGGAGCTTGTTTATCGTCAGTTGTTCCTCTTACCATATGGCAACAGAATTCTAGCTGATTACTTGCTATAAAAAGGAAAGAAAATGATCGTGAAAATCCAATCCCAGTACCACAAAGAAAATAAATAGCTAATTTAATACCAACAGAGAAATAAGACTGTCTATTTTGCAGTGTCTGCTTCATTTGTGAATGAATGCATCTTCCTTCAATTCCTAGGAGTAAGGCCAGATCATCAAGAGGGAACTGTGAGTATTAAGGCACTCAACTAACTGCTTCTGTAAAGGACATTCCTTCTCACCATCACCATTTCTTCCCCAGGAAAAGCAAAACAGTAACAGAATACAATAATTGGAACAATTACATTACAGTATATAATTCGAATGCCGAAAAAAAGACAGAATGAGGCTATAGTTAGGCATGCATGTAGTATGTGGAAGATGCTAATGTTTTAAGAATAGAGATCATGAAGAAGGTGGATCTTTTAGTTAGGAAGCTCCAAATACTGTAGTAATATTTTGTGAAAAAATAAGCAGTACACCAAGTGGTGAATTTCATAAAATAGTAATTACTGCAGAGGAGTAAGCCATTTGACCAGTCATAAGATGGTGTAAATGCATCCACTGATAACTATTCTAATAACCATTCTTTCACCATACCCTTTCATATTCTTTCTAGCTAAACTGGCTCCAAGGTGACATGTTTGGCAACGGAATGTCAGAATCGAGCCCATCCTCTGTGGCAGTCTTGATAGTCCAGTTCACAAACCAGGCAGGTCTGCAGTACTCCAGGGCACTGCTGATGTAAGCCCAGCCAGGCAGGCTCATCGGCAGGATTTGGAAGGGCAGTTCAGTCACTGGCAGCAGGGAATCTTCCCACTCAGCTCCAGTTAACCCTGCAAACCAAAGCCCTAACACGTAGAGTGGCCTCAGCAGGACAATCAGCGGGAAAGCTTGATAGGCAGTGCTTTCAATAGCAAGCTATGCAGTTTTAGCTGGTTAGGCTCCAATAGTACCTCAACTCACACTTTGGAATCTCCGAGCCTTGTCAACCTGCGCCTAATACTTCCCAGAATTAGATAAGCAGGACATGTTCCTCCAGGGAAAGAGTGTGCATTCATTCCAATAAACATTTCTGGAATTTCCATGTGTAGATGAGATGCAAAGACCTCTCAGTTTGGTTTGGAAGGACTCCAAGCACCTGACTGACCAAAACATTCTTACTCCTCAAATGTTTATCTAATTGCTTTTTAAATGGAGTTATGGTCTCAGCCTCAAGTTCCACGTGTGGCAAAGTGTTCCACATTCCTCACATTTGGTCCCTGACCAAGTTAAATTTTCTTCACTTTAACGTCAAATACCACCAAAACCCTCATCCAAGACTTTGTTTACTTCCCGACTTTACTTCTCAAACATTCTACCTGCCTCCCCTGTGCCATCATCCATAAGCTCCAGCTGACACAAAACTTCACTGCTTGCACCAAATTCCACACTCACTGCCATGCTCCAGTAGCTCCCAACAGATTGACTTCAACATCCTCACCCTCACTTATAATTCCCTTTACGCTCTGTGATCTTGTTTTTTCAATCTTGGATTTTCAATCTACGACTGTTTGTGGGACACTGCTGTGCGCAATTGGCTGCCACGTTTCGCCCACAAATATACAGTCAATTTATTTTACAGTCTATTTTGTGAAGCGTTTTGAGACGTCTAGAAGACGTGAAAAGTGCTATATCAAATGCAAGGATTATTATTATTATTGTTCCTACCCAACTCTTCTGTTACTCTATGCCCAGCTAAACCAGGCCCATGGTGCTTTCCCATCTCCTCTCCGCATTGGTGGTTGAACCTTCACAATTATGCGCCTAATTTCCTCTCTACCCACCATTTCCCCTCCCTCCATCAGTCTTTAAATTCTGCCTAAATACTTACCTCTGAAACTACTACTATGGTCACCTCCTGTTCCACTCTTGCTTAGTGTCTGATTGCATCTTTATCAGCTACTCCAAGAATTATCCTATGTGAAGGCACTATATAAGGCCATAAGACGTAGGAGCACGAATAGACCATTCGGCCCCTCGAGCCTGCCCCGACATTTAATAAAGGTCACGGCTGATCTTCTAACCTAATTCCATTTACCCGCTTTATGCCTATGTCCCTTAATCCCTCTATCCTTTAGAAATCCATCAACCTCAGTCTTGAATATGTTGAAGGACTGAGCATCCACAGCCTTCTGGGGTAGAGAATTCCATAAATTCACTACCCTCTGAGTGAAGAAATGTTTCAACTCAGTTCAAAAAAGGCTGACTCTTAATCTTGAGACGATGACCCCTAGTTTTAGATTCTTCAACCAGGGAAAACAGTTTCACAGCATCTACCCTGTCAAGACCCTTAAGAATCTTATAGGTTTCTATAAGATCACCTCTAATTCTTCTATATTCTAGAGAATATAGGCCTAGTTTACTCAACCTATCCTCATAGGTCAACCCCCTGATCCCAGGAACCAACCTCGTGAATCTACGCTCCACCCCGTTTAAGGCGATTATGTCCTTTCTTAAATAAGGAGACCAAAACTGCACCCAATATTCTAGGTGCGGTCTCACCAAAGCCTTATGCAACTGCAGCAAGACTTCCCTACTCTTGTACTCTAACCCTTTTGCAACGAACGCCAACATGGCATCAGTCTTCCTAGTTGCTTACTGTACCTGCATACTAACTTTTTGTGACTGGTGTACAAGGACACCCACATCCCTCTGAACACTAACACTACCTAGTCTCTACCCCTCTAGAAAATAATCCGCTTTTCTATTTTTACTACCTAGGTGAATAACTTCACACGTTATACACGTTATACTCCATCTGCCACCTTCTTGCCCACTCACCTAGCCTGTCTATTTCCCTTTGCATTCTTTGTGTGTCATCCTCACAGCTTACTCTCCCACCTATCTTCGTATTGTTTGTGAACTTAGATATGTTAAGTTCTATTTCCTCATCTAAATCATTGATATAGACTATAAATATAAACTCTAGTTGCTGTTTTTCTAATAACCCTCTGTATAAAAAACTCTTCAAGTGACAATCCTGAGCTTTTTTCCATTTGTTACCAAAATACTAAACAGCAAAAATGTTTCAATTTCTATCCTCTCAAACCACTGGAATTGAAGATTTCAAAATATGATTGGACAATGGTGTCATTTAAACCCCAAAAAATACTGGTTCCTAAGAATGCTCAGCCATACTATCCAATTTTTTATAGATTTATCAAATTAGAAAAATTTCAAAATAAGATGGGCATACAGATTCATAGATGTCAAGATTCAATCACCTATCTGTGCTGAGTTTCCTGATCGCAGATGTAGTACAAGTAACCTCATCATCTCTGCAGAAGTGACTGGAAATTTCAGAATATTATCCTGGTAACTAGCTGGTGATACGTACTGGACACTGCACATGTGGACAGGATCAAACCCAGATGTGATCTCCTCTACAATCAAAGAGCAACTGACACTCACTGGGATGCATCAGGTGCTGAACAAATAATGTAAGATTGCTATTTTCTACAGTCCAGATCCCAGTATCGAGGCTCACACATGAAGAAGATGGGTGAAATACTGCAGGTCACCCTGCTGGAATAATGATAGGAAATGATAAAATTAAAGATGGAGAACCAAAAGGTAAAAATTAATGTGGAACAATATTTTATTATCTAATAAAATGTCGGTCTTCTTCATTCCTTTTGATGTAGCTGAACATATAGTGATACACATATGCACATATAAATACTGTACTCTATTGATGGTCTCTATGTGAAATCTTTACAATACTGGAGCCATCTTATTCATACACTTTTCTCCCAATTATGTTGTAATTTACAGTCTCCATCTTCTCCTTAGACTGAGGTCTCTGTTGCGATTCTATCTTGTCAGTGGCCATTGTTTCCATTTGGTCCATTATTTGCCCCTCTTCTCTAGGGATTTTCATCCCTTTATAGTGGGACATACTCCAATGGTGATGTATAATGGGATCTCCCCATTTGATCCTTTCAAATCTAGAGTCTTATTTCAAGTGTTCCTTAAATGCACTCTCAGGCGATTGCGAATTTGGAGGTAGCAAGGTCCATTCTCCTAGGTTAAATAATAATAATTGTTACATTTGTTGTAGTGCCTTATCATGTAATCGAGATATCTCCAAGATCCTCACAGAATTTTGAAGTACAGTGTCCTTGCATTTGTAGGCAAATATGACGCATGATCTGCAATGGCTTTGAAGTAGCAGGAGACTGGGAGTCCAGGCTTCCACTTGATTTAGTATTTATAATTGTGAAATAAAATACACTACTTTGAAGAAGGGTCTTCCGCACACTTTCATGAGATTAGCTTGATCCATAAGCCTAAAAAATTTGAGAAATATTGCATGTTTATTTGCTCCTTATACTTTAGTGGCCATCTATACAGGGCCTATCCAAATGTCATTTTACTGAAACCAATTAATTACTAAAATGCAGAATAGTGTGCATAATCAAAAGGGTTCCAAGATTTTATTTGTGGAAATATTCCTTCAAAGAGAATGTTATAACTACAGTACTTCCTGTTTTTTTTAAAACTAAAGGAAGGTTTTTGCATTATAGACCTTACTTAAATCACACATGCTGTTCATATTTCTGCAAGGTATATCATTCCCTCCCCAACCCTCATTTAAGATGCCATGTCTAAGAATCAATCAGCTAAAATAAAAACTTGGTATGTAGAACATAAGGAAAGATAGGTACAATGCGTATGAAATACTGGAAACATTCTTCTCTTATTTGAATTGCATATTTTAGGAAAGTAAAAGTAATAAATATTTTGAGGTTGAATTTGGCAAAAGCATGTAAAGCGCTGCACCAGCCTTTTAGTGGAAATATAGCCTCTAATATAAATAACAATTTATCTGCGTTCTTTGGAGATTGATTCAAAAAGAACAACGTGACTGCCTTTTATTAGAATAGACCTGTAGATGTTGAGTGTATCCTTTTCTTCTGGTAGGTATGTGAGGAATGAGACAGAAATTTCTAGAGATTAATATGAACCAACCTATCCTGAGGAGAAATTTGGTCCTTGAATTTGGTTCAAATCCTTAAACGTGTAAGCAACCATTGATTCCAGCTAGGATCTCATTAAATGCATATATTAGATAAGATAGTGTGTGATGGCAACAGAAGGCCTTTCAAAAGACTAATCTGAAAATATCATCAGCATCTCTGCCAAAGTAGTCAATGGATGTCTACAAAACTTCATGTTCCATTTTGTTGCGTAACCTGCAAAATTTTGATAAAACACAAAGAATAGATAACTGGTTCAATGGAACATCTTGGTAGCTTTCATGATGATGCCTAGGAAAGTCACTATACAAATGGTTTGAATTCATACATGGCGATGGATTGGTGAAGTGAACAAGAATATATCAATCCCATATTTGTTTTCCTTGACACCATTTGTAAGAGTGACACATCACTTGAACAATACTTTAAGCACTTTTGTCACAAAGTTTTTAACTCACAAGAAGGTTATGGATTAAAACCCTGTCAAGAAGTTGAGCTTGTATTCCTGTCTGATCCTTCAATGCAGTGCTAGAGGAAGACTGCATTGTTGAAGGTGCTATACTTTCCATGAGACATTAAACCATGGTCCTCTCTGCCTGTTCAGGTCGATGTTAACAACCCCAAGGTACTATTTAAAAAGAGAAGGAAATTTCTCCTGAAATCCTAGACAATAATCTCGCAGATAAAATTGATCATTCACTTCATGGCCATTTGTAGTATATTTCTGTGTGCAAATTGGTTGCCATGTTCACCTATAAATAGTCACTACCCTTTACAGTAAAACGTGTCATGCGAGTTGAGATGTTTTAATGATGTGATAAGGTACTACATTAAATGCAATAATATAGGATTGGTTTGAATTTAATATTGACGAGCAAAATGCATTTACTGAATTGCCCATTCTGTGTTCCATTGTTTTAATAGTTGAACAAATAGCTAGCAATTAGCATACTCATTGGAATTTCTATTCTCCAGTCAAAGGCTTAACCAGCATGGTTTCCTACTGTCAAGCTCTTGGGACATCCTCCCGCTGTGAAAGGTACAATAAATACAAATTGTATTGTAATGTATTGTTGCATCATAAAAGCTGAAAAACCTCCAAAGCTGAAGGAATGCCTATGAGACCAAGGAATTTTACAGAATATATGTGACGATTCAGAGTATCTAGTGCAAAATCGGTTATGTTTTTTTAAGATAGAAGAGATTAATATGGCCAAATGAGCTAAATATTGGCATCAGTATGGACACTAATGCCAATGTATGCCAGATGAACAATATCATTACAATAATATAAATTGTTGTCAGAAAAGATATTGCCAGGCTGCTAACCATTCTCACAATTGTCAAAGTTTATTTTTGATTGCAACATTCCTTCAAAAGACATCTAACCTGTGGATTCAATCTTGTGCTGAAGGTATCAGTACATGATTAACTAAGTATTCCTTAAATTGAGCCTGCTGCTGGTCAGGAATAAATCCTCATTCTTGGGATCACAGATAGGAACACTAACATTCTACTCTTTTAACTGCTCCTTCAGCCCGCTCTTCTGAACTAACATTAAAACCCAGTAGGAAGGTTACCTTTTTGTGCTGGCAAGAGTCTCCATCAAGAAAAGCAATCAGTATAATCAGTTTGGTACATGATTATCTGTTAAAACCTCCAATGATAACGAATGTGAGAGGTAGCAGATTGTTGAACAAAAATGTATGCTTTATGAGGATCCTTCAGGAGAACTTGAAATGGCAACATTGGCAAAGATGTGAAATATTTACCTATACAAATGAGTAATAATTGTCAAATTTGTTGGAAAACATTTGAATATAAACAAGAAACACAATGTTTCAACTAATACCATAAAGGCAGGAGGGAAAGAACAATTGTTGACTTTTATGCAGCACCTATATAGGATGAGTATTGATTAAAGACATGTAAAAGCATGCAAGATTTTTCAAATCTTCACATGTGCAGACCTTACCCTATGAGGGTCTGTGTGTGGAAGACCTGAACTGAAGGAGAAACACACATCTGGTTATATTTGTTCTTCCTTATGTAACTTTTCAGTTTCGAAAGACAACACAAGTGAAGAAATACATAAGGTTAATTCACTAAATGTGGACAATTGCATGTTCTTTAATAAGTGAATTATGTATTTCATAAGTACTTTTATTTCACCCAAAGAAATTAGTTATTTGTCATTCTAATGCAGTCCTCAAAGTGACTTTCTTTTTATATACGCTGCTTAACTGCAACATAGTGCAATACATTTTTATAATAAAAGTATCCCCAAATACAAAAACTTTATGGATGTAGCTTACAATTGTCATTGTGAAACAATCTGCCATAAATACAATATATAGTTTTCAAAATATGGCAAAAATACTCATAACTGTTTAATTTGGTTAAATTGTAGTACAACTGAAAAGTACAATTCAGTAGGAGCACAGACACAAAACTAATACCATTGATGATTCTCCAAAATACAGTGAAGCCGTTTATAGGGTGCATGAGCTTCCTTATAGTGTGAATTTGGTTATAACACTGTTGCAATGTGATATCGGTGGCAAAGTAATGACTCAGAAGTCATTTTTAGCAGGCAAAACTAGAACAGCCAATTTCTGGGTCATTAGATTGCTTTCGACGTCAATTCTTATTTTGCCCGCACACAGCAAACAGGAATTGACATCAGGAGTGATGTGACTTCAAAGTTTGTTTTGTTTAAACTTGGGAACTGGCCGCGTGCAGGGAGTGAGCCGTTGGTTGGCTAAACACATGCGCAATGAAACCAGCTATCGCGCTTCGCAATAGTGCTGATTTAGATTTTTGGGGATCTTAACTGTGTTATAACTCGGATCTATTATAGTTGATTGAAGGAGTTCTTAACTATCAATAGGCCGGCAGACTGTGTAAACAGAAACCTTTTAAACAATATAAATTAGTAAATTATGCCTTCTATTACTTACAGTTTAAATAATCTGTAGTCAAAGAATCATTTTCCAGCATTTGAACAGAGAGGAATTTATAAACATCTGAATGTTCCAACTCTGGGAGAAAATTCAACAAATTTTGATCCAAAAGTTCAGACTGTGGATAACAAATTATACACTATTAGAAGATCTGCTATCTGCAGGATAGAGAAATTCAAATTGTTTGAAAGCAAAACACTTACACATCCAAACATTCTTTACATGTACCTCAATATCTATGCTAATTAAGTAAACAAAATTGTTCAAGTCTACTTTCAAAAGGTAATTTTGTTTTTCAAACTGGACTAGAAAAGGTAAAATTATATGAGCATGTTCAGAATCCAGTCAAAACATACTTACTGGTAAATGTTCAAGTAATGGAGTCACATTTTCTGATACATATATTATGTTTCCACCTGTTGTCACTGCTATAAAAAATCCATCTAATGCCTGCAACAAAAAGGGTGTTTTAAGGATTAAATATTTGATGACGAGCTGCATTGTCAAAACAAGAGAGCATTACTTTGAGCTTTCAATCTTTCTTCTGTATGAATCTGTCAGATAATCTGTCAGATAATAATCAACATGCAGACAGATTTTATCTGCATGTTGATCATCAAATAACTTTAAAGTTATGAAACAGTCACAGCACAAGTAACCCATTGCCGAACATCATTCCAGTGTCTATTCCACTGAAATACATTAAAGGCTTTAGAAAGAGTCCATTAAATTAGAATATCAATGAATATTTTTCTTGAAGAAAAAGTATTACATGGAATTAATAATAATAATAATCCTTGCATTTGATATAGCGCTTTTCACGTCAGGAGGACGTCCCAAAGCGCTTCACAGAACACACTGTAAAGTGAATTGACTGTATATATTTGTGGGCGAACGCAGCAGCCAATTGCGCACTGCAATATCCCACAAACAGTCGTAAATTGAAAATAACCAATTTATTATTGTTTTGGGTTTTGGAGGGATTATTATTAGGCTCTGTGTGGAGTAAGGAAACTTGCCCAAGGTTTCGCCCTCTGCCTGGAATTGAACTCAGATCTCTCACTTGCAAAGCGAGTGCTCTAACCACTGAGCTACAGGACTCCACTAATTAGAGTATGTCAAACAACACACAATTACTCCTAAACTCATCTTGTTTAGCTGCATTATGTCAGCAAGCAAGACAATTAACCAGATTGTTTAAATCCTGTAATTGAACAAGTGTGAACTTTCTTCCCTATTCCAGTGTACATAATTGGAATGCAATTAAAAAAACAGGAAACAAATGCATCAACAGAAAACATTTAGAAATCACGCTTCATGCGGGAAACATTGGAAGTGTTAAACAATTGCATGGTTTGACACTGAGTCGGGGAGAAAGGGGAGTTGACTATAGTTGGGATTAAAATAGTTGAGCCACAGCGTAAAACTCTTTCATCAGATGCACTTAATGTTTATTTGCTAAATTGCTTCACAACGGGACTAAAAGCTAAATTATCTTTTCCACTTAAATCAGATAAGAATACAAAAGCTGTCGCAACTATCCCTTAGCATTCCATATCAATTCAGATTGCTGCAGTACACATTGAACTGTAGAAAGATTAATGTCTGTTACCAGTTCACTTTCACATCCCTCTCAGTGCTCCCAACAGGATTTTTACTGTAAAGTATAGTGACTATATTTTCCAGGTAAATGATTGTTTACATACAAACAACAGACATCAAAATTCTCTACCGACAACCAGCAATGTGCAATCTGATTAGAATAGCTATCAGTAGGAGTGGTACATAATTTTGCGTAAACTTCTTCATTAAAACAGATGAAAGGGCTAAAATTCCTTTAGATATCTTACAAATACCATACACAATAACCCACCTCTAACATTAGTGGAGTAAACTCTTCATTGCTAAGAAATGTAGGCTTCCAATCCTGCCGTATTTCACTTGCATCTGACTGTGCTGTGACTTCTAGAAGAACAGGTATACTTTAATTCAAATATCTTCATTTATACCAATACTGCTATTCTTACCACACAATCATTAAAGACAACTAGAATATTTATCTATGAAATATATAAGACATCACAACAGAAAATAAATGGCATCAAGAGAATTTACATTCACAATAATGTCACTGCAATCAATCAACAAACCAATATTATTATAGGTTACATTCAAATTAATATATTGGGCTCTAATTTTAAAATATTTTAAAAAAGAAAATCTAAAGAAAAATGGTTGCTAGAAATCTGAAATAAATGCAGAAAATGTTTAATGGTCCTAAACAAATATGAATCTAACTTCTTCTTTCAAATAATTGACCATAAAAATATCTTTAAAAATTTGTGTAGTCAACCAGATTTCTGAAACTCATGCAGAAACTCAGCACCATGCTTAAGAGTATCCAAACCAGAGAGAGCTCCACATATGGTCATTGAATCAGTGACTGAGAGGGCATCAATTTAAGACAATTAGCAAATAAGCAAATGAGGAGGATGAGAGATTTCTTTTAAAATCATGCAGAGCAGTTAGGATGTGGAATGCCCTGCTGGGAGTAATAGTTGAAGCAGAAATCATATTAGCTTATAAAAGAGCTAATCAATATTTAAAAATATGGGGAAAGGGCAGGTGAACTCAAAGCCTCAGAGTTTCCCATCAGCCATCTGATGGACATTATTTGATGAACATCTGCCTTCATCTGTTGTTGTTGTATAATAATAATCCTTGCATTTAATATAGCGCCTTATCTTGGTTGAGCCATCTCAAATCGTTTCACAGAATATAATGTAAAGTTAATTGACGGTATATTTTGTGGGCGAAACGCGGCAGCCAATAGTGCACAGCAGTGTCTCACAAACAGTCGTGGATTCAATGACCAAATTATTATTTTTTTTGAAGAGACTCCTACCCCCCAGAAGCAATCTGCCAATCGCCTAACAACTGGGTTCCCACTTACTGCTAGGTAAACAGAGGTGTGTGGAGTAAGGAAAATTGCCTAACATTTCGTCCTGCCTGGGAGTCGAACCCGGGTGCTCTGGCTTGCGATGCAAGTGCTCTAACCAATACGATACAGGACTCCTGCCATTAATATAAAACAGAAAAATATTTGTTACAAAACAATAGATTAACTACCTTTGTGCTTCTGCAAAAAAACAATTGTTTTCTGTAATACGGTTGACTTGTCCATCTTTCGACTGTTACCTGGAAGCATGGAGCCAAGCTCTTTGATGAGCACATTAAACTGGTCTCGCCGTTTCTTCTCAGATTTGTTCCTGGACACCCTAGGGTTAGAAGAATATTTGGAACAGTAAAATATTCATAATTATACAATTCAACTGGATTACAAAAAAATCTAATTCTCCCAAACCCCAAATTAATAATATTCATTGCATTTGCTGAGCAGCTTACTAAGTAAAACATTTCAAAATGCTCACAAATGATTACTTTAATGTGTAGTGACTACTTGTAGCCAAATGTGGCAGCCATTTTCACTAGCAAGATCACACAGTCATGAGAGAAGTAGGGCAATCAATAAGGAGGATTTATGGCCAGCATACCAGAGAAAAAGTTAGCCATCCCTGCGCTCAAGTTTTGAGGTCTTGAACCACAACCCTCTCACCCAAAATTAAATTGTGCAATTTAAGCAAAGCACGTTATTAAGTTTCTCTAACAGATTACAATATCCACAGCAATGTTCAGTTCAGATCCAACCACTGTATCTCACCTGTAATATTTACCTAATATAATTAGAATCTGCAACCAACAACATTTAAAACTTTACTAGCCCCCGCATGTTTCTAGTAATCAAAGCGTGATTAAAGCACAGCTATTTGGCTCCAACAACTGTGCTGGTGCCCCCAATTAAGCCAATAACTTTTTCCCCATAACGTTTCCAGTGTGTATAAAAATATGCATGCATTTCCACTTAAGTATATCTACATAACTATAACCTCCTCCCTATCACCCGACTAAGTTTCCATTTTACGTACTCCTCATCAGTAATATTCTTGCTATAATAGAACACCCAAAACTGCACAACTGTAGCCTTACAACTGGTACATTAGAAATTGAGATGATCTCCTTGCTTTTATTCAATACCCCTAAACATTTGGTATAGTGCCTTTCACGACAGGAGGACGTCTCAAAGCACTTCACAGGGTATACTGTAAAGTTTAGTGACAGTGTGTTCTTGGGGGCTAACATGCACCCAATCTCACCAACACCAAATATAGGGAGATTATGGACTACCTGGTGTGCAAAATCAAAAAGATCTGCTGTACTGCCTTCACAATTGCCCCCCCAACCCCATCAGCACTACATCATCACCCCTCACCCTTCTCACCATTCATATGAAACCTGCCAGCTGCCCTTGATCCCACCCACAAACAACTTATGTTCATCCAGCAACTGCTTGCTGTCCTACCCCCTACATTAGCAAACATCATCAATGTCTCACTATTCTCTGCCATTGCATACACTTCTTTCAAAACCACCATTATTAACCCCTCCCCTCAAACAAAAAACACACCTATCCCTTACGTTCACCAGGTATTGCCTCATCTCCAATATACCCTTCCTTTCTAAGGTGCCGGAACCCACCTTTATCTCTGAGATTTGCTCCTTCCTCTCACCAACCCCTGAATGAGTCCTTCTAAACTGGCTTCCTGCCCACCTGCACTATGAAGGCAGCCCTGAGTTAAAGGAACAAAAAACACTCTCTTCCTGCAGCCACAGCTCCCTGTGCACCCTTATTCTCCTCAAACTCTCTGCCATCTTTGAGACCACTGACCACACCATCCTCCTCCATGGTTTCTCCTCCCTGTTACATATCTGAGCTTTGCGCTTTCCTGGTTTCACTCCCCACTATCCAGTCATTGCTAGGTCTCTTCGAACAGCGTTTCCTCCAACCACTGCATGGTTACGTAACATTCCTCGGAGCATCTGAGGTTCTCACCTTTTCCTCATGTTCTATCCTTAGTTCTCTCCTTTTGCTCATCTACACGCTTCCCTCAATGACATCAATTGCAGGAAACAGGGTCCACTTCCATATGTATGCAGGCAACCAAACTCTTACCTTTCTGCCTCCGCCCTTGAACACTGCTGTTCTACCAATCACCTTTCTGACATCAAATCCTGGTCGAGCCACAGCTTTTCCAATTTGTCTTTCTCCCCTTCCATCAGAATCTCCTCCCTGTATCAACTTTTTCGGGTGCTCATTCCAACTCACCGAGCCTGTGCAGATCCTTAAGGTTTTTTCAACTCTCAACCCTCTTTGAAATTTTTTATCCAGTCACTAACCAAGACCACTCTTCTCCATCTCCACATTGCCTGCCTCAACCACTCAGCCTAAACCCTCATCTACACATTCGTCAGCCTTCAGAATCAACATTTTCCTGCCCTGCCAGCATCTCTAGCTCCACAACTCCAGAGTCCACATCTACTCCCCCACTAGGCTCCATGAGCCCATCTCTTCCATCCTCCTCCAGCTCCATGAGTGTTTTAGCCATTCTCACAAAGCTCACCTTTTAGCCTTGTCCTTATCATCTTCATCCACCAATCCATCAAAAATGCTACTGTCATCCCTGTTAACACAACAGAAAGTGCAAATGCAGTGGAGGGCTCTTAAAACATATCCATCAGTTTCTCAATGTTCATCTCAAGTTGAATTTGGCTCCAACATATTTTACTGTGTTTAAATACGAAACTGAAGTTATCTCAAATAGCCCAGTAACCATTTTCTAACATCATATGTCACCAATACATTTTGATTCAGTTAAAAATGGTAGCAAGAGGCCTGACCTGCCAATATTTTCTGGTGAGTTGCAGATATACCATGAAAGAGCAACCATAACTGAATCCTTCTGAGTACATATACCAATCTTGGGAGTCGTAATAACGAAAAATTCACGTTGTGAAGTCCTCATCTTCTAACACCACCTACTAATTCCATTCTCTTAATAATAATAAATCTTGCATTTGATATGCCACCTTATCACATCGCAAAATCTTGAAGCAGAGTTTTCTGTAACCTTTAGTGACTGTTTGTAAGTGAACACAGCAGCCAATTTGCACACAGCATTATCCCACAAACAGCCATGAAGTAGAACTGTTAGAGGTATAATACTGACTTCCATTTTTAAGGTCACCACAGATATCACTTCCTGCGCACTGCACACATGTGCTACGTGTAAGTGGCACCTTTAATATCACTCTAATGGAATCATACAAACTGGAAGTCAGCCATTTCTGCAGTTGAAAAGATATCTAACAGTCTAAATATGCAAAAAATGTCAAATAAATATTGATATTGGTCTTCTTAAAAACTTCTACAATGAAACATTTCTAAAGCAGATATACAATTGATGACCACAAAACAAATTCCATGAAGCAAAGCATACATTTCTCCCAAAAGAAGATACAATATCATGGAATTAATTCAGTTATAAAAATACAATACTTATGTTCATAAGAGCAAGCAGACTAGAATTATCATCAATCTTTGTATTTGTGACCCAGGATAGTCCAACCTTTTGGCTGCCTCATCCTCTCTCTCACACACAATCTCCCTCTCTCAATTACTGTCTCTCACTCCCCCTCTCTCCCGCATACTCTCTCTATCCCCTCTCAAACTCTCTCTTAATCACCCTCTCAACCTCCCCCTCTCTCCGTTTCTTCCTCTCTCCCTTTCCATCACATTCACTCCCTCCCCTCTCTCAATCTATCTCTGTTCTCTCCCCCTTTCAATCACTGTCCGTCTGCCCCTCTCTCAGTCTCTCTCTCTCTTTCCCCTTTTCTTACCTCTCACATGTGCTCTCTCCCCTGGGTTCCCCTCTCTCTCCCCCACCAGGTCTCCCCCCCCCGAACCACCCCCCCCACTTACCACCACCTCTCCCTACAATCCACCCCCTCTCCCCCCCGCTCCGCCCCTGTACCCACCCTCTCTCCCCCCTGCCCTCCCCCACTGCGCACCCCCCCCCTCTCTCCCCCCTACGCACCCCCCCTTTCTCCCCCCACGACGCACCCCCCTCTCTCTCCCCCCCTACGCGCCCCCCCCTCTCTGCCCCCCCCCTACGCGCCCCCCTCTCTCCCCACCCGCGCATGCCTTTCTGACAAACTGCGGCAACGGCCGGCATTATTTTCATTCTCCGCTCCAGAAGGAATTAATTTAATACAGTAGTTACCAAAGTGGCAAAAAGGTAGATTAGGAGATTTTTAAAAAAACACAGCATGTGAAATGCCATGTTGGAAGACTTCAATTTGAAGTAGTATGGGAAAAGATAGATAAAGGGGCTTGAATTCATTGCTCTTTTAAAGGGCGAGCATAGGGACAATGAGTTGAATATGCCTTCAATATATTGCTATTGGAAAAGTAACTTATTTTACCACATTGTAAAAGGAAGTTTTTTTTAAAAAAACTTACCTGTCTGCACAGCTAGAGCTCATCTTATTCATTTATAGTAGCCAGCAAAAGCAGAAGTATTTCAATCTTATGGTAGACATTTGGCCGACTAAATCAGGAAAACTGAAAAAGTAATGTGGAAGCATGTTAAACTGGTAAAATGTTTCTGTAAATTAGTAATAAAATTCAATACAGCGAGCATGTGTATTACATTGGAAACTATGTCTTTATATTGCAAATGCATTCGTTATCTATAATTTCTCCCATTATAAAAATAATACCAGCACAATTTCCCATGCAAGCGTCTTATGTTGAGAAATAGTCAGGTGTAAAGCTTTAAATAAAATAGGATTAGTAGGTTAAGTGGCAGTGAAACATTATTCTCCATGATCAAACTACTGTAATATCAATAACTAATAGTGGGATCAAAGATGACATGTGCCAGTGGCTTCAAGAGAAACTCTTTTTTTTAAAAAAACTGATAAATGATTTGAACACTTACTCCTAAATAGAAACCACGTACTGTGTAACTAGCATAGGTAAATTTCTAAATTTTCAGAGCTCCAGTAATCTGTCAGCCAATTACCTTACTTGTTCCACGAGAGATCTACAGTATCATGTGACAGGACTATTCCCATTTTGATCCTGTATTACATAAATGTTCCCAAAAACATAAACTGGTAGAATCAAGTTATGAGATGGAAAATTGGATGAATTCCCAGATTTAAATGTACTCTTGAATATAGATCCTAATTTAAAAAACATGCAACATATTTTCATACAACATAGTTACAATTGTGAGAAATTAATGCAGGCTGCAATTTCAGGAAATGCACTGGGCAAGTCTCCAGAAAATGATAGAAAAGTACATTAAAGTCAAGAACAGCCTAGGGCAAACCAAAGATTTTTAATATAATTTTTAGTATTGAAAATTATTAATTTAAGTAATTATTTCTTCCCGCAATATATGCCCCTTCTTATGGTTCCTTCCCTCCTCATCCTGGAGTATAGTTCCACAGATGCTGGTTGCCCGCCCGAGTGGTCATCTTTTCAAATGCTGTCACACACTTGCCAATAGATGGTGTTAATAGAGAAACCATGAGTGCACTGGTTTTCCCTGACTCATTTTCTCTTCCCAACCCTGAGAAGGCTATGGCCAATTTACCTATTTAGCACCGGATTGTACAAGCAAACTCCAACTCCCTCTCTCCCCTCGTTCAATACAGGCAGTCCGTCCTATAGAGTAAGAGGACCCAGGTTCAATTTCCAGACAGAACAAATCCTTAGGCAAGTTTCCTTACTCCACACACCTCTCCATAATGTTTACCTAGCAGTAAGTAGGAACCCGGGTGCTAATGATGTACATAAAACTCTGCTGCAATTTAACCATAACTTGCATTTGTTATTTAACTCAATTTTAAGTACTGTTGACGAAAAATAATTCTAAAGATTGAATAAAACTGCACTTTCAAACTGAAAATATCTCCACAAATGATTTACAAATACTCTGGACATGTTGTCACTCTTTATTAGAACCTCATAATATTTACTATGTGAAACAATGTACCATGACTGATAACATTTCTCAATAGAGCAACGCTGTAGCATGTGGTTAGCAAAAAGTAGGTCAAGAAGCCTTAGAAAAATTGTCAAATTAGTAAAATTTTGGACAACATGATCAGGAAATCATAGGAATGAAAATACAATATTCAGCCCTTTTCATATCGCGAGGACGACTCAAAGCACTTCAGTGTGCTGGATGTGCTGGATGTGCAGGCAAGCTGGGCTAAGCCAAGGAGGATGGAGAATAAAGATGGCCAAAAGCAGGGTCGAAGAGGCATGTTTTGAGATGTGCCTCGATGGAGGGAGCAAATCAGAAGGACTCTGAGATGGAGTTCCATATAGCAGCGGCAACATGGCTGAAAGCTCGTCTCCTGATGATAGTGTGGCTAGGGCAGGGAATATGAAACAGTAATCGTTGAGCAAAGGGAGCAGCAGGGACAGTGTGGTTGGAGGAGGTCACAACGTTAGAGTAGGCCGAGACCGTGGAGGGATTTGAATGGGAGAACAAAGATCCTGAACTCAATTTGGTGGGGAAAATCGGGAACCAGTGAAGCTGAGCAAGAATAGGGGTGATAGGTGAGGGAACCTGGTGAGGGAGAGGACACAGGCTGCAGAGTTCTGGATAGTTTGCAACCTTTCTCGCCGAGAGCAGAACATCAGTGTGGACAAGCCTGGACGTGATAAGAGTATGGATGAGAGTCTCAGGGGCCTGAGGAGAGATGCAATGCTTGAGATAAGCAATGCATCAGAGGTGAGGGAAAGCAGAGCAGGTAATAACATGACCTGGGGTTTGAAAGACAATTGGGAGTTGAACAAGACACCAACGTTTCACAATGGCTACGCGAGGTTGGAGCGCGCAACCATTCAGGTTGATGCTATCAACACCAGAGGTGAGAAGGTGCTAATGTAAGCAAAGCAGGGGAGCTTCCGTCTAAAGATCTTTAGCAATATTTGTTCATATTTATAAGTTTTGGAGAAGCAATTTTATTTGGAAAACATCTCCTTTTGCTTCAGGATTCAGAAGCCAGAGCAGACACAATGTCTACCTAAATTTGAATTCCAACTGATAGTTTAAACCTGCCACACTTGAATTACAAATATCAAGTTCAACAACAAAAAAATACCCATCTCTGAAAATGGGTTTCATGTCAGGACCTATTTTTAGACATTATAGTGTAAAACAATCATTTGGATCAGTTACAGTATTTTAAATCGCACTGCATTTCTTATATATGGAAGTAGGTTAAAATAGTATAGAAAAGAGTTTCTCTTAGTGTCCTGGCCAAAAATCCCCCCCCCCCAGCCCGCCACCTCGCCATCTACGACATGATAAAGTGCCATATCATATGTATGGAGTATTACCTCCACAAATTCTCCTCACAGCTTGGTTCTGGACCTCACAAATATTCCAAAGCAAACTTCCATTGCACTTCCAGCAGTTCTGGAACTTTTTCATGCACAATATTGTAAGCCACAAACTTAACTTATAGTGGGTCTTTGCTAATAATAATCTTTTTGTAGTTGATGCACCTCGAAGCACTTCACAGGATTTATTGTAAAGTGATGTAACTGTGTGTATTTTGTGGGCAACAGCAGCAGCGAATTTGCGCACAGCAATAATGCCCATGCAAAAATTTGTAAACAAGCCCAGAAACTGATCCAAATCAATAATTAACCCTTGTATCTTCCAATCGATACTCTCAAGTCATCCAGAGCCATTATACCACTATCATATCCCACTAAATAGATAGAATCAAGGGGAGAAATAGAAAACTAGATTTGGATGTCATCTACATACATGTGGAATTTAACCCCATTTTTGCAGATGATGTCACCATGTAGATAAGGAAAAGGAGGGGCTCAAGATAGAACCCCAAATTACTCTATAGGTTATTGTGTGAGGATGGAGCAAAGCCAAAATGATAAAAGTGGGGCAAATGAGACAATTAGGATTTGAACTAGGAGAATGTGGTTCAATTACAAAAATAAAAATAGATGGTGCAGTATGACTATTATTCACAGCATTTCTTTCTGAAATACAAAATGCAAAACAAATCTGGTAAAATGCCAACAACTATTTAGACCAAGTAGGTCACTGTTGCTCTTAACAGAGCAGTCAGAAGCATTTGATCAAATCATTAAAAAGATTAAAAGTACATCACTCAAACCTATTCCTATCCCGCAATTCCAAGAGCCACATGTAAACGACGCATGGGAAAACAGACCAAATGTATATATTCACTAGCCTTTTCCATGATCTGCAAACATATAATTTTAAAAATGTTGTATTTTAGTTTTTTTTGCAGGACGCCGTTATTAACAAAATAATCATTTGCATTTTATTACATATAAATACATAAATAAATGTGACCAGGATACTGACAGCATGATGACGTAAGTGGCAGTGTTAAATTAAGTCAGGGTCGAGTTATGCATTTACTGTATTTTTAGTTTTGTTCATCAGTTAGCATTAACTCTCAGCTTGGTTAGACATCGACCCCAAAGTGCTACTATATAAAATTGAGGACAGAATTAACACTCAGTCATTTTAGCAGTTACTTCAAATGAAAATAGGCCCACACAAACAGTTAATTAAATATGGTTAATTAACCAGGTTATTAATTCCAGTGATATAGGCCGCAGCTTTATAAAGGACATGAAATGCTCTCAGTCTAGAAGCAATGATTCCACAAACTATTATTCAGAGAGAGAAGTTTAGTTCTATCCAATGACCTATCCTTTAAAATACAGTATATAACTATTTCTAACTACCATTTTTTGAGATCTAGTTATGTAGCTTAGTGCTGAATGCTCAATTTGCATTCTGCATTAAGAAGAGTAGGAAGAAATTTCAAGTGTAATTTTTATTTAATCTGGAGAGCAATACTGTAACATCAACAAAATTACATTTCTATAGCGTCTTTCACATCGGGAGGACGTCCCAAGGCACTGGACAATCAGTGTTTCGGACCCGAGCTGGGGATAGGGTTCAGGGCGGGTGGAGGGCAGGGGCGGGAAACAAGGTGATCGAATGCACAATCGAAGAGGGTCTTGAAACGGGTCTCGAAGGAGGCAAGGGAGGGGGCGAGGTGGAGGGACTGTGGGATGGGCAGGGTGGCAGAAGATCCGCCTGCCAAAGGAGGGGCGGGCGAGGTGGGGGACGTGAAACAGGCCAGAGCCTGCTGAGCAGAGGGAGCGCCAGAATGGTAGGGGGTTAGAAGGTTGCAGAGGTAGTGGGGAGCAAGGTCATGGAGGGCTTTGAAGGTGAGGACCAGGATCTTGACTGTATCTTCAGTGTGATGGGAAGCCAGTGGAGTCGGGTGAGAATGCGGATGACAGGGTCGCGGAGCCTGATGCAAGAGAGGCCATGGGCTGCAGAGTTCTGGATGATCTGCAGCCTATGAAGGGATAAAATGGGAATTTACTGTACATGCACTAATGCAACTCTAACAAGAACCTTGCATTTATTTAGTGCCCTTCACACAGGGTAGTGTCCCAGAGTGCTTGACAGTAGCGGAGCACGACGCCATCAGGGGGAAACGGGAGGTGACTGTAGGCACAGTCGAATAGGAAGGTCTTCAGGCAAAACCTGAAGATAGTGAAGAAAGGGACAAGCGGCAGAATAGACGAAGAGTGTTCCAATGTTTCAGGGCATAGTGGCTGAAAGCGCGGCCACCAATGGTAGAATGGGAAGGACGAAGGACATGCAGAAGAGAAAATTGGTCCGAATTTATGCATATTCCAAAGTAAACTTAGAGCCATTTATGAGAGGTATTAAAACTCAGAAGAGTCACCGTAAAATCATGACGACCAAAGGGATCCAAATACATTTTCTGATAAGATGTTTGCACTGCTTCCGTCAACAAAAAAAAAAGCCACCTTTCCAGGAAGTTTGTAAAGCATGACCGTCCATAGAAAAAAAAAACACTGATTAGATTTTCTAAAAAAAATGTCAACGGCAAACAATAATCGGTCGTACTTACATTTGATAAGCTTGTCAAACCATTTAAAAGCTGGTTGAATCTTCATCGCATTTGTTGTGCAATGACCAACGGGCGGTGGCGGCGGCGATGGTGGCGGCGGTGGCGGTGGCGGTGGGGGGGAAACGAGGACGGTATCGATCAAATCATTAAAAAAGATTCAAACTAAATGGCTAAAATCTGCTGCTCCCCGAACGCTCCCAGCGCTCCAGGACGCCATCCGTCCCACGTGAAGTGTGCTACACAAACGCAAGTTGATATAACTCTCAGACGTCTCGGAGACGTGATAAGACGCTATATCAAATGCAAGAATTATTATTATTATTATTATTACTACTACAAGTTGTTGTTGTTACCCTCGCCCTTTCAGGTCGGGAGGACGTGCCAAGGCGCTGCGCGGGTGGTAAAAGTGGGGGGGTGGGGGGATGGGTGTGGGAGAGAGGGCAACAGTCACTTATCTGGCAAGAAGTAAACAAAATTGAGGAAAGAAAAAAAAATCCCTGGGCTTCTTCCTGGGATCTCCTCGAGGAGCTCAGCATCCGACAGAGAAAACAGCTTCGGCCCAAACAATCCTCTCACACACCACACACACCACACACACCGCCACCACCAACTAACCAACTGTCAGCAGCCATCGACCGACACACACACACACACACACACACACCGCCCGCGCCCTTCACAATCCCTACCTTCATTTCATCCTTCACGCCGATGACTCGGGCTTTTTATTTTTTTTTCCAACAAAAAAAATCCCTTTTCTCTATCCCCTTCCCCTTCCCGATGTTTTCCCTCGATGTTGTTGTTGTTGTTGCTGACCGAGCCGGACCACACAGACACCCGAGGCGGGGGGTGAGGGTGAGGGGGGGGGGGGGGCGGTGGCGGTTGGGAGCTGACGGTTGACCAGTGGAATGTGAGCGCTCAGGGGGTTCTCGGCGCCGCTCGAGCCGCCGCCGCCGCCGCTCGTCTCATTCCGCCATCCACGATTTGGACAACATAATCATTCGCATTTGTACTGTAAATAAGACAACGTGCAGCTGCCGTCCCCCCGCACTCACTCACTCACTCACTGACTGACTGACCAGCTGCTGTGTGTGTGTGTGTGTGTGTGGACACTGAGGAGGGGCCCCCGACCCGCCCTGCCCGCCCCGCCCCGCCCCGCCGCTGCTCGCAATCCGGCACCGGATTGTTTGGGCACGAACCCGCCCAATTGGGCGTGATTTTGTGTCTCCCCCCCACCTCCCCCCCCCACCTCCTCCTCCTCCCTGTCGTGATGCACGTGAAAAAAACACAGGTGTTTTAATCCCCTTTGACGTTTTTAATTTTATTTAAACCTGCAAAACGTGTCCCCTCCCCCCACTCTTTTTTGAAAACCTTTCAGAAGCACTGACCGACATTGGCCACTCTGTTACCCACAGGAGGCAACGCATCATAATAATAATAATAATAATAATAATAATGGGCTACTTTTGGGCTCGTGTTTGGGTTGGCTTTGGGCTACACAGGGCAAAGTCTCTGTGTCTGCACACTGAAGGGCTCCCTCCTCTTCCCTCCCTCCTCCCCACATTGAGTGCAATCCTCTCCTCAGTCCATGATTCGCACTTGATGCAACTTGTCACAAGCAGTGCCTCCCCACCCACACACTAGATCTGGCTCTTCGCTGCGAATTTTCAATCGCTGACTAAATATATATACATATTCAAAAAATACTAAATCTAAGCAAATAACGCAACAGCGCAACTCGTTTCCCATTCGGCGCTTACATAATAACAACGCTGCTCTGTAAAGCGCTCTCGGCTGGAGTTCCCCCAGCGAGGGAGGCATTGGGTGGGCACCGCCTATTATTTTTTTTCCCCCCCTCGTCACTGAGAAGCCGACCGACGCTTTCGTTGGTGGAGGTGCTGTGCTGCCTCCCTCACTGCTCTACACTTTATCGAGAGAGGGAGAGGCCGGAGAATTTCCCACATTGTGTTGCGTGTGTGTTGTACAGCTCGGAGCATGGCTTTGGTTGGTTTCTGGGGGCTCTCTTGTGTGTCTGCTCCAGGGCTGGCCCTGGGCTGCTCCTCACTCGCTGGCACTGGGCAGACTCCCCGAGTTAGTCCCACTGACCTAGTTTCACTGCTGTTACTCTCGATTCCCAAAAGGGAGGCAGGCGGCAGTCACCAAAGCCTAAACGCTTATTTACCGTACAAGGCGAAACTTTAGGTAGCTTTCCTTCCTCCACACATCCTCTGTTTGCCTAGCAGTTAGCAGGAACCCGACCGCTTTTCCCAGGAAATAATCCCTCCAAAAAATAATAATAATTTGGCCACTCAATCCACGACTGTTTGTGGGGGCACTGCTGTGCGCAATTGGCTCGCGTGTTTTGTCCACAAAATATACAATCAATTCATTTCACAGTATATGATGTGAAGCACTTTGAGGTATCTCAATAAGTTGATAAGGCATTATATCAAATACAAGGATTATTATTATTATTTCCCCGAGAGGAAAGAGTTGGGAATTTGGGGGTGAGGATGGAAGGAGAGATTAAAATAAGAACAAATGCAAAAAGCAGATGTGTGTGTGGGAGAGAGAGAGGCAGGATTTCCTTGCAGTACAGGATTTGATTCAAATGCATATCCATACATTATGTTTAAAACAATGTGTATACTCTTAGCTTCTGGGCCCCAAATCTATTTGGGAAGTTTTAACAGTGCTGTTGTTATAGTTATTTGGCTGTTGCATTGGCTGGCAAATACAACAACAACAACAAGATTACATTTGTATAGAGCCTTTCACGTCGGGAGGACGTCCCAAGGCGCTGGACAGAGTACAGCATTTCAGACCCGAGCAACTTGCTCTAAAAGCTGGTACAGGCTTAAGAGTGCAAATAGCTTCCTCTGCACTGTAAATTTCAATGTTACTGTGTCATTCCGATGAGCTGTTGGAACAGGACATACCCGTACAATGTTCCAAAGAACTGTGTGTATATCATATATTATGTGGGAATGAGGATTTTTTTTAATGCAACCCTACGCAGGCGAAATATGAGTGGCCCATTTGTATTTCTTTTCGTTAATCAACTCTCAAGTGTAACCGGGTGGGCAATTGCAAAGCAATGTTATTCTCTTTACTTTCCTCTCTACAAAATAGGTCATTTCCAATCTGAAAGATAGGCAATGTCATTTATGTACTAATATGATTGATTTGGACAGTAGATAAATAAATCCAAAGTTACCTTCAATGCTGAGAAGACCAAGACAATGACTGATAAGAAACATTAAGTATGTGCATAGGTTAAGTCCACCCTTGATCCACCTCAAACTATTAACTTATCTCTAACTTGTCCTTTAGGAATCCTGTAGCGTATTGTTTAGAGCGCTCGCCTCGCAACCGAGAGGGCCTGGGTTTGACTCTCGGGTGCAATATTAGGCACGTTTCCTTATTCCATACGTCTCTGTTTACCTAACAGTAAGTAGGAACCCGGTTCTTAGTCGATTGGTGGTTCACATTTCTGGGGATAATTAATCACTTAAAAAAAAGTAATAATAATAATTTGGTCACTGAATCCATGACTGTTTGTGGGACACTGCTGTGCACAATAAGCTGGCGTGTTTTCCCCACAAAATATACAGTCAATTCACTTTACAGTATATTCTGTGGAGCGCTTTGAAACAACTCAAAAACGTGATAAGGCGGTATATCAAATGCAAGGATTATTTTTTTTTAATACAGTATAGTGAAATGTGCCTATACCACTTCTCTCACAATTTCATGTTTGAGACTCTCCAGTTAGGTTTTTGACCTGTCCCATCCCGTGTCCCCAATGACACTACTTTACTTTGATCAAAGCTCAATGTCCCTCTCGCTCTCCTTGACTTCTCTACTGCTTTGACACAGCTGACCACTCCATTGTCTGTCCATCATGGTCCACTTTATATTCCTTTAATTATTACATTTGGCATAGCCGCTTTCATATTGGGAGGATGTAGTGTAAAGTGTAATGACACTGTATTTTTTAGGCGAATGCAGCAGCTGATTTGTGCACAATACATTAGAATATACAGCACAGAAACAGGCCATTCGGCCCAACTGGTCTATGCCGGTGTTTATGCTCCACATGAGCCTCCTCCTGCCCTTCCTCAACTAAGCCTTCAAGCATAACCTTCTGATAAAGTCCCACAATAAAGTCCCACAAACAGCCATTTAAGTGAATGACCAATTTTATCCCAGGGATTGCTGCGCAGGACATCAGGAGACTCTTCCTTCTCATTTCAAATAGTACCATGTGATCTTTAACATCTACCTGCACAGGCAGATGGGTCTTAATGTCTTATCCAAAGGCGGCATCTTGAAGCACATCTCCATTACTGCATTGGTGAGTCATCCCAGAATATGTGAATTCACAGTCCTAAAGTGGGATTTGAATCCATAACTTTCTGACTCAGAGGCAAGAATGGTACAGTCTGAGCCAGGATTACACAATACACTGCATCTTTCATGATTTGATTTCTACCTGTCCTGATGCCTTCATTAATCTCTTCCTGCAGCTTTCCATACTCAGTAATCTCCAGTGTACCTCAGGGCTCTATCCGTTGGTCATCTCCTATTCATTTTATATATATATATGTTACTTTTGGCGGCAGTATCCATAAATGTAGTTTGCTTCTATATTCCAAATAAATGCCAACATTTAGGAAAATTTGTGTAAATATTCTATCAGTTTGGAATAATAACTTGGGTTAAGACACTGTATTTTTAGATGAATTCATATTTAATAAATGCTAATCAATTAGCAACATTTACAATGTAATTTCAGCCTTCAGTTTGGTCACTTTCATGAAAATATTGAAGCGAACAGTCTCGTATAGAAGATGTCATCAGATTCACAACTGATTTTTGGGATTCTCTTCATAATCTGATTTTACTGCACCTGTATTTGCCACCTTCCACTCCAACTCTGAAAATACAAGGACATATGTGAGGAGCATTTAACATCTTCAACTTGACACTTATCTTTTCTTGAGGTATTTGTTTGTGGATGAGAAGGTTAACCATGCTTTTAAAATACCGAATAAATATTTTGTTTTATTGTAAGCGTAATTATACATATTATTCTAAGGTGTCAGCCTGGCTGAGTTAGTAGCTTTCTCACCTCTGAATCAGAAGGTTTGAGACCTTGATCTCATAGGCTAGTGGCACAGATGCAGTGCTGGGATGTACTGTATCATCAGATGTGCCACCCTTCGGATAAGATATTAAACTGCCTGTTCAAGTGGATGGTAAAGATTCCATGACACTATTCGAAAAGAGAGGGGAGTTTCTCCTGATGTCCTGGCCAACAGTGCCCCAGATGAAATTGGTCATTCACTTCATGGTTGTTTGTAGGACATTGCTGTATGCAGATTGACTGCCACATTCGCCTACACGTACACAGTAAAATTTTGTAAAGCCCTTTAAGACTTCTCGATGAAACAATAAGGCTTTACATTAAATGCAAATATGATTATTATTAGATAATATTCTAGGATAATCACAACAAAAACTCCCCCTTGATTTATTCTGTAATATTTTGAAACTTGCAGTTCCTCATTTCCTTTTTTTGAATTTAACTCTTGCCTCATATATACATTTTTTTCAAAAAACTTCAGAACATTTCAGAGCAGAAAGGGTCTATTCAGCCCATTGCGTCTGTGCCAGCTCTCCAAAAGAGCTAATCACTTAGTTCCACTCACCTGCACTTTCCCTTTAACAATACTGACCACAAAATGTTGTAGATATATCTGATACTTTAAACATTTTACCTTTCATCTTCAGATCTGGCCCTCCACACTCCAATCCAATGAACCTTGCCTTCAATTGACCCTCAAAATATATAAAAATAGTTGGCAAGTATTTGTCTGGGTAGTTAGGAATACAAATATTTGCAATAGCCTTCATGAATTTAGTTTCTGGGAATTTTTTGGCAAGCTCAGTCAAATGATGATTGACCAAAGTGCACATTGGTATTCTGCAAAAATAATAATTTTAAAAATCAGATCATTTTGTTGAATTTTAACTTTTAACTTTCAAACTACAGTATATCTTTTTTGCTGAGCTATATATATGTCATCTATAAGCCCACATAAATCTGCTATTAAAAAGGGAGGAACTTTGATCCCAAAACATTATCAAGAACAAACCTCTAACAAAACACAAACCTTAGAAACCTTTGACTCCATACAGGCCCTGCTTTTTGGAGCCTATCAGGTAGGATTTAAGTTAATGAAATTGGATTTTTAAAATAGTTGCTCTCATCTTCCAAATGGATGATGGGAGCTAAAGGACGAAAGAGAAAGAATGTAGATAAATTAGAAAAAAAGTTAGTTAGAATGAAAATGTGGAAAACAATAACTTAAATTTATGAAATATTATAAAGAGGATAGAGAGAAGAAAAAGTGACAGGTCAAACACAGACAAGGATTTCTGATCTTTTATTTAAATTTTAAGCTAAGATTTTAGAGTTAATTTTTGAAAGGCACTCTATAAATGCAATCTTGTTGTTGTAGTGAGTAAGGACAAGTTCACCACTTCATACCCCCTTCATCCATGACCTTCTGTTTAAAATGATTAAACCTTGTTGTACCACAGATCATTATTAGTTTTACTGTTAATTTTTTCACTGTAATTTTTAAGAGAATAGGATAAACCAGCCCTGAATGATCTGCATAATATATAAAGTACGTTTATTTCATGTTTATAGAATATTGGAGCTTAATGTTTATATATGAATATACAAAGTGATTCAAATGGATATGCAAAGAATTCAGACAAAATCAATCATTCAGTTCATGACTGGTTGTGGGACATTACTCATTTTGTTATTTAAAGATCCAAAGCCACTATTTGAAAAGAGAAGTTGAATTTCTCCTGGTGTCCTGACCAGCAATTCCCCAAAGAAAATCGGTCACTCACTTAATTGGCTATTTGTAGGACATTGCTGAACACAAATTGGCTGCCATGTTCATCTACAAATATACAGTCACTACACTACATTAAAAATCCTGTGAAATGCTTTAAAACATCTCAATGATGTGATAAGGCACTATTTTGATAGCAAGGTTTATATTTTCACCCTTAGAAATTCTGAGTGAGTTTCACAGCTGTATCACCAGTTTCAATAAAATGCTCATAGCTTACCCCTACTCTAACCACAAGATGGCACCAATAGAACTACACTAGGTGAATTTAAAAACAGAAACAACTCCTTTCCCAAAGATGTTGACTTATGCTGGAATACAGCTCTATGAGAGCAGAGCAGCACCTGATACATCACCCAGTGTCTATTATTGGTGTAGAACTGAGACAAAGAGTTAAGGCAATTAACATATGGAAACGATCACCACATCATCTCTGTAAAGTACTATAAAAAGAAAGACACAACATAAGTGAAGTTGTTATTGCTATTTTAGTGATCAGCATATGGACACACAGGAACAAAAGAATGTTGATCAGCATATCAAGCTTGCTCTGCCTTTAGTCCAAAGCATCTCTCGTTAATGCCATCTTTTGTCCATATTCCTTAATACACTCAGTTAACAATTGCCTCTCAATGTGTATATGTATATGCTTGCAACCTTTGTATTAGAGGTTAGCTCTCAATGTATTGAGAAAGTTACATGAGATTTACAAATAATTTCTCAATTATAATATATATAAAATATGTGTTTTCAGATCTAGTACGCAGATTATGCATTGGTTCTAGTAAATACTCCAATGCACAATTAATTAAAAAAAGAAAGCATGTTGCTTTACGCAGCTAATTCTGTTTTAAATGCTGCTCTGCACAAATCGACATCAATATATTGATCTACTCAACTGAATAAATTTGCAACACTGAATTTTTTGTTTTTTTTGATCAACCGTGGTATATATAGATACCAATCACCGTGCTTAAGAGTATCCAAACCAAGCTGGAATTTCCATGCATCCCATCTACACATGGAAATCCCAGATATGGATTGTTGGAATGGAATTCATGCTCTTCCTGGAGGGTACATCCTGATTACCTAATCACGTAAAGTATTAGGTGCAGTTTGGCAAGAGCCAAGGTTTGGTAAACTCCAGAGTGTGCAATGGGGTACTGCTGGAGTCTAACCAGCTAAAACTGCATAGTTTACCATTAATATTGCTGTATGGCAAGCTTGCCTGCTTGCCAGACCACCCTACGTTAGGGCTTTGGCTTGCAGGGTTGAATGGGATCCCTGTCAGTGACTGGGCTGCCCTTCCAGGTCCTGTTGATGGGCCAGGCTGGTCTTGCTGTCATCAGCAGTGCCCTGGGATACTGCTGCTCCCCTGAACAGACCTATTCCACTAAACGGATCAACTCCCCTGAATAGATCCAATAGATAGTCTCTTATAACAAGACCTAGTGCAGGAGAAACCATTCAGCCCATTGAGTCTGCACTAGCTCACAGAGCAAGGAGATCACTTCAATCCCACCACCCTTCAAACCCCAAGTTAATTCAATTACACACATCCTCCTTGTCAGGACCAAGTTCCTGACTGTCCAGCGCCTTGGGGCGTCCTCTCAACATGAAAGGCACTATGTATTGTCTATATTTTAGAAACAAGTATGGTTTCAGAGAAGTTCTAAATTATTGCATAGTGTGAATTCCCATTTAACAGGAAAAAAATCTTGTTACTGTAATAATGCACGACAATTAAAGCGAAATAAGAGCACAGTGTATTTTCCAAAAGGAAAGAAAAATTTCCGATTGTTTATTTTCAAACGGCTATGATATAAAGTTCTCTGGTGAAAAAGGTTATGTCACAACTATATGTCGATATGGAGAAAACTAGCAACACAAGTTAAAATGTTCTTGCTGGTATTATCTATCAAAATTATTCACTACATACCCTGGTCTATAAAGATGAAGCACAACCCATATTTCTTTTCCTGCATATGTGATTTGCTTGACATACTCATCTCCTTGGAGTTCAATCAGTTCTCCAAATTTTCTTTTTCTCTGCACAGCTTGCCACTCTGCCAGTCGCTGACTTCTACACACAAGCATAGACCACATTCAATGTGACATTTCTTTGCTGAAAATATATTTCAGATACCCATTGTAATCTATTCCCATATCAATAAAGTTTAACATTTGCTGATATTCCAAGGCCAACAATTTCAAAAATGTTCATCTTTTATTCTGCAGAATTTAAGAATACCAGGAAAACACTCGTTTAAGTTATTTTTCATTAAGAAGTAAATGTTGTTTGTGAGAAATGTAATTTTACTAGCATGAATGAAATAATTGCAACCAATCATCATATACATATGCAGCAATAGAGGAATGTTAGAAATGTATAAGCAACATAACAAATATGAAAATAGTTTGATTCTGCAAAATAAAACGAACATGCTATGAGGTGAGAAGGGCTATGTAATGTTAGGGTTTTTTCCAGCCGGGTTCATTGCATCTCAAACATCAACAACAACAACAAGATTCCATTTATAGAGTGCCTTTCACGTCGGGAGGACGTCCCAAGGCGCTGTACAGTTGGGTCAGGACCCGAGCAGGGGGGAAATGGTCAGGGGAGGGGAGGGAAAGGAGGGAGCGAGGAGGGGGTAGAGAGTCGAGAGGGGAGCTGAAGGCACTGTCAAAGAGAAAGGTCTTGAGACTGGCGTTGAAGGAGGAAAGGGAGGAGGCGGCGAAGGCACTGGGGATAGAGTTCCAGAGCCTCGGGGCTGAGAGGCTGAAGGCCCGGCCACCGATGGTAGGGCGGTTGGGGCGGGGGATGTGGAGCAGACCGGAGCCAGAGGAACGGAGGGTACGGGCAGGTAGGTAGGGGGATAGTAGGTCGGAGAGGTAGGAGGGAGCAAGGCCGTGAATGGCCTTGTAGGTGAGGATGAGGATCTTGAATTCCATCCTCTGGGGGATGGGGAGCCAGTGGAGGCGAGCGAGGGTGGGAGTGATGTGGTCGCGAAGCCTGGTGCGGGACAGTACACGAGCTGCAGAGTTCTGAATGACCTGCAGCTTGTGGAGGGAGGTGCCGGGAAGGCCGGCGAGGAGAGAGTTCCCATAGTCCAGCCTTGAGGTGATAAAGGCGTGGACCAGAGTTTCAGCAGCGTGAGGGGTGAGGTAGTGCCGTAGTCTGGCGATGTTCCGGAGGTGATGGAAGGCGGTGCCAGTTGTGGCGCGGATATGAGGGAGAAAGGACAGCTCAGGGTCGAACAGAACCCCGAGGTTCCTGACGGCTTTGAGAGGTGGAGAGTGCAGCCTTGGATGCTGATGCTGTCAGCGCCTGAGGTGCGGAGGCGCTGACGTGAGCCAATCAGGAGGGCCTCAGTTTTGCGCACGTTGAGCTGAAGAAAGTTGTCTCTCGTCCAGGACTCGATGTCGGACAGGCAGCTGTCAGGACATCGGTGGTCGTGGAGTTGAGGGTAGAGGAGGAAAGGTAGAGTTGGGTGTCATCCGCATACATGTGGAAGTTAACCCCATGTCTGCGGATGATGTCACCAAGGGGGAGCATATAGAGGGTGAAGAGGAGGGGACCGAGGACAGAGCCCTGAGGGACACCGCACGAGACAGTGCGGGGGCCGGAGGAAAAACCATTCGTGGAAACAAAGTGAAGACGGTGGGAGAGGTACGACCTAAACCACTCAAGGACAGGGCCTTGAAGGTTGAGGTGGGAGGACAAGCGGTGGAGGAGGATAGCATGGTCGACCGTATCGAATGCTGCCGATAGGTCGAGGAGGACGAGGAGGCAGAGGGAGCCCTGGTCACAGATGGTCAGGATGTCATTGGTGACCTTGACCAGGGCGGTTTCTGTGCTATGGGCAGCACGGAAACCCGATTGAAGGGGTTCGAATAATGAATGGGTGGAGAGGAAAGAGCGCAGCTGGGAGGCGACAACTCGTTCCAGGACCTTGGACAGGAAGGGGAGGTTGGAGATGGGCCGGTAGCTTGATAGCTGCGACACATCAAAGGAGGGTTTTTTCAAGGTGGGAGTGATGGTGGCAGTTTTTAAGGGAATCGGAACAGAGCCAGAGGAGAGGGACAGGTTGACGATGTCTGTGATATGTGGGGCAAGGAGGTGGAGCTGGGAGATAAGGAGTGGAGTGGGGATGGGGTCAAGGGAGCAGGTGGTGGGTTTAAACTTGCCCAAGGTTTCGCCCTGCCTGGAATTTAACTCAGGTGTCTCGCTTGCAAAGCGAGTGCTCTAACCACTGAGCAACAGGACTCTGGATCGGGGATGGGGTGCAAGTGGAGCCTGGTCAATGCTCCTGTGTGCATACTTAACCTCACTGAGTCAATCTGGAACTTGATGTCTTGTTTGACCCTCAACTTTCTACTCCACGTCCATGCCAGAACCGCTCTGCCTTCCCCCACCTCCGCAATGTCGCCTGGCTCCACTATTGCCTCTCCCCTCAGGATGCCAAAACCCTCATGCATCCGTTTATCACATCTAGGTTCAATGACATCAACTCCCTGCTTGTCAGCCTTCCCAACTCTTCCCTCCACAAGTTGTAGATCATCCAGACCTCTACATCTCGTGTCCTCTCCCACACCAGGCTGCTTGACCCCATCATACACAACCTCACCAGGCTCCACTTGCACCCTATCCCCGATCCAGAGTCCTGTAGCTCAGTGGTTAGAGCACTCGCTTTGCAAGCGAGACACCGGAGTTCAATTCCAGGCAGGGCAAAACCTTGGGCAAGTTTCCTTACTCCACACGCCTATTAATAATCCCTCCAAAAAAAATTATATAAAATATAATTAAATATAAATATATAAAATAATTATATAAAAATAATTGATAATTTTCAATCCACGACTGTTTGTGGGACACTGCTGTGCGCAATTGGCTGCCGCGTTTCGCCCACAAATATACAGTCAATTCACTTTACAGTCTATTCTGTGAAGCGCTTTGAGACGTCGAGAAGATGTGAAAAGCGCTATATCAAATGCAAGGATTATTATTATTATTATAAGATAGAGTTCAAAATCCTCGTCCTTGTCTTCAAAGCCCTCCACGGCCTTGCACCTTCCTACCTCTGTGACCTGCTAACCCTGTATCAACCTATCCGCTCCCACCACTCAGCAGGCTCTGGCCTGCTCCACGTCCACAGCTCAGCTCTCCCCACCATCGGCGGTCGGACCTTCAACCTCGCTACACCAAAGTTTGGAACTCCATCGCACAGTCCCTTCGTCTTGCTCCCTCCTTGCCTCCTTCAAAGTACTTCTCAAAACCCTCCAACCGCACCTTCAGCCACCCTCCTACCCCAACCTTTCCTACCCTCACCTCCCCATCCTAAACCCCGCTCATCGAAATCCCTGACTGTCCATCACCTTGGGATGTCCTTCCGACATAAAAGGGGCTATACAAATGTAATTTGTTGTTGTATTAAAATAATAATAATAATCCTTGCATTTGACATAGCGCTTCACAGAATAGACTGTAAAGTGAATTGACTGGATATTTGTGGGCAAACATTGAGAACATTGGCATACAACCAAAGGACACAGAGTGAAACAGGCAGCACACCCCACAAGCACAGGTTGCTCCACCCCCCAGAATCCAGCAAGTAATCATTCTTCAAGTGTTCACCGAGAGAATGATTGTTGGGTTGGAATCAAACCTCAACCAATCTAATTCTGACTCGCTAGTTTACTGGCAAATGATAACAGGCAGAAGGAGAAGAGCATGTCTGATTTTCCCTTCCTCGTCCAGGTGGACTGAAACCAATTGTGGTACCTGTTCCCTAACTGAGATCAGCTACCTCAGTGCAGACTGGGATCAAACCAAGGATATTCTGTGTGTGTCTCAGTGGCTTACCAAACAGTGTCTTTTTCAATTGAATCAATAGAGCCTCAGCATTATTTTGAACTATTAAGTTTGTTTTAATTTTATTAGGTTTCAATGCACATTCTAAAAATGCTAAATATTATTGTTATGCTCCCAACAATCAACGTGTAAAAAGTTCTTTTATTCTCAGCTCACAAGTTACAAATCAAACTATCCAACCGAAAATCCTCTAGTCAGTTTTCCCTGCTTCCTGCTTTTCTACCTCCTGATCCTCTTTTATTGTTCCCAGTTAATTGGTCCTTATTTTCTTGAAGGGTATCCAACAATTATAATAGGTGAATTTAACGCAATAATTTAGAAGATGTTCATAAAGCAATGAATCTTTGCTCAGATTGCAACATGTAAATGAACCTCTGGAGCAAATTTCAATCTTATTTACCTATTCCCAATAATCGATACGTAATTCTAGATGTTCTTTTCATTTCTTTGCAGAAACTACACAAGTGGTGTCTATGAGATACACATTTTATACTTTCATCTGAAGGATAATATGAATAAAACTATTTCATTTAAGTTGATAACGTCATGCCATTTTATCATTGTAGCAGAATTGAGGTTTTTAAGCCAACCTGTACTTTTCAATAGCTTGCTCATCTGCCTCATCAAATTCATCCTCTGCTTCCTTTAGTGCCTCAAGGTTCATGTGTTCATAGGGCTTAACTGTGAGAAGCATAATAGTTAAATATTGTGAAACATTTGTATGCACACTGCAAGAGTTTTTGCATTGGTTGCCAACAATACACTGTATAAAAGCTGTTTTACTTAACAATAACTTGCATTTATACAGTAGCCTTCCCAAGTAGCAGCATCTCGGAGTGCTTAATATTGGCGGAGTTTGATGCCGAGCCAAAGACAGAGAGATGATAATGTAGACAAGGTTGAAGAGGAAAGTTTTCAGGTATGAACTGAGGATGTGCAAGGAGTACAAGAGTAGGGAAGTCTTGCTGCAACTGTATAGGGCCTTGGTGAGACCACACCTAGAGTATTGCGTGCAGTTTTGGTCTCCTTATTTAAAAAAGGACATACTTGTCTTAGAGGGGGTGCAGCGTAGATTCACTAGGTTAGTTCCTGGGATGAGGGGACTGACCTATGAGAATAGGCTGAATATACTAGGGCTGTATTCTCTAGAGTACAGAAGAATTAGGGGAGATCTTATTGAAACATATAAGATTCTTAAAGGGCTGGATAAAATAGACACTGAGGGACTGTTTCCCCTGGTAGGAGAATCTATAACCAGGGGTCACAGTCTTAAAATTAAGGGTCAGCCTTTTAGAACAGAGTTGAGGAAACATTTCTTCACTCATAGAATTCACTACCCCAGAAGGCTGTAGATGCTCAGTCCTTGAACATTTTCAAGGCTGAGACTGATAGATTTGTTAAAAAAATAGAGGGATTGATCTTATTGAATGGCGGGGCAGGCTCAAGGGGCCGAATGGCCTATTCCTGCTCCTAATTCTTATGTTCTTATGTTCTTATATGGCGGAGGTGGAGGAAAGTTATGAATAGAAAGGGTTGGAGAAGTTTGCAGAAGATGGGTGGGGTAAGAGCAGATAGAGGGAATCTATCTATTAGGGGATTGAGTGCCAGTGAAATTTGGCAAGACTGTAGTAATAGGCAATGCTGAGCCTGGGGTGGTGGAGCATAAATGCTGTGACATTCTGAAGGAGGAGGAGCTTATGCGGAGCTGGGGTGGGGAAAGAGGAAAGAAAAATGACAAGGTGGAACTAGACAAGTCAGCGAGGAGACTATTTGAGAAATGTTGTCTCAGGGTGATGATAGCAAAAACATGGGAGAAACCATTGTCCCAACGCAGCTGTGTATTCATGCTCAAAACTGTTTGATAACTAAAGGCAGCTTTGGATAGCAGCTTTCGGCAATGTGATAATTAGCCCCAGTGGTAATTATTTTGTCACATGCCACACTTTTCATTCCACAATCTTTAGATTAATGGAGATCAGCTAATAGAGGCTCCATTTTGTCCAAGGTAAAGGTAAAAAAAATGCTCAATGTTGTTCAAGACTTTCTGGCACTAATAGTGTGTGTCCATTTTCAGCTTACCATTCTCTAGATGCTAAAAGGAGGTTTTATTTGTTTACTTATAGACAGATAGATCCTGGTAAAAAATCGAATCTTACTTTTGGCCTCTTCCTGTAAACGCAGGGCCATTTCCTCAACTTCATCTCTCTCTTCTTCTTTTGGAGGAATAATACCAAACTTCCTTAAGGCATCGTTCCACTCAGTATCTTCATTAGGATCCTATGAAGAATCAAAATGTAATGTAGTTTGTTTCAAACTGAAAATCATGCTGATTTGTAGCCAGTTTGAATTTATGTCTGAGCATAAAGTGGGTAGAGAAAAATCACTGGATCGTTCGACAAATGATCAACTGATGAGCTGAATAACTCACGTCTGAGTGAGTCATGTTCACTGACTTCATGAATAGATTTTTTTGTTGTTCAATAGAAGACTTCTCTACTTCAACCATTAAATAGCACTGTGAAAAGCATGACAGAACTAATAACAGACATTTTTCACATAGAAGGATGCCCTTCAGCCCATCATGCCTGTGCTCCTGCTACCAGTAATATCACTTTATTATTGTTTATTATTAACTTTACTTTCCATCTCTTTACCCCTGTAATACTCTGCAGTTTAATTTATTTCTCTCCCTTTGAGAATTTTGAATTGGATTTGGATTTGAGAATAAGTATGTTAGACATCAAACACTCCCTTGTATACAATATGCATTTGTACATATACAACATGCACTTTACCAAATGAAATAAATTGTGACATTGTAACTGGGAAAAACATTCTATCTCAGAAACTGAAACTGGACATCACACTTTGTGTGATCTTGGAAAATATGGATAAGAAAACAAAAGGCACTTTTGTTTGAATGCAGCCTCTAAAAGTGACATGCCTCTGTTAAAATATTCATAACCGTGCTGCAGATAGACGAATAATAACACTGAAGACAAACCTGTCTATGGACTTTTTCCTCTATTATTAAACAGCTGATCATATAATTATTATTCTTTAATAACATTAAGTAACTAATAAATCATCGTTGCATTTGTTATTGCACTTTTCACATTGGGAGGGGTTCTCAAAGCATAGGATTTGAGAACACCTTCCAATGTGAAAGATGTATTCATAGGCAAACGTTACAGTCAACTTGCACACAGTACTAAATCCTAATAAATTAAATAAAGTAGGTTTTAATAAAAATAAAAACCAAATGCCTAGTTTTGGAAATGTTCATACACAATTAAGCATTTGCACAGAACTTTAAAAATGGGTATTTTAACAACGTTTGACTAACAAAATTAGTGAAATGTTTAAAGCAAGTTTTTTGGTTGCACCTGGCTGCTGTTGGAAGAGATATCACTTTACTTCTAGCAGTATAACAACAACAACAAAATAACATTTGTACAGAGCCTTTCACATCGGGAGGATGTCCCAAGGTGTTGGAAATTGTGCTGCATAAATAAGAGTGTTGCTACAATGCTGCAGTCACAATAAAGAATTCAGATATAATTCAAACTAGATGTTTCTTTATAATAAATCCTCAATTTTTTCTATTTTTAGATGTGTGAAAACCTTTGAGACAGCCTCCCATTAAGAAAGGACTATGTAAATGTAACTTTTTGCTGTATTTCTAAATGTAATTTGGCTTCCCTGTTAGTCCCTGAAAGTAAAGGCAGTTAAAGTGGATTCAAGCAATAGGAATCATAATAGCAGCCTTGTGATATTAGCATGTGATAGGAAGAGAAGATTTTACAAGATGTACATTTCACAAAACATTGTATGGTGAGATGTAAAGTTATTGCCTGGATGCAAAACATTAATTTCATGAAAACAAATGTCATTTATTTACTGGATCCTGTGAAATTTATAATCAAATTAATCTACCTTGATTGGAATATTCACAGAGAAAGAATGTGATTTTTTTATAAACTATAAACAACTATTGTGAAAACATCTGGATTGCTTTGCTTAATGCTTCAGAGCATTGTGAAAACACCTGGATTGCTTTATCATAGAATCATAGAATATTACGGCACAGAAGGAGGCCATTTGGCCCTTTGTGTCTTTGCTGGATTGCTTTACTTAATGCTTAAGAGCATCCATTTCATTTAATGCTTGAGAGCATTGAGAAGCAGATATCAAAATAAACAGCCCTTAACTGAACATTGTTTGAAAAACGTATATTGCACAATGAAGCTCTTTCATCCCATCCCCACACTACCCTCCAACACAGAAAATTAAATCAGCCTTGTTTATTTTATTAGACTTTTTATTGTGGGTTCTATTAACTGAATCTGCTGTAATGATATTTTCTGCCCAAAACTGCTACAATTGTAAAAGTAAGGCATCATAGTGAACACATCCTAATTCACTACGATTGCTTTACTTTTACATTTGGTGAATTTGGTAATTGATGGGATATTTCTCCAGTTTGCTATTAGCATTATTTAGCATTTCCTGGACAAGTTAGATGCACTACAGAAAATTCACTCAAATCTGCCTCAACATTGCATTTTAAACTCAGAAGTGCACCTGCCTCCATTACCACTACCATTTTCATGGCCTCTATCACCTAAATTAAGGGCAATTTTTAGGGGCAATTTTTAAATTAAGTTTACTGTAGATTCATCCTACTCTATTTAAACTGAGTTTAGCAAACCCAAATTCATTTCATTTTAATTGCATATGTCCAACAGAAAATCTGCCTCTGGTTTACTTTCAAATCTGGGTTCTAGAGATGAACGCTGGCACATTACTCATGGTCAAGGTTCTGAATTTGCAACAACAATTTACATTTACATAGAGCCTTTTATGTCAGGAAGATGTCCAAAGCACTTCACATGACTGACTGGGATCCTGCCCATAGGGGAGGGGTAAAGGCTGAAGAAATAGGTCTTGAGTCAGGTTTTGAAGGTGTGGATTCGGGGATGGTGGAGGGGATGGGATGGAGCTCCAGAGAGTGGGAACAGAATGACTGAAACCTCAACAATTGATGATGGGGCAGAGTAGGCAGGAATATGAAACAGGCCTGTGTTTGCTGAGCAGAGGGAGCAGCCAGGCAATAAGGTCACAGGAAGTCACAGAGGTAAGTGGGGCAATGCCATAGAGGCATTTGAAAGTGATGACAAGAATCTTGAATTGGATCCGATGGGGCATGGAGATCCATTGGAGCCAACCGATCATGGAAGGACTGGGCCCACAGAGCCAAGTGTGAAAGAAGGCATGGGCTGTAGAGCTGTAGAGAGAGGAACTGGGTCTTTGGCAAGCAGGGTATTAGAGGAATCAAGCCTGGAGGTGGTGGAGGCTTACATGAGGGTCTCAGCAATCTGTGGTAGAGACAGTCAGAGAGATGGGTGATGTTGTGGAGGTGAGAGCTTACAGAGTGAGTGCGAATTTGGATGTAGGTTTTGAAAGATAGTTGGATGTCGAACAAGATACCAACTGGCTCCATATGAAGTGAACATCCATGCAGATCGATATGGCCAGCACCTTAGGTGAGAAGATATTGACAGAAGCCAAGTTTGAAAGTTTCAGTCTTGCTGACGTTCAGAAAGTTAGGAGCTCATCAAAAACTATTCAGCCAGCAGTGATCCAGAGATCAATAATAATATAATAATCCTTGCATTTGATATATCGCCTTATCATGTAGTCGAAACATCTCAAAGCGCTTCACAGAATATACTGTAGAGTGGATTAACTATGTATTTTATGGAATCAAGTGTAAGGGAGAGAGATAGATTTGAGTATAACTTCACATGATTATGTGAGGATTTAAAAATCCATATCTTTTCTGTTACCTGCATTTGTTTTGTCCTGAATGATCCTCGCAGTCTTGCGATCTCCAAGATTATCGATGCGAAATAAATGATTTTTTGTTTGGTAAAAAAAAACGACAAACTTGTTTAGCTTTGAAGCCCTTTTTCGAGAGACAGTGGAATTTTTCAAAAGTATGAAAACCGGGACAATATCAGTTTAGCCAGGCTAAAAATTAAAAGATATATTTCCTCACGTCATGCGGAGGTGATCGAGCAACTGCCAAACAACTGTAAGTTAGTGCAATGACAATGGCGTATTCCCGACACAGAATGGACCGAGTGAAACAATCTGAATTTAAATCCACACTTGTTTGTTGAGGTCATAATGTAAAGTGATGACAAGGTTATGGTTTTGACCACAAAACAATCCCGTGAATCCCACCACATCAGGGGCTAATATATCCGGACGTTAGAATAATCTTTGCATTTGATGTAGTGCCTAATCACATCTTAAAGCACTTCACGGGATTTTACTGTGAAATACGGCGACTGTGTATTTGTAGGCAATCTTATATATAATAAGAAACAGCCTGTGGTATGTGAGAATTAAACAGGCAGCAATACAAGTGAGTAATGAGGCCATGATAGTAAAATTAGCACATTTTGACTGATTGACTGAAATCAACAACAACAACAACAACAACAACAATCAATGTCTGAAAGATAAAGCGACAGATTAGCATTTAAAGACAAGTTAACATTTAGGATGCGATCACATTAGAATTACACTTGTATTGCAATGCAAACACTGAAATGCCTCATCTGTCTGCTGTGCATTTCCAGCATGTTCTCTCATTAGTTAAGCAGTTTTCACAGATTTTCTTTTCATCTTCACAATATTTTCAATACTGGTCCTTCATGAGTGTGAATGATCTCTTCCTCTAGAACGCTATTGGTCTGGTTAACATATCAAACTCTTTCTCACCAGTGAAAAACCTCCACCAATGCAATGTATTCTGCAGGATATTTGACCTTTTCCAGGGGTAATAATCCTTTCAAAAAATCAATTAATAATAACAACAACAACAACTTGGATTTATACAGCGCCCTCCATGCCGGACGGCATCTCAGAGCGCTTTAAAGTTTAGGATCCCGGGGCCGAGCCAGGGGGAGGGGTGGGAAGGTGATCAAAGGCGTGCTCGAAAAGAAAGGTCTTCAGCGGAGACCTGAAAATGGGAAGGGAGGGAGCGAGATGAAGGGAGTGAGGAACAACAACAACAACAATAAGAAGATTCCATTTATAAAGCGCCTTTTACGTCAGGAGGACGTCCCAAGGCGCTGCACAGTTGGGTCATGACCCGAGCAGGGGGGAAATGGTCAGGGTGAGGGGAGGGGAGGGAGCAAGGAGGGGGGAAATGGTCAGGGTGAGGGGAGGGAAGGGAGGGAGCAAGAAGGGGGAAGAGAGTCGAGAGGGGAGCTGAAGGCTCGGTCAAAGAGAAAGGTTTTGAGACCGGCCTTGAAGGAGGAAAGGGAGGAAGCAAGGCGAAGGCACTGGGGGATAGAGTTCCAGAGCCTCGGGGCTGAGAGGCTGAAGGCCTGACCACCAATGGTAGGGCGATTGGGGCAGTTCCAGAGC